ACAGTGTAGCGGGTTTAAACCCGAACCCGGCTCAAAACCCGTCAACACGGATTTTACCCGCGTTGACTGGGTTGGGTTGGGTCGTGTGGGTACCCGTGGGTTCGGGTTTTGTTGCCATCCCTATCTTGAGGTTCAAATCTTGTAGAGTCTTGAGCCTTTTAGAGTTCCAACAATTGTTTTAGCTTCATTGTCGATCATACCCATGTAAGTTTTCACCCTATGCCTCTCGATCCTCCATTGTTTCACCACAACCTTCCGAACTAATTCAAATTTATTTTATTATTATTTTTTAATTGTCACGTCACTGAGTTAACGGTCAACTTTGAGGGTTGACTGCCACATCAGAAAAATTTAACGGAATTGGACGGAGAGTGACCAAACTTGAACCATTTAACTAACTTGAGTTACCAAGATTGGATTTAAATATTTTCAGTGACCAAATGTGAACGTTTTTTGTAATTTCAGTGACCAACCATGCAATTAACCCATTAATTATGTATTCTATAATACTAATTGGGATACTGAAATATTTAGGGATTGCTGGAATTATTTAGGGATTGGGATTGAGATGTACTTTAGAGGGCAATTCGGTATTCAGGATTTTGGTATTTGGTATTGGGATGTCGATACTGTAACGATTTCCAGCCATGTGGTGCAACATATAAAAGGCTGCACCGGTTAGTGGTTACAGTTATATACCAACTGCTAGGGGTGGAAATCGATACAGTATCGGTATCCCAATACCAAATACCGAAATCCCGAATACCGAATTACACCCTAAAGTCAATCCCAATCTCAATCCCTAAATAATTTAGGTATCCCAATCCCTAAATATTTCGGTATCCAAATTGGTACTTCGGTATCCCAATCGGTATTATCGAATACAAAATTAATTATCTTTGCAATTAATAATTAAATATATAAATTAGATTTTATTGTTTAATTTAGGGGGAAAATACTAAGCAAAGAGTCTTGAATTAGGATATTAGTAAGGAGAATATAGGAGAGGAGACATCTCAAGTTCTTATCAATGGTAATCGTTAATTTGATGAATTGGAGGTTGAGAGACGACTATTAATAGTGATGGAATGATATATGTATAATTAAATGACACTCTTGGTGGTTGAGGGTAGTGTAGTAGTGAATGAGAGAGTCTAGTTGAGAGGATAAAATACACACTAGCTTATATTTCGGTATTGATCGGTATTTCGGTATATACCGATCCCAATCCCGTAATCCCTAATACCGAATAACAATTGAAATTCAATCACAATCCTAATCTCAATAAATAATACGTGTATTCGCTAATACCAAATATAGACAAATTTGGTACGATATTCGGTATTATCCCAAATACCGGTACCAAACTTTCAGCCCTACCAACTGCTACCTGAGTGAGAAGATCACATTGATTGGGCCAATTAAGACCATAACTGTTAGGCCCAAATACCTGAATTTCAGCAGGCTTATCGAAAGGCCTCGACATTCCAAGTGCTTAGTTAAATCTTTTTTTCGGGCCTGGCCCACTTCAGCCTACCCAGCAAGGCCCATAAACTCCAACGTTCCGGCCCACAGCCCCAGTTGGCAGACGCCGGAGAGTTGGGAAAAGGATGAATGCATGGCGGGCGGTTTTCTCTGTGTACAGGACACAGAGACAGCGATATGTTTCTTTCTTCCTTCCTTTTCTCCCAGTGGGAAACAAGCAATAATTTGGACCAATCGACGAGTCGACTGAGGAAGGAAGACCCCAACCTTAGAAGGAGAAAAGGAAAGGGCAAAAGCGTGGAGACGTGACTTTGGATCCCCGCCCGCCGGCCCGCACTTAGAATAAGAAGAAGAAGAGGGAACTTCCATTCCATTCCATGGACGGTGGGATGGGACTAGGATTACTGTTGCCTGAGGTAAACGCCATGACGTACTTCTGATAAAGGCATGGCTGCGTCATCCAAGGAATGAAATTAATTCCCACCCTACACAGGGGCAAGCACTTTGGATTTCAGAGCTGGAATGGAAACCAGATCTGTATTTTGGACTCATATCATAGTCAGAGTGATCGGGTTGCCTCCCTGAACTGCCACTCAAGACTAGTAATTATATATGGTAATTAACAACAAATTTATGTTCAAAACGATACTATAGCCTAGAATAGTGCTATTACAACAACAAGATTCCACCCCCCACCCACCCCCTAAATCGTCTCCTCTCCTCTCCTTCCTTGATTACGCGGTCTTAATTGCAGACTATATATATATAATCATTTACATTTGGGGTTGGACGGTTGCGATCCTTCCAAGAAGCTTTATTTAATTTGCTCCCCTCTTACTTAATTATTCTTACCAACACGTGGGTTTTCATTAATTGTCCTTTTAACCATGTTGTTTACGCATCACACACGGTAGGGGTAATTGTCATTAATGGTAACAAAACTTTTCACTTTGTACAAAACGGTCACAAATCTTTAATTTTGCACGCTTCAGTAATATATGTTTGGACTAATAACAAAAAGGCAATTCCGTCTATCTCCATCCAACAAACCGTTAGTTTTATAGTGTGTCAGCATAAAAAAATGAACAATTGACCGGAATAAATCCGCCCAAATCGGTGCTTATAGAAATTAATCATCGTTGAAGAATAGCCTCATGCCGAATCCGTGACTTGTAGCCTTCAAAATCCAAAGAAAATGGCATTCGTCGCCCCATAAATTACGAAAATGTCATTCCAAAATAAATTGGCCCAAATCGATGCTTAATGGACTTATCATCCGTGGAGAATAGGATTAATAGACTTCATTATCGGCGGAGAATAGCCTCGGCGTGATTCCGTGATCTGTAGCCTCCAGAATCGAAAGAAAATGACATTTTGAAAAAATCACCTGAATTCTGTGATGGTACCCCTTTGGAATCTGCCAAAAATTGATCCTAAATAAATCCTCCCAAATTGGTGCTTAGTGGACTTAATCATCGTTGAAGAATAGACTCAGGCCGAATCCGTGACCTGTAGCCTTCAAAATCCAAAGAAAATGGCCTTTCGTCGTCCCATAAATTACGAAAAAATCCATCCAAAAATAAATCGGCACAAATCGGTGCTTAATGGACTTATCATTCATGAAGAGTAGGATCAATAGACTTCATAATGGATGGAGAATAGCCTCGGCCTGATTCTGTGATATGTAGCCTCCAAAATCGAAAGAAAATAGCATTTAGGAAAAATCGCCCAAAATCTATGATGGTAGCCTTTGGAATCTGCTCTGAAATTGCGTTGGAACGACGTAACTTTCCCTGTTATCTCTTCCCCCGCTGTTCCGATTTCTCGCACTTTGTTTCTGTTCATTCGTTTGTCTGTTCATGGCTGGCCCAAGGATTGGAACTCGGTAATTTCTTGTTAGTCGTACGCTTCTTGTGCTTGTATGGCTACTGAGAATGTTGAAGTCAAAATAGAGTATGTTAATATGCTTTTCATGGTTGTTTGTTACTTGTTTGGCTGCTCTCAACACCCAAGTTGCTGCTCTCAACGCCCAAGTTCTCTCTATCTCTGTTCCGTTGAATTTCAAGTTCTTGAGGTAGGGATGGCAATGGGTCGGGTTGGGGCGGGTTTTGTCAAACCCAAACCCATGGGTTTATCCGTCAAAAAAATCCGGGGTAAAACCCGTTGGGTTTGAAAAACTCAAACCCAACCCAACCCACTGGGTATCCGCGGGTTCATGGGTACCCGTGGGTTTTTGTGGTAAAAAATTTACAATAACAAGTTTCTTTCAAAATAAAAGTTTAACATCAATTTTCTCATACAAATTAATCATACAAAAAAACACCAATCTAAAGCTACAAGCAAACCGCAAATGATTAATACAAATTGTTCAAAATTAAAGATAAACATCTATAAACAAAACATTAATTGAAAACTTCTTCCTCGTCAACTAAGTTTCTTCACTCTCCACTTCATAATATCAACTTCATTCTAAACAATTAGAAAGAACAAATTATACATGTCTCCACAAACATAAAGAATATTAATTGTTTAAGGAAAATATATTATTTAGAATTAAATATACCGAAAAAGTAATTATATGTATGTGGGCGGGTACCCATGGGTCGGGTTTACCTAAACCCAAACCCAACCCGACCCGGTGAACAGTGTAGCGGGTTTAAACCCGAACCCGGCTCAAAACCCGTCAACACGGATTTTACCCGCGTTGACCGGGTTGGGTCGTGTGGGTACCAGTGGGATGGAAGTAACGGTATTTTGGATGGAGATGGACGGAATTACCTTTTTGTTATTTGTCCAAACATTTGTTACTGAAACGTGCAAAATTAAAAGTTTGTGACCTTTTCGTACAAAGTGAATAGTTTTGTTACCATTTATGATAATTACCCCACACGGTAGGTATCGTAATTTTAGAAATATATAGATCGTATAATAGACAATCAAACAATTCGCTCAAGGATATATGTATATAATGAATACATCTTTTGAATTATTTTTTCCAATAAAAAGTCGGAAGCAATCCACTATAAGTTTTTTCTTTAAAAAATATCTTTCAATTTACAAAGCAACATGTTTTCTTTTTTCTCAAGAACATCACCTCCTATAAAGCTTGAAGGTGAGTGGATCATCTCTGATCAACATCATGCATAACAAAATACGCGATTAATTCAAAATACACTCTTAAAATTCAAATGTTATTTTCTAACCGAATTCTTCGAACAAAAATAAAGAAGTTAGATAGTTTACGTGATATATATAATCTTTTGGGTATATATAACATGCTATCAAATAAAAATACCTATTATAAAAATAAGCTCTAAAGTTTTCAATTATAATTTAAATAATAATATTATTGATAACGAATTTGTATAAAAGAAAAAATGAAGCATCGCTCTCCACCTATATTTTCCCCCAAGCTTTTTATGTTTCCTTTTTTCTCCAATGCACCCTAAAGTAATTAGGTACCCACTCTCTCCCTCTCCTCTAGTATAAAAACAAAATGCCCCACTTCTCCCTTTCCCCGTGGCCTGGCCTCACCGAACCCAAAACAAAAAACAAAAACAGCACAAAAATACTCAACTAGAAACCGCAAACAGAAGCAAGGAATTTAATTAAGGGAGCAGAAGGAAAAGCTAGCACTAGCAGGCCAAGATTAGATTAGATTAGATGGAACCAATTGACTGCAACATCGGCGAGGAGTACCAGAACTACTGGGAAACCAAAATGTTCCTCCACAACGAAGAACTCGACAGGCAATTATTCACTCTTCCCTCCCTCTTTCCTTAATTCAATTCCCCTCCCCTCTTCTTCCCGTCGATTAATTGGGAGAGATTATTCGATCGGTCGAGAATGAAATTAATTTGGCTGATGATGATGCATGGTGGTGGTGAATGGTGATTTCTTCTTTTGATGGGTACGCGCGCGTAGCAGTTGGGCGATGGACGAGGCCTTCTCCGGGTACTACGACTCGAGCTCGCCGGACGGAGCAGCATCGTCGGCTGCGTCGAAGAACATAGTCTCGGAGAGGAACCGCCGGAAGAAGCTGAACGAGAGGCTGTTTGCGCTCAGGGCGGTGGTCCCCAACATTAGTAAGGTACGTAATTACTTACTTAATTGACCTACGGTTGATAGATAATTTGTCATTATTAATTAATCATAAAACCACCTCCATCTCCAGCTGCAGCTGGCCCATTAATTAATTACTAATATTATCATTATTATTACTACCCTTTATCACTAGCTTAATTAATTGTTTAGTCTATTATTCAAACCTTAATTATTGATGCCTTGCCCTTGCCGGTGCCGGTGCCGGTGCCGGTGATGTCAATTCACCCTTCCATCTTCCTAATTTAGAGTGGAAAAAACTAATCAACGCTTTACCTTAGTTACATGTGATTAATTGTATACAAAAATTATTATTTAGAGCAAAACAATGATTTTGGCGTATGAAATCGTTAGAAAGAAGTAAACCAGCGTGACACATATATATTAGAAAAAGATGGTTGCTTTTTTATATAATTAATTAATGTTCTTAATTAGGTGGGAGTATTGCATAATTAATTACATTCTTATAATAATTACATCAGTTACCATGCATGTCTATCAACTTGTGAGCTAATTCCTTATATTTATTAAACAAACTTAATTAATCAAAGAAAATTCCAAGTGATGGTTTAAAGTTTGTTAATGGGCAGATGGACAAGGCGTCAATAATCAAGGACGCGATTGATTACATCCAAGAGTTGCACGACCAGGAAAGAAGAATCCAAGCGGAGATAGCTGAGCTGGAATCGTCCGGGAAGATGAAGATGATGATGAGCCCTTGCTCCGGCGACTTCGAGGTGGAACTTCCGGTGCTGTTGAGATCCAAGAAGAAGAAGAAGGTCAACGACCAGTTGTATGATTCCTCCGCCGGCTCCTTCCGATCTTCCTCCTCCCCCATCCAGCTTCTAGAAGTACGCACCCTCTTGTACATTACTATTAATTCCCATAGGAGATAAGTTGTATTTTATTTTATTTCATAAATAATATTAATGGTGTTACTCAGTCTTAATAAACTAATAATAATTATGATATATATTCTGTATTACGTATTTTCATTATCTTTAGACCAAGTTAGTTATTACGATCGAGAAACTAATATAATTTGGTGTGTGGTGTACATGTAGCAGTTGAGAGTGGTGTATATGGGGGAGAGGACAGTTCTGGTGAGCTTGATGTGCAATAAAAGGAGGGACACAATGGTGAGATTATGCGAGCTATTCGAATCTTTGAAGCTCAAAATTATCACCGCAAACATTACCACAGTCTCTGCCCATCTTTTGAAGACAGTCTTCATCGAGGTCGGTTTCAATTCCACTCTTACAACTTGTATTATTTACTATATTAGTTTCAACCTTTGCACCTCTCCCTAGGGAGAAATAATCCACTCGTAATGATGCTTCTTTGTTAAACATAATGAATATTACTCCCGTTTAAGGACACTTCAGCCCGGGAGCCTGATTAAGACCACTTAATTCGATATATTTTAATTATAAATATATTATCAAAATTCTAGATTGGGGAAAGGAGGATTGACAATGTTGCCAATCCGGAGTGTTCGAATAATATATCATCAAAATTCGAAGAGAGGGGCGAAAGAAAGTGAGACTGATGCTTGATAATTGCTTGCTCAGCCTTTTCCTTTTTTCTCTCACTTTAATTTCCTTACCGCTTCTAACTTTTGGGTAGCATACAATTTGTTAGGCAACCTTTGTTTTTTGTTTCAAGATGTTCTTGATACAGGAGAATATCGTGTTAGGAGCAGTGATAGAGCTACGTATGTTTAAAAGAGTCTACAGTATTTTTCAACATTTGATATTAGATTATAATTTGTGTATAAAGGTAGTGAGAAAAGTATTGCAAAAGTGTCAAGATGAAGACTACATATCAAGTTATCAACTCGCTTGTTTCAAATTCACATTCAACGCTTCAAAATAATTGTTATAATTTCTTATATCTAGCTGATCCTCACTTCCAACCCTAATTCTGCCACTATCTATAGGTGGTATACATTAGGTGCATTTCAAATAACCTACAATCATAACACACACAACTTAAAAAGATAACCTCAATAAAGCGTTCGTCAATATAATTTTCAGTACAATTGACTGTGAAGCTGGATCAAATCTTAACTTACAAGGAACACATGAGTTGCACATATTTTTGTGCTTCAACAACTATTAGACAAATTAAGTTAATATAAATGGTTATTTATTATCTTAATTAAAAGGGGTTATCGGGAGTAGTGGGGATATCAACATCGCTTGTCTCAGGCCTTGATCATAGTTAATCAATAAAATCAACTCCCTAAACCATTATTCAGATTTTATAATGATTTTCTTAGTTAAAATAATGTATTACACTAGGTTACAACTAGTCCAAGTCATTAGATGCCAAAGTAAGCATTAAGGGCATGAAGAGCAGAGGATTAAGGGCCACATGGCACAATATTTTAGTGGCAATGATTTCAAAAGCCTTTTGTGACTTTACATACATATAAAATAATAACAATTGGTGCCATCAATAATAATAATTGATTAATGTAGGAAATGGATAAAACAATAATAGTGTCAACTTCTAGGGGTTGGCCCTTCTTTGAATCATTAAAGTCTCTTCCTCCCCCAAATTCACGGCTGGAGTGTGGACAAGTTGGCGACATCTAATTGTGATTTGCAAGATTCGGTTGTGGTTAAACAAACATAAAAAAAACAAATGATTTGCCAATGTGTGCACGTATATTAATTATTGTTGTGTTTCATCTCTCTGCATTCATATACCAACCTATCATTTATTTATGTAAAGAAAGGGAATGGATTTAATTATTTCCATCCGATTAAGAAGTAGTTGAGAATTGAAACAGTCAGAAAATATACTTTGATCGATCAGATCTTACTCGGTTCAAATAATATCTGATTCCATTCCAATTAAGTACTGGTGGAATTGTTGTCCATGTACAATCACTCACGTAAGGATTTGGACAAGGATAAGCATAAGATGGTTGGTTGCTAGACTATGTTAATGGAATTCGAGAAGTAATTGTTTGTTGGTGGCTTGAATATTATGTGCTTTATTATTGCAGGCGGAAGAAGATGAAAAGGATGATTTGAGACATAAAATAGAAGTTGCGATTGCATCTCTCAACGACCCTGAAAGTCCTATGAGCATGTAGTTACAGCAATGAAGTATCCAAACATAAACCGTACCAAAGAGGGCAAAAAAAGAAAGGTGTAAAAAAGGAGTCCAAGAGAAACATTAACATATGATGAGTTGAGTGATGGTCTCACTCATATTTGGTTTGTCTTTTCCATTTTATCTCATTGTGGGAGAAGTTATAAATGTGTTGATTTCATGCATGGGGCTTTCATTCCATCTCGTTCCTTCCTAATCCGATGTCAATCCCTCTCCTCTACGCATATCCGAAATGGAAAGGTACTATGTTGTTTTCTTAGGAAGGAGTAAAGGGTAGGAATAGAATAGTGTTTTTGAAGAAGGCCGGCCTAATCGGAAATCATGGAATCCTAATTTGAGATATATATTTTCTGGGGGAATCAAATGTTTCAATTATCTTGATTATTGTTATTTATGTTTTTATATTACGAATCCATTTTATGAGTTGAGAGCTGAAACATAAATTAGCTTTAGCTTAATTAGTATCATAATAACACACTCTTCAATTAATGCATGCATGTGGTATCTATCTTATAGAGTCGATTTTCCTTGTTTTCATACATGATATGTCACGAAAAGCAAGTAGTTGTGAACGTGGCCTATTGCTTGTCTTCTGTTGCTTCTGTCCATTCCATTCTAATGAAACCTAACAACCACTGGGGCGGGGCCTATATGTATCAAGCGGGTTGACTGGCCAATCCAAAGGTAAAAAAAAAAGCACACGTTTACAAACAACTTCAATTTCCACTGTGCTTATGTCTGCACCACACATATTTAACATGTGCATGGAAGATGGAATCTAATTTCTATTTTGAAGAGATCTGAGTCATTGATAGAGTGGGTCTTCTATCCTAACAATAAACTGGAGGACCATAACTTAATTGAATGAAATGGGTGGTTGAAGTTGAACACAGCCAAGAGTTCAGGGGCCAAGGGTGTTAAATCAAAGGATGACACGACAAGGAGTGGCTGGCTATTCATACAAACAAAACAAAAGTGTCCCAAAATACAAGGACCAACGTGTCCCCCATCCAATGGTACAAGCGGGTTAAATACCCGATATGATCACCCAACTTATTGACATGCATCGCATAGGATACTGAACTTTATTTTTCATGCAACTGCATCTCCAAACCAAACTCACTTCAATCGTAACCACATCAATCACGTCGTTTCTACTTCTGCCCTAGCACATCAAACCAATAACTTCCCTTACTAGGTTGAAATGGCAACGCTATATCATTCAACATCAACTAACTGATAATGCTCAGAAGATGGAAGTAAACAACAAAACAGTAGCAGCAGATCATCGCACGCAACTCATGTACTAAAGGCTGCTGCTGAACTGATATTTCCTTACCAAAAAAAATCAAGGGGGGGCTAGTCCCAACTCTTGTATTTCCAACTTCACAAACAACTGTTCGTTTCCAACTTTTACAATAAAACCAAGAAAAGAAACAAGAGAAGAAGATCCAAAACACTAAGCCTTAAGGTCAAATTTCAAGTACCCCCCTTGGGGGAAAAAATTAACTATACCCCCCAATTTAGGAAAAGGTCCATAGCCCCAAATGGAGAACAAATAAAGCCTGCGCCCAATTTTCCCCATATATTTCTACCCCCACCCAAACACTCTGTTAGCCACCCCCATTGCCATTGCCTTCTCAACAATAACTCTCAACTATATTCCTCCTCACTATCCTCCCCTTAGCATAATATGAATCAAGAAATCCAACCACTGCTTTTCATAGGGAAGGGCTGACTTAGAGTTAGAGATCCTTTTTTTTTTTTTTTTAAGATACGCAAGTCTTTTTTCTTTTCTTTTGATGGGGGTGTCTCAATTTTCAAAGCAACCATTGATTCATCCAACCAAAGAATTCTTCTAAAGGAGTCAAAACTATGTCACTCAGCTGGTTGTATAGTTGGAGGAGAAGAGTTGCAGCAGATTATCGAGAGTCTCTGCATGGAATTTCCTTGCAAACAAGTAGCACGGCCTTTGAATCCCGTTCCATATGCATGGCTGCTCGTCCACATCCAAACTCTACAGATAATAAGCACACAGAGAATCATATTTATATGTAAGATGAAAGTCCGTCAAACAACTAACCAGCTTCAATCGCAGCAAAGGGAAATGTCGATGATGGAGCTTCAGTAGTCTACCTTTTCCTCACTCGTTACATGTACACTGACATCAATCGACTGCATAAACACAAAGGTGTGGTAGTTAGCAGTTAAATCATGGATAATACATAAAGCCACTAAGGAAGATGATGTATCCAAGCTATCAAAGACATTCTAAACAATGGAATTTCATGTGTGCTTCATCATGAGAAAGACCATACCGTAAGATTCTTTATAAGTTCACGTGTGACATCGTGAGCTGTGTACGACTTAGGATGCCACTTTCTCTCAGACCAATCAACATGTGTTACTGACCAGTTTGCAATTCCCTGAGGATCAATCATCTAGAGACATAGATGCATTAAAATCATCAAAGGGAGTTCCGAATCATTGAGGTTTACAACAAAAATAAGAAGGAATGCAGGATAAGGCTACTGAATTTCAGAACAGATATCAGTGAAGATTCATACATGGAAAAAGGTTGGCAGATAGTGCTCATCAGCAATGCAATTCTTCCCTCCATCCATGCCATGCTGTAGTTTTCAGGAAAAAAGTTATCTTAAAAGCGTCTATAAATACAATGAGCAATAACTCGTATAAGATATGATATTAGACAACTCATGCAGCCTATAACTTCTTGTATTTGCGAAAGGCAAACAGAAACCCGCTTTCTTAATCGATGCAGAATAGATGTACACAACCTGATGTAAAGTCAAGAGTCTGGAAAGAAAGCAAGAGTAACAAATAACTAACGGTCTCCAAATAGTACCTTGCAGTAGTCACGGAATTTTGAGTAGTAAAGACTATCAGCCAAAACTATCATAGCATGCTGCCGCTTCATTGAGAACCACTGCAAAATAATTCATTGGTTGAGTCTCATGCCAATAGATACGTTGAAACCCATAGAAATATATCTTCATCACACATACAAATACATCCTTTATTGTATAATTAAAATGTACTGTATGGCTGAAATCAGCCATAAAAATTCACTAAATTGGAACTAGAAGATATTAAATGAATTTGGTCTCATCCATTCTTCAGGGTGACATGGACACAACATTGAAAAAGGGAATTAAATGATGTATACCTGTGCACCTTTTCTGAAATCTTTTATATCAACTTCAGGTAACATATGCTCTGAATATCTGCCATTGCCATGCGGACCAGGATCATAAAAACTGAAAACAATATCAAGATGGATCAGAAAAATGGAAAAATCCACATGTAACACATGCCTGAACTTCATTCTTCTTTGGATGAAGGCTCAAAGGGAGCTAACTTACCAGTCAAGGAAGCTGACATTTGTATACAGCAGGTAGTTGTAGACATAGTCAAACTTGTGCAATGGTATACAGCTGAAATGGCAGAAATCACGAGAGTTAAATTAGAAATTCAAAATCAGCAATCCTCGCCCTTCGTGGCCATACAATAACAGGGGTAATGCACCATGTTTTTTACCTATCAGAAAGCAAAACAAAATGCTGATTGTCAGGATCTTGCATAGCATTGGCTAAAAGGCGTCTCTCAGCATCTATCATCGATATCTTCCCCCATATCACCTGGGAAAATAATAGAGCACAACTAAATTAGTCATTTCTCAGATCACCAACTATTTGTATAAGAATGCATCTCATGTTGTTTAGTACTTTAGTTCTCATAAGTAGTCATTAAAAGCCTACTTCTAGCAGTACAGAGGAAGGGAAATGCCCATAGCGGATCCATATAAACTATATGGTGACCTACCATAACCAAAACCAGGTCGTCACCTGTGAGCTGCTTTTTTCATTTACAATTCGGATCTACAATTAGATAATTCTCTCAGGAAGTCTGAACCTTCTACACTTGCTCAGCAACTTCACTAAATGAAAAATAAAATTACTATTGTAGTTCGTCAATTGCCTTGGCTGTGACAGTCAAGAAACAAACAAGTGAAGAATGCAAAAGCTTCAACCAGAGATTTCAACTTGCTAATGTGAAATAATAGAGGAAGCCAAACTCTTAAGATGGTCAAATCATGCAAATGATTCATCTACCAAGAAGCCAACACTCTCATCTTTCTACCAACAAAGATCACGAACAATTCACATACAGCATTAAAACTAAAGATGAAGCTTTATTTTAGAGTAAGTAACTGTAATATACCTGTTCGCTGCGTATGTCCCGATTAACAAAATACCGGCTCACATGCACTGGTTTATTGTTGGAGGCATGGACATAAACAGAAAACTTCCCTTCATGGCCCTGCCAGCATAAGGATGACCCATTTCAGACATAAAAGAGCAAGAAACTAAACACCAATGCACCCTGTTTCAGTAATCCCATCAGCACTAAGTCATTTCATATCTAAGACAGTTTGATTCATTCCAGAGACTAACAGGTTGCATTGGTCCTAGAAACTGGCATACAGAAAAACACAGTTGGATCTCGAAATTTTCAACTAGTGTCAATCCAACAGTTAAACAAACCAGCTCAGATGTAAGGAAAGAAAGAATAAACAAAAGATAGGAGAGAAAAACTTACATTGAAGAACTTCTCCCACAACTTCTCAAAAGGCAGTTGACCAGGAGTCAAGAACATGAAAGCGATCTTAGAAGTTTTAGATTTGACAGGAGGGGAACGCAAGATCTCCCTAATCACAACCTGTGAAGCTATCTCACTGTCAGTAAATTCCCTAGCTGGAGCAGGTGGAAGCCAATCCGATAAAGCCTTGCAGCCTCTGGAAGAGAAGAGATAACAAGCTGTGCCGCTCTGAGGTGGATAAACGTAGGCACAAACTAGGAACAAGCTGACCATACAAACCAAGACAATGATCCATACGGGCCTCTTCAATGGAGCACGGTGGCGAGGTCCAGGGAAGATCTGTACATCACCCATTCCTAAACGCCACCCTTGAGCTCCTCCCTTCATAATCAAACCCCACCGCAGGGCATTTATATCAGAAAATGAACGCCAAAAACTTGACGCAGAGGGAACTCAAGGATTGCCCACGAAGAGAAGCAGCCCCCTTTCAATCAGCAGTATATCCTGGGAATATAAAGCAAAAGTGGTATCTATTTAGATCCTTCAAATCAACCAAACAAACACTTTCAGGCCAAACCCAATAAATGAGGAGACTTTATTCGCTGAATCAAGAAACCTAAAGCAACAGAAAAAGGACAACAGTAGATTCTATTAGGTAGCAGAAGGCTTTGATTTCAGGTCAAGAATTCGGCCAACTAAAGAGAACCAAATTTCCCCAGTGTTCCACCAACTGTTTAGCCCCAAAGTCAAACAGAACCCAAATACCCATTAACACTCAAACGAAAGCTACGAAACCCCGTTCTCGGATATCCCAAGAAATGCAAAAGCTTTAATCTAGAAATTACGTTATCGAAGCTCAACGAAGCAGCAGTCTCACTCACTGCCAGTTGTCACTGAAGAAACCCAATTGAGATAGCAGAGATGAGAAATCAACAGCAATCAGAAATCTGGTGAGTACCTAAGAGGGAGGAGAGGAGAGGAAATCAATGAGTCAATCAGTGAGCTGGGTTTGCGTTCGACAGTAGATCTCCAAATTGGCCAAGATCCGAACTTGGGAAGCTGAAGAGGGACAGGCTGTTAAGATCTGGAGAAGCAGAAGATGGCAGGCCAAGGAGGGGAAGAAGAAGAAGAAGAAGGAGGAGGAGAGAGAAGAGGGGAGGAAGGTGGGGTCGTAGTGGGAAGTCGTTGTTTGGCTCCTTGGCTTCGGATGTCCAAAGTCCAAACAGAAACACAAAAAATAGCGAGGGAGGGAGAAGAGGAAGGAAGGAAGGGAGAAGTCTTCCGCCGGCGAATTGTTTAATTGATAATTATTTGTTTGCTGGCCGAAATGAACGAATGGTCACTTAATTATGGGCTACTATCAAGTTGGTTCCACAGTTATTATTATTCACGACATGGTCATTAAAGTTATAGGGATCATCAACTTGTTGAGTTTTAGTTTACAGGAACAATCAAATTCATACACACAAGTGAACAATTCATTTAGGAGGATACTTATGTTACCTTACAATAATTTCTTAGAGTATCACCTAGCATTTCTTAACGCTCCAGGAAGTTAAATGATTACTTTCTTTTGATAATCTTCAAGTATTTGTATCTATCATATGATTTATAAACAATCAAATTTGGATGACAATGAACCTTAACTCAACATATTAACTAATTTAGTAATTCGAAAATCCAAGGGGAAAACAACAAAAATATTGGTGGGAATTAGAATAAAAATATGACTATTTTCTTAATCTGACGTTAATGGGATTCCTTTCTTTTAGATATTCATAAGTTCAGTATGCTCTTTGCCATCCTTGATGATTCGATCTCAAAATTGAATTAAGGATCATACAACAGAGACCAATTACACAGGTCCTTATGGTTTGTATCATAATCTTTTTACATATATCATGGCATCATTCACCATTGAACTCGTGAAATCCTCATCTTCTCTATTGCGTCTTTGGCCGTAATGAGGTTTGAACAATCACAAATATATCAACGCAGAAGTAGACAAGTTAGTATATGATCATTTCGTTATCGAGTGATAAACATGAATGGCCATTTTACTTAGTACAAAAAGTTGGAACGCTGATTTGTTCGTGACACTAAACTTATGGGACCATGTTATATATTTGACCCTGTTTTTGTGCAATGCTGCAATTTGCATCCACTTGATGAGCGCCACAACCTACGCGCAGTCCCCACGGCGCGTCGGAAACCATCTCCTCCCATCCCATTGGGCGAAGTCCCCAACGAATCCGGAGGGAGGGAGACCCAAAGGCCAAAACGTCAAATTCCAAATCTAAACCCAATGCCCGCTGTTTTTTTCTTTTCGTGTATAATGTATATATTTATTTATGTTCTTCTTAATTAATGTTTCTCCTAATCTAGATTAGTATCAAGGGCACTTTATTAAGGGGAAAACTATCGGGGTAGGTTGGATAATAAATCCCCTAATGCATGTTCCTATGTACAGTGTAATTAATTAATAAGACGATATCGAAGTAGTATTTAAATGATATATAATGATAAAATATTAAAACTTAATTTTCAATTTTGTGCACGAATCACGAATCTAATACGTTCTTTTCAAGTTGACAAGCATAACAGAAGATACATATTTCTATTCATGTTCCAATTGATTTATGTCAACAAATTTAGGAAATATGGTATGGTGAACGACTTGATACAATGAGCAGTTTCAAAAATGGTTCAATAGTAATGTTAAGATCATAATTGGCAAAAAAATAAAATTTTAAGGATTTATGCTTGTTTATATTTCCAGTATAAATTTTACGAGTTGCATTCGAGTTTGTAGTAACGTTTGTGTATCGTCCTTTTCATCTTGTGTGCAATATTTTATTCTAATTATTGTTTGAAAAATATACATGTGGATAGCCAAGTTGGAATGTGATTGTGATTAAAGGCCAACGGATTATGAATGTGTCAAAAGGAAACTCCAAATGTTGACTTGGACAACAATGTTAGCAACTTCACTTATGAAACCAAGGGGAAAAGGAATAGAAGGAAAGCCATGGATGACCCTTTCTATGCCATATTTGACTCGTTTGTTCTTTCTTCTTCTTCTCTTCCTTTTGTTTTTGTTTTTTGCCCGTTACGGCGCATCCGCTCTGCCTTTGGATTAAACCAGGAATTAGCACAGGGGATTAAGGGGAAGGTGACACGTGTATGTTTTAGTCACAATCACATAGTTAATTGCCTTGTCTATGTTCATCAAGGGAAGGTTGGAGAGCATGAAATTGTAATTTCCTTATTGATGAATGGAGAAATTTCAGAGATGCAAAGTTGGTCCTTTGTGGAATTGTCAAACCCATTGAATATGTCATATACACAATGGATATAATAATATAAGTTAGGCCTCATTATTGCCTATTTTTAACCTCTAACATACATTATTATGACCAAATGTTCTCATATATGATGTGACTTAAATATACTTCAAATCCAAAACTAATAGTATTGGAAACCACGAAACCATTTGACTCACTTCTACTGTCACTCCAGGAATTGGCCAAGTGAAACCACTTCCTAAAGTGTAGTATAGCGGGTTTAGGTTTAAATGTCAACCCGGGTCCTAGATTTGATGACTACTCGGTGAATTCTTGTTATCTAGCAATGAAACTTTAATGCAAGTCTAAACTAACAAACTAACAAAGCAAGTAAATTGTTGTATTCAGGTTAAGAGAGGTCACCCGAATATGGTTCCCCCTAGACTGCAGTTAAGCCGGATTGTAATTACCAAGTTCAGTTTCTATGATAGTTATACTGCGGAAGGTTCTTAAACATCCTGAAGTCTCGACTAAAGGTCTTCAGACCCTCTCAATCTGAGTCTCTAGCGGGCGACTAACCTCCACCGGAGTAAACAGATTGAGGTCTTAACAAACAAAACCTCCACTACCGGAGTAAATCCGGTACAAAATAGTGAGTTGGCTCCTCGACTAAAGTCACCAACTCCCTACCTTCAATCAAGGATGCTCTATCAACCTAGGCAGATATTCTCATTCTAGGTTAAAGCAGAAACAACAGGAATTTGATCAGGATTCATGCCATTCAATCAATCAAACCTCAATTGAATATAATCAAATCATAGAATCAGTACTTGGGTTCATACAATCAAACCTAACATACAAATCTAGGGTTCTCCATACCCGGATGAATGGGAGAACTACTCCATGGAGAAAGAAGCAAAAGCAGAATCAGACGCGGAATTCATACTGTGAAGGATGGATTCCTGCTTCTGGACGTTGATCGGCACTTCTCCAAGCTCAAACTGGCCTCCAATGGTGATGAAGATCAAGCTAGGGCACTTGGAGACTCTTGTTCGTCGCTTTCTCTCTCTAGGAATCGCTCTGTCTCTCTAAAACTCGAATCCACTTCTGTTTTGGCTGAAATCTGCTTAAAAGGGCATCAGTGGCCAAAGCACGGTCGAGGGCACGGCCGTGCTTTGCCTCAGCCCGCCCGTGCTTTGGCTAGGGTTAATTACACGGCCATTGTGTTGGTGCAAACACGGCCGTGCTTTTAGGAGGACACGACCGTGCTTTGGGTGGACACGGCCGTGCTTTCAGCCCGTGTTTGCAGCTTGAATTTGCCAAACTCAATTAGCTCTCGGCAGTAAAAGCACGGCCACAGAACACGACCGTGTTCTGTTTTAGGTGTGCCCGTGTTTTGGCTCCAGCTCGACGAAATGACTTCCGAATGCCCCGAAACTCGTGCTTAGCCTTTCCTTTGACGCATGGGACCTGAAATATGACAAAATAGCACAACCCGGCGTAAAATAGGCAAAAAACACACGACTATGCCCCTCAAACGGATACGAACTAGGGGCGCAAATATGTGCAATTACATCGCTATCAAACTCCCCCACACTTAACCGTTTGCTTGTCCCCAAGCAAACCTAACTCAAACCAATGCAACTCTCCAGACCTCTATAGCAACAAACAACCCAGATCGTAGGTAGAGGACTTCCTAGATCATTTAGCAACTTACGAGGTCAACCAACGCACAAGTCATCTCATAGCCTTCGGCGAGAGCACTAGTATCGAGTCGGCATCATGGCGAATAGTGAACAGAGGACAAATGAATTGTGGATGAAGAGATTCTCAAAAACAAAGGATCATGGACTCACATTTTTCAAGGTGCTCTATTTTCTTTGAAGATGGTTGGAACCCCTTTTCTTTCTGTTTTGCTTGTTTTTTTTTTTTTTCTTTTTTTTTCTTCAAGGGTCCCAACCTGCTTTTCAGAAAATGGGGGCTCTTACCGGCCATGCCAGGAGCGGATGTCTCGAGCCTCGTGCGGGGGAAAGACATGTAAGGGGGCTGGAGGTAGTAGGTGGAAATTGGGAACGAATTCCCGTCTCCCCTTACACTTTCACCCTATTTGCACGGGAGACGTTATTTTGAAGCACATTTTCGAGCACCTGTTATTTTCAAAACATGATACAAGAGTCCATGACAGGTAGAGAGTCCACAACACCACACAATTCAAGGGTCCTAAGATCACTAATTCACTCAATCAACCAACACAATATGAAGAAGAAATGAGACTTCTTAAATGCATCAACATCCTCCATAGTGCTACACTACCTCCCTAGGTTGCATATTACTATAAAGACTGTCAATTCAAAGCATACTGAGCAGGCAATTGCACGAAAACACGTACTTGGAGCCCTCAAATTTAAAAATTTGGACAGTGGACTAGGCTCCAAGCACACAAACAGATCTAATGCAGTCAAAAGATAAACATCCCCCCACACTTAAGATCGACATTGCCCTCAATGGAGAAGAGGGAGGGAAAAGGGGAACGATGTTACCGGTATACACGGACTGCAGGAGACTGGAAGCGGACCAGTCGGAGTGAAGTGGACTGGATAGAGGACCAGTCAAGACAAGCACAGCTAAAGGAAACCAACGAGCTCAAACACAATATGTTAGGTCCAATGGTCAGCCCAATAATACATCATCCAAAACAAAAGAAAACAAACCAAAACCAAACTGGTTTACAATCCGACTCAAAACACAAGAAAGAAAGTCAAACCGTGGTGGGGTTGCCTCCCCACAAGCGCTTCTTTACCGTCTTTTAGCTGGACGCCCATGGTGGATACTCAGGGAGGTGCAGGAACAGGTGCCTCCAAGAGCGGATTCACGTCGCTCTTGAGGTACAGCTTCAGGTTGTGGCCATGCACCCGACGGATGCGACCACCATCATCAGTCAGCTCGACCTGGCCATCCTGCAAGATGCAGGCGAGTGAGTACCCGGACGGCCAGGGTGGTCGTGGTGCAGGAGGTGGGACCAGCTCGTAGTGGTCTCCACCCTTCTTCCGTGCAGGCTTGGCAACCTGCTGCTTCGGCCGCCACTCCTCCTTGATCTTTTTGTTCGGAGGCGAGGCTGGATGGAGTGGCGGCGAAGGAATGATAGGAGGGTCCTGCAAAATGAGAGGTGCAGAAGGATACACGACAGGCTTGTGTACCTCATCAGAAAGGGCATGCACAGGTGTGACAGCAATCATAGCACAGTGATCAAATTCAGTCACAGAAAAAATAGCATGTTCATTCCCAGCACGCAGGATCAGTTTACCATCATGCACATCAATAAGTGCCTTGGCGGTGGCAAGAAATGGTCTACCCAGAATCAAAGGCACATCCACATCCTCATGTATATCAAGAATAACAAAATCAACAGGATATGTGAATGCACCTACATTAACAAGCAGATCCTCTATGATCCCCCTAGGATGCACAATGGAACGATCAGCTAGCTGAATGCTCATCCTAGTAGGACTAAGTTCACCTAGGTCTAGCTTTTTGTACAACTTATATGGCATGACGTTTATGCTAGCGCCTAGGTCCGCCAAGGACTTGCCTACATGCATGCTGCCAATAGTAAGAGGGATAGTAAAACTCTCTGGATCCTTGCGCTTTTCGGGCAGCTTGTTCTGCAGGATAGCAGAACACTCCTCGCTCAGCAACACTGTCGAGAGATCCTCAAGTTTCTTCTTGTTGGTGAGGAGATCTTTCATGAACTTGGCATACTTGGGCATCTTCGACAGTGCCTCCACGAACGGTATGCTGATGTTGAGCTGCTACAACATTGCCATAAACTTGGCAAACTCAGTCTCCAACTTGTCTTTGTGTAGGCGAGTGGGGAAGGGAAGCTGGGGTACATGCTCCTTAACCACTGGTTGTGGCTTGGGAGCAGGGGCTTCCTTCTCCACCCGCACTTCTGCATCGTCGGCTGGAAGTGCTGAAGAAGGTAGTGGTTCCTCCTGTCTGGCCGGGACAGGATCAGCAGATATGGTCTTACCGCTCCTGGTAAAAATGGCATCCAGCTGCTGGAGCTGGTGAGGATCCCGAGGATTCGGGATAGTGGTGGCAAGCAGAGTCCCCGGTGCCCTGGTAGTGTTTTGGTGGGCATCTCCGGTGCCCTGGTAGTGTTTTGGCGGGCCAAGATGCCCACCTGGGTCTGCAGATCTTGCAAAATGGCACCCTGGTTCCGCTGACCTGCCTCCAGTGACGTGATAGCAGCCTGAGTGCTAGTCATGAATGAAGCTAGAATATTCTCCAGCTTTGTCATCCGATCATCTGGGGCAGGAGCTGCTGCTGGCTCGGCATACTGACGCTGGGGCTGCTGGAATGGTTGCCCCTGCCGAGGATGGTAGGACTGCTGCTGTGGGGCTGGCCCCTGTCTAGCCTGGAAAGGCTGCCTCTACTGAAAACCACCGGCTGGTGCTGGGAAACCAGGTGGTTTAGTGGTGTTGCTGCTCCAGGCGAAGTTGGGATGCTGGCGCCACCCCTCATTATATGTGTTGTTGTACGGGTCGAGGCGCCGAGCATTGGCGATGAAGTCCAACTGCTCTTGGGGAGTGGTAGCCTCCCTCATAGCCTAGCAGTCCTCCACTAGGTGATTGGAGCTCTCGCACCACTGACATTGAGCTACTGGAGGTGTAGCCAAACCTCTGCCCGGAATCAGATTGTTGGGCTGCTTCAATGTCTGCGCCAACTCAGCTACCTGTTGCTCGAGCCGGATCTGGTCTCCATGGCGTGCACACCACGGTCCCGGTAATGTCTGCCTCTGCTGCTCTGTCCCCAAGAATGATCTCTGGCAGCCAAGGTATTGATCATCTGGTTCAGCTCGGGTGGAGTCTTAGTAAGAATATCCCCTCCTGGGCATAGAGACTCAATCACCCTCTGGCTGTCTGGAGAGAGAGCACTGTAGAAGTTCCCCACTGTGAAAGCATCACTAAAGCCATGGTGGGGACACTGCCAGAAATATCCCATGTACTGCTCCCATGCATCACGAAGTGACTCATCTGGCTCTTGGCGGAAGTGAGTGATCTCCCGTTGGATCTCTGTAGTCTTCGATGCCGGATAGTACCTGTGCACGAATTTGTCAGCCAGATCATCCCAAGAGGTGATGGACAATGGGGGCTGGGTCTCCAACCACCTCTTAGCATTCCCCGCCAGAGAGTGGGGGAAGAGATGAAGGCGGATTGCATCATCAGGGACACCATTCAGCTTGAACCCGTTCGTCAGCTGCAGAAAACGGGAAAGATGCAACCTGGCCTCCTCATCCTTCAAGCCATGGAACTGGATAGAAGATGTAATGAGCTGAATCCAGCATGGCTTGATCTCGAAGTTGTTTGCTGGAATAGGCGGGTAGAGGATGACCGGGTGGATGTCAGCAATTCGAGGAGTATAGTACTACTCCAAGGTGGGACCCGGCGGCGGGTGATGATGATGAACCCCATGATCCTGGGGTATGGGGTTGTTCCCCAGGACCTGATTCACCGGGGGAACCTGCTGCGGATTCCCCTGGTGTTGATTGTAGTCTCCGTCCATCCCGTACTCTTCTTCAGAATCGCTACTCAGGTGGTCGTCTATGCGCTCTTCCGTAGCCAGTCTAGCTCGCTGTTGTCTCCTGAGCTGGCGACAGGTGCGATCAATCTCTGGATTCAACGGCAGTAAACCTCCTGACTGGCTACGGGTCATGCACTACCTGCACACACTCAAGCAAGCAAACCCGTGAAGGCACAAGTGGGACAAAGCAAACAAAGCAAAAAGAAAAGCTAAATTAACAGAAATCACTTTTCTTCAACAACCTAGCCGTCCCCGGCAACGGCGCCAAAAACTCGACTCACTTCTACTGTCACTCCAGGAATTGGCCAAGTGAAACCACTTCCTAAAGTGTAGTATAGCGGGTTTGGGTTTAAATGTCAACCCGGGTCCTAGATTTGATGACTACTCGGTGAATTCTTGTTATCTAGCAATGAAACTTTAATGCAAGTCTAAACTAACAAACTAACAAAGCAAGTAAATTGTTGTATTCAGGTTAAGAGAGGTCACCCGAATATGGTTCCCCCTAGACTGCAGTTAAGCCGGATTGTAATTACCAAGTTCAGTTTCTATGATAGTTATATTGCGGAAGGTTCTTAAACAGCCTGAAGTCTCGACTAAAGGTCTTCAGACCCTCTCAATCTGAGTCTCTAGCGGGCGACTAACCTCCACCGGAGTAAACAGATTGAGGCCTTAACAAACAAAACCTCCACTACCGGAGTAAATCCGGTACAGAATAGTGAGTTGGCTCCTCGACTAAAGTCACCAACTCCCTACCTTCAATCAAGGATGCTCTATCAACCTAGGCAGATATTCTCATTCTAGGTTAAAGCAGAAACAACAGGAATTTGATCAGGATTCATGCCATTCAATCAATCAAACCTCAATTGAATATAATCAGATCATAGAATCAGTACTTGGGTTCATACAATCAAACCTAACATACAAATCTAGGGTTCTCCATACCCAGATGAATGGGAGAACTACTCCATGGAGAAAGAAGCAAAAACAGAATCAGACGCGGAATTCATACTGTGAAGGATGGATTTCTGCTTCTGGACGTTGATCGGCACGTCTCCAAGCTCAAACTGGCCTCCAATGGTGATGAAGATCAAGTTAGGGCACTTGGAGACTCTTGTTCGTCGCTTTCTCTCTCTAGGAATCGCTCTGTCTCTCTAAAACTCGAATCCACTTCTGTTTTGGCTGAAATCTGCTTAAAAGGGCATCAGTGGCCAAAGCACGGTCGAGGGCACGACCGTGCTTTGCCTCAGCCGCCCGTGCTTTGGCTAGGGTTAATTACACGGCCATTGTGTTGGTGCAAACACGGCCGTGATTTTAGGAGGACACGACCGTGCTTTGGGTGGACACGGCCGTGCTTTCAGCCCGTGTTTGCAGCTTGAATTTGCCAAACTCAATTAGCTCTCGGCAGTAAAAGCACGGCCACAGAACACGACCGTGTTCTGTTTTAGGTGTGCCCGTGTTTTGGCTCCAGCTCGACGAAATGACTTCCGAATGCCCCGAAACTCGTGCTTAGCCTTTCCTTTGACGCCTGGGACCTGAAATATGACAAAATAGCACAACCCGGCGTAAAATAGGCCAAAAACACAAGACTATGCCCCTCAAACGGATAAGAACTAGGGGCGCAAATATGTGCAATTACATCGTTATCACCATTCCATATAGGTTTATATTTATCATTGGGTTGATGAATGATGATATGCTCGTAAACACAAATTCGATCCGTCTTTTATTTTTATTTTCATATTGTATATATTTTTCCGAAAGCTAATAACTAAGAGCCTAATATTAGAATGTACGTGTGAAATTAACAAAAATCTTATATTTGAGCTTGGTTTCATTATCCGTCATCGTATCCATCAACTTTTCTTATAATATTGTGTGGATGGTACAAAGTTCAATCGTTCTCTTCCTTCCGAGAACAAAACTCCAATTGTTGTCAATCGCAATGATGGCTTTGGATGGAACCACTTTGTTGGAGGAGATAATGCAAGCAAATTAAAAGAGGTCATCTGTAGTTGTATTCTCTCTTGAGCTTGATGAAAATATGGAAAAATGACCAACGTACTATTGATGAATATAATATTGTGGACAGCACTTGCACGTTCAATACGAGCTAGGAGCTGGTTCCTACTCTATGCAGCAACTATCCTGCCTGACACATTTCCCTCGAAGACATATATATACATGGGAGAATTTCTTATGGGCTTGTGAGTTGTGGTACTCCAACAGCATGTTTGCCGATGGCAAGTTGAGGACTTGTTTGGTACCAATTGCCGGCTTTCTCAATCACTCGGCACTAATCCCCCCACCCCATTTCACCTGTCCTTAATTGGTTTATATCAGTTACCAACATCAATGGGAAGGTCTGTGCTTTGATCTATTATATATATATGCAGCTTTACCCACATATCACTCACTATGGCAAAGTAGATTCTGCAACGAATACATTGATTGAAGTTCCCACTGTCGAGGCCTTGGTTGGCTGGAGAGCAATGCTGCCTTAGCTATGGGAACTTGTCGAGCTCACATTTGATTTGATCACAATATTCTATGGCTTCTCACCACAAGGAGACAATCCTTACTATGTGATGTGATTCCAATAAGTAACTTCGATATACAATCCATGACATCGGTGTGGTCGTGTTTGTGCCTAGCCTATGGTATCAATCACCATTCGTGTCTACTCCCTGCAGATATCGATGCAGGCAAGGCTGATTGTTACGATGATTCCCCCTGGACTACTCATATGGTGCGAGCTAGGTACCTGGTTCTCAAACAACCATGGCATCTTCCACTATGGCTTGCCAACTCCATTGCTAAATTACTTGAGAAAGGCTCGTGATCACATGCCTAACACCACAACAATTGTAAAGTCCGAGTCTTTGGTCATGTGTTTGTTATTCCTCCTAAGCTACATTTTGATTTTTTTTTCCTGCGTTGTTTCATTTTCCACCTCCAGAAAAAGGAAGACATGGAAGTGGACATTGAGGTCCTCCAAGACCTGGTCACCACCTTCAACAGTATGATGGAGAATCTTGGTGACACAACCTCGGATTATGGGTAAAGCTTTGAGCTAGCTTTGGAACCAGGCATACTTGGCACTATGCATGGCGTTATAACTGACAGTTTGTTTTTGAATCCTTATTCAGCGAGGACTGTGAAAGGTGGGACATTAAGTTGGCTGTTGAGTTCAAAGAAGGACAAAGGAGGATCATATCCTCGATTCTTTCCTCGTGTGATGATGGCATCAGGCTGCTGCAAACTCATCTGCAGAAGTGCACCAGCTAGGCTGAGTGAGCTTTAGTTTAACAGTTTTGCTAGCTTCCGAGACTATGAGGGTCCTTTTATCTTGCGTTTGCAAAAAAAGAATGTATTAACACTCTTAATTGGAGTGTTGCATGGTTTTATGTTTGTGAATTCGTATTTTAACCGTTCAGGTTAACGAGTTAAGGTATTATATAACAAAATCATGAAGAATCATGTTTATGTCGCTTGTATTGGTCAGTACATTATGGTAGATTTATCTCTCATAATCTAGTTGTAAAATTGTAATGCTAAACTAAACTAAGGTTAGTTTGGATGAAATATATCGCCAGTACAGTATGGTGGATTTATCTAGTTGTAAATTGTAATGCTAAAGTAAGGTTCATTTGGATGATTTATCTTGCCACTACAATATGGTGGATTTATCTATCTTTACATAGTTGTAAAAATTGTAATGCTAAAGTAAGGTTCGTTTTGATGATGAAATTGGATGAGACGCTTTGACCCAATTACATAAAAATAAGTTAATTTGACATGATTATGTCAAAATGTAGCAATTGAGTCAAATTGTGTCATTTGACAACAATAGGAATGCAACAATTGGACTAAAAACCAATTTAAATTGCTTCATTTTGTATCAATTTAAATTGACAAAAACATGACAAATATTTTGAAAAAATACATAAATTATGAGTTGAAATAATTTCTTCGTAGTCAAATTGCCTCATTTACGAAATCTTCAACCACCCCTGAAATAAAATAAATCTTGGTTCGATTTAGCGATTTGGGCTAACGGTTGCCCAACTCCTCTCAGTAGGCGCAGTTACAGTCAGAGCAGGCGGTAAAAATTAAAAAGGAGCTTAAAAAAGCGGTAAAAAAACTGATTCGAGAGCCCGGGAATCTCTGCACCCGCTTTTCAATTTCCGTCGCATCAGTAGCAACTAGCAAGCAATCGCAACTTCTCCCGTCCAAGACCTCCGAGTATCCGCACTCAAGCTCCGCCGTGCAATGGGAGATCCCTCCGACTCTCCTCTCGATGACACGAAAGGCCCCATCACTCACGTGATCTTCGACATGGACGGCCTCTTGCTGGGTAATTTCATCGAACACCTTCGCTTGTACGTAGATCTGGTTTTGGATTCCAATCATAGATCTTAAGATGGCAGTATTCTTCGAATCCCAATTATAACCCAGATTTCAATGGGCCAAGTTTAACCTCGTCTTGGTGTTTGTTCATTACTTGCGTCTCCAACTGAGTAGTTGGTTGTTTATGGGGTTTCTGTAGATACGGAGAACTTCTACACGGAAGTCCAGGAGGTCATACTTGCGAGATATGGCAAAACATTCGATTGGAATCTGAAGCCAAAAATGATGGGGAAGAAAGCAATAGAGGCAGCTCGTGTGTTCGTGGAGGAAACTGGGATCAGTGATACTCTCTCAGCTGAGGACTTTCTCGTTGAAAGAGAGGCCATGTTGAAGAGTATGTTCCCCAATAGTGAGCTTATGCCAGGTACGCTTTGTTATTTCATTTCGTTGCTACATTGGTAGATTCATTCCACATGCCCCTCGTTTTTTCTTTTGCTGATATGAATGAATTATCGATCAGGAGCTAGTCGTTTGATCAAGCATCTCCACGCGAAAGGAATCCCAATTTGTGTAGCAACTGGGTAAATGTGCTGGATACTTGGGGTTGATTTATGGGTTTTCTGGAGAGTTCTTCCCCCTTCCAGTTTCTGCAATGTTTAAAGGGAAGCATGGTCTTTTCAGGTCCCATACTCGTCATTTTGAACTGAAGACAACAAAGCATAGGGAGCTTTTCTCTTTGATGCATCACATTGTTCGAGGAGATGATCCAGAAGTTAAACAAGGAAAGCCGTCACCAGATATTTTCCTTGCTGCATCAAGGAGATTTGAGGTGTTTTTTAAATCTATTCTTGCGTTAAACTAGTGTCAGTAAACATTGTTGTACTTGTACATAAGCTAGCTAAAAAAATGGCGATCTTGATTTGGCAGAATGGGCCTGTTGACCCCAAGAATGTTCTTGTGTTTGAAGATGCTCCTTCAGGCGTTCTTGCTGCTAAGAATGCTGGAATGTAAGTGCTCTTTGTGAAGTTGTTTGTGCATTGGTAATATCTATTGGGTTCTTGTATTTGAGCCGACTTCGTCTTGAAACCTTGTTATAGGTATGCAGTAATGGTTCCTGATCCAAGGCTCGATGCCTCTCATCATGCTGCTGCAGATCAAGTTATAAGCTCCTTATTGGATTTCAATCCACAGCATTGGGGCCTGCCTGCTTTTGAAGATGGGGAGACTTAGGTCTGCAGATTATGTTACTACATCTTTGCGTAACTTAGAGATAAAGAACCAGTTTCTGGATTACATGGTTATTCCACTTTGGTGTGACATCCTGATTGATTTTATGATCTACCAGCCAATATTATCTTCTACCTTTATATTGGATTTGTGGCAAACATTGGGGGGTCTATTGCTACATGACATTGTAAGTTATTTGAGCATTAATTGCTAGTAAAGGAAGCTGGAGAGAAATGGTGTATGATTGCTATTTGAAGTAACCTTGTGTATTCCATTCTTCTTTTCATCATACAGAAAGAACTACACTGATCAACTTAAGCCAATATCTATATAATTTTTCTACCCACCTCTCTCTGCTCACTGCAAGTTCGATTTTATCCCTTGGCTAATTGGCTTCTCCATATACAGGTTTCCCAAAACTTATTGTTTATGTACTAGTGCTTGCCCAATCAAGCAGACCTCACATCTTACACCTTTTTAATTTTTGTCCTATTAGGCTGTAGTTATTCTATGACTATTTCAGATAAGCCTCCACCTAAGCCAGTAGAAAAATGCCCATTTCTCCTGCAACATTCTCTCATGTAGCTCTTGCAGCAACTGTCAATCTCCCTTTGCTCTGAGTTCCTGCAATGATGGCTGTTTGAAATTGCATCATGGCAAGAACTCACTGGCATGCAACTGAAGCTCTCAGAAGGGTTGATGTTGCTTTTACAACAATCGGGGTTAGGTTCAACTTCTGTGCTACAACAACTGGACGCTGCAGTGCTCTTGTTCTCTAATGGAACATCACTCCTATGAATATCAACATGATCGCAATGGATGAAGTGGCAATCCCCATGGATGGCTATGGCCTCTCCCTTTTCCAGATCACCGGTAGAGTCATTGAGATCACTGCCATCATGAGTGACCATCTGGCAATGTGCAGTATGGTAGTGTGTCTGCTCTGGCAAGTTCTCTTCTCTTTGATAGCTTCCATGTACTTCTACTGAAATTTCGCTTTCATGATTCTGTGTGCAAGTGTTTAAGCTTGGCTCATGAGTACTTGAACACCCATGGTTGTGCTTAGAATCCTTAGATGCATCATTCCCTCCACAACCATCCGATTTTAAGCACTTAGAATCTTCACAAGATTTTGCTGTATGAAGGCTAGGCTGACTCTTTGGCGTACAGCATTGAGTCTTCTGAGAATGGCATGCCTTTTCAGACTGATGATGCCCTGTGCCAGTGCATGGGGCTGGCTGGTGTGCTCGTGAACACCCATGGTTGTTGTGACTGTCTGTCTGCACTTTATGGCAGTGCTCCAAATCTTCTTTTGCACTCTTACCTCCACAGCTTGTTGATTTCATGCATTTAGCATTTTCACAAGATTTCGCTGTATGAAGGTTAGTCTGGCTCTTTGATTCGCAGCATTTAGTCTTTTCAGAGTGGCATACCTTTTCAGTCTTTTGATTCGAACAGCAGCTCTGTTCCTTATGATGATGGTCTTTGTGGCCATGTGATGCAGCATGTTTGTGGGTATGACTTGCAGTATGCTTGTGGCTCTCTCTTAGGAGCAACATACTATTCAGAATCACAATCACACAAGTGCCAACATCAGCGAGAACAGCAGCCCAGATCAGTGGATGACCGGCGAATGCCAAAGCGAGGATGGAACCCTTTGTGAAGATTGAAAAGACAACATTCTCAATCACCTTTCTATGAGCTTTCCTTGCCAGCTTGATGACTTTCGGCACTTTCCTGATGTCGTTTGACATGAGAATCACGTGTCCAGTTTCTGTGGCAAGTGCAGAACCCGAAATGCCCATCGAAATACCGATATCAGCAGTGGCTAAAGCAGGGGCGTCGTTCACACCATCTCCCACCATTGCTGTGGGCCCTCGCTTTCTCTTGAAGTCTCCTATTATCCTTGCCTTGTCTTCAGGTAAAAGCTCTGCATGGACTTCCTCAAGAGCATTCTCTAGCTGTTGCTGAGCATGCATGGCTGCTCCTTGGCTATCCCCTGTAAGCATAGCAGTTCTTATCCCCATTGCCTTGAGCTGGTTGACTGCTTCTTTCACCCCGGTCCTACAGCTGTCAGAGAGATTGAATGTGCCAATGAGGGTTCCTCCACAGTAGACATATCCGATTGTCATTCCTCCCTTCCCACCATCTTCAACTGCTGGAACTGCAGCATCATAGAGCAAAAGACTCGTTAAGGATGTGAAGAAACATAATGCTGGATGTTTAATTGTCTTCAGAACAAAGTAAAAAAGTATGGTTTCTTTTACCAGTTGTTGAACCAGCTCTGGCAGCAATCTTCTTATTTCCAATGTAGATGTCTCTTCCATCAATCTTGCCATGAATGCCTTCACCAGTAATGTTGTCGTATTCATCCACGTTTTCAGGACTTGGTTCTACCAAAATCGACCTGCCATATTCGACCAGTGCAGCCGCCATCGGGTGACCAGACTTGCTCTCTATGCTCGACACCCTGCAGAATCAAACATTGTTTCTTCATTGAGAGGTCAGAGGTGTACTTCCTAAAACTACATTATGTATCTCCTACTTGCTGAAAAAATGCCACTGGCTTGCTTACCAGTAAACCAATGTCTCTATGCTGAAATCATCACTCAAAGACCTGAAATCTGAAACGACGAAGTCCCCCCTCGTGATGGTGCCAGTCTTGTCGAACGCAAGAACCTTAATCTTGGCAAGGGTTTCGAGGTAATCGCCTCCTTTGACGAGGAGACCAGCAGTTGCTGCCTTTGTGAGTGCACAGAATGTTGCAACTGGCGTGGAGAGGACCAGAGCACATGGACATGCGCTCACTAGCACCACAAGTGCTAAATGAAACCAGTACTCCTTGTTATGAACCCTCAAAGCCAGAGGAATTACAGCGAGACTTGCTGATATCACTATGATTGCTGCCAGGAGAAAACAAAATGAGATATACTTGGTTCAGTTAGCAATTTGTTACATTTTTTAGCTTACTGATCTAAGCATCTAACCTTTGTATACAGTGATTCAATAGGTCATACCTGGAGTGTAGTACTGAGCACATTGGTCAATGAACCTCTGCGTCTTGGACTTGCTGTTCTGAGCTTCTTCGACGAGCTTCGCCATCTTGGCCACCACACAGTCTTCAGCCAGGGCTGTGGTTTTCACACTGATGTAGCCACTTAGGTTGATGGTCCCAGCCCAGACAGTCGAATCCTTCTGCTTAGGAACCGGAAACGACTCTCCAGTCAGCGACTTCTCGTCGACCTCGCACTGCCCATCCACCACGATTCCATCTATCGGGATGGCCTGGCCGGCCTTGACAGCCACGACCGTGTTCACCTTCACCTCATTGACGTCAACTTCTTCCCCTGTCTCGGCTATGGTGGCCTTCTGAGGTGCGATGCTCATCAAAGAAGTCATCACTGCATTGGCCTGTGAAACGTGTGGTAAGTCCATCAATCCGAGTTTGAACCTTGAGTTAGGAATACGTGGTTTCATTAGAATGATTTAGCTTTACTTTATGGCTTGCTCTAGACTCCAACCAGTCGGCAATAGTGAAGAGGAATACCACGGTGGCTGCTTCTGTGTAGTCTTTCATGGCCAACGTTGATATAACTGCTCATATACATGAATTTGGTCATCACATCATATTTAAAATACGTAGGTCTGTGGTATCCAATACGTATCTTGGAAAACTGTGTACGTGGGAGACAAACATTAGTGTTAGTGATGAAGCTTAGGTGACAGGGAAAAAGTACTGGTACTGGTAGAGAGAGATATAGCGGAAGTTGGGCCAATCTTTGTCGATTTGGAATCTCTTTTGCAGCCTCGTATCATATTTCGTGTCTTTTGGTTGACTTGGTCAACACTGACACACACATAATTGAATGGCAGACGTACCGGCGATGAGAACAAGGACGGTGACGTCGAGCCTCAAGTTTCTGATGGAGGCGATGGCTTTGAGCAGGATAGGTGGGATCCCGACGGCGACGGCAGCGACGGCGACCCACTTCATCGGCGGGAACACAAACTTGAGAAGCGAAATCAACAGCAAGGCCCCACTCCCCATTGCGTACGGACTCGGCCATTTCTTCCTGTAGCTCCCGCCGCCGGCGACACTGCTTCCGTCCAATCTTACGTTCGCTTCCAACCTGGCCGTGTTCAGCGCCTTCACTGCATCACCATCATAACATAACTCACTATCTTGGCACGGAAATTACGTTATTCACAAAAAGGAAGTAATTAAGAAGCTTTTCTTACCAATCTGTAGCTGGGAAACGAGCAAGGTGTCATGGACGACGATGACGGTCCTGGTGGGGACGACAACAGAGACTTCCTTGACTCCGTCGAGGGATTTGAGGATGTTCTCGACCAGTGGCACCTCCGACGAGCAGCACAGGCCCAGCACGTCGAAGTAGCTCTTCTGCATCTTCTGATCGGCGCCCGCCATCGCCATGGAAAATGATCGAGCTACTGTAACGGATCGTAGCTAGCTAGCTTCTTCTTCCCTGCCCTCCCACTTTAACTGTACCCTTCCCCTGCTTCAAGGGGAAAGAAGGCCGTGGAAGAAATGAAAACCTCGTGAACGAGTCCTCGAATTAAGCGAGAAATGGGGGGAAAAAGGGTATGGGAGAACGGCCCCTAGTTCACGTTTGGCGGACAAGGAAGAAACGTCTTCGGTGTAGCTAAGCTAGCTGAATAGAAGGAGGGATTCAGGGGAACAGAGAGAAGGAGAGATTGAGATTCTTCCCAGGAGGGCTCGCCGAGCAAGGCTACTACTACAAGCTACGTTGGAAGAAGGAAAATGGGAGGTGGATGGATGGGTACTTGTTTATGCATATATTTATATATACACTGATACACATAACATAATACAAGTCAATAAGTATGAATTATATGAGGGTATTTTTTTTTTGTTTGATTTGGGTGGGGGGTGAAAGTGAGGGAGGAAAGATAAGGAGATGTGGGTTCTTATTCATCCCTCTTTTCTCCCTTTTCCCACTTTTAGTATGATGGTGAGATTAGTTTAATTCAAATGGATCAACAAAGTTATTATAAAGAGGGCTTTTGGTTAAAGTAATATTATCATAGTTGATTTTGGATAGGTTTAGAGTTTGGTAACTCTCTATCTATCTCCTTGGTAAGGATCAAAATAGGTAAGAACTGTCCATTAAAATGCCACGAAAAGCACTCATGAGAGCATGTTAAGCAAACAATCGGCGATCAACCGTCGAATTAGGGAAAAAAGAGAGAGAGCGAATGCTAGAGAATATAGAGCATTACGGGTAAAAGAAAGTGCTAAGAAAAAGGGTCCACAAAGTCTTTGCTATACCAGAACTTATGCTACTCAACCCCTTAAAAACAACTTTGGAGAATGCTCACCCATCTTTCATATACTAACAAAGGATTGTAGGTTATATCTAGGGAGGAAAACATAATATAAATGAGAGATTTACCACAAACCCAATGTGAACTCAAATATGAATAAAATAAAGAAGGGAAGATTTGGAGCGCATTAAGGGAAAGTATAGGATAGATGATGACGAAGACAGATTGTTTACTTTTCCCTTGTTTGTTTCTATTGGCAGGGAGAAGAGTTGATTCGTTGTTCTGATTTAGTGTTTAGTATGTGGTGTGGGAATATGAATAGGTTCACTGATATCAGATCATCACAAACATTTTATTAATTAATGGTGTAAAGGTAGGTAGGTAGTGGAGGATCTTATTTTATATAGGTGGGGGAGTTGGAATAATTGGAATCCAACTATGAATCCCAACACTGTTTCAATTTTATATCTTCTTATTATGTCATTGCTATTGCTAATATTCTTGGAATATTCTATAGATTTATTAAGCTCTAATATTTTTTTTCGAGTAATCTGTTCTGTTTAATTCAATTCGAAGCGACTTATAATTCTATTATCATAACGAAATTCTTTTTATCAACGATACATTTTCAAAAATTAAGCAATCATAGTTAAATTCAATGATTTGAATTACCAGTTAGATAGACATTTCAAAAATTAAGTGACCATGATTAAATTCTACGATAAACCAAGATTACAACGTTGTACTAATCGATCTTCTCTCATTAGTACTTTATGATCACCTTTATCTTTTGTACTAGCAATGTGTCAATTGCACCCTAGCTACCTACCCTTTTCTTGAAGTTCATTCTTTTCAAGTTTACATGGTAGCATCTAGCTAGTACCAAGTTCATATCCTATGAAAAGAAAGTGGAGCAAAGCATCCTAAAAAGAACATTAGCCATTTGCTTGTTCTGGCGAATGTTAGGCACATATCCAACCACATGTACGCATGGTTGTCATCTTGCCCAAGAGAATCAAGAGAACATCCGAACTTACACATATGTTTTGTTCATGTTAGTGCACTCTACACATAATTTATGTTATCTAGTTCTTCACTCTACTCACACGAATATGGTTTCGTCTGACTCATAGAACTTGAAACTATGTCATGCCTTGCTGAGTTATTGAGAGCTTGTGAAGCTTTTATTATTCCATAGCTATTATGATCTATACAGATGTTACGTGGTAATAAATTACTCTAAGTCATTATCATTTATCAAATATTGATTTGAATTTCGAGCGATGGGACTAACTAACCGAGCAATGTTTTCGAAATTGCTACTATTCAAAAAGTAGCAGGACTACATTTGATATCACTACCTTCCAAGTATTTCCAAATAGTTGATTAGGTGGGTGTATGGAGGTCGATTAGGTAGCAAAATGATAGGAAACAAGCTTTTATATATGTGGGTGTGGCGATCCACTGTCACCTGGTCCGTTGTTTCACCGAGCCATTACTTTCTTGTCTCAAAGTAGAGGTTGGTTGGCTCAATACTAGTTGTATTCCTGGAGGTCCGGATGTTATCTTCTACGCATTATCAATAACTAATTACCTAGTCATGTGTTATGTCACCAAGAGGTAGTCGTCATAACTTGTATGTTTTTATTATCATTAACTAGAGTTAAACATCCAACCTCGCGTAGTTAAGAGACAAAGTAAACTTAAAATTCAGTAATTTTTTTTTATCGTTCTCTTTTTTTCTTCATTTGTAAAGATAAAGAAACTTAGAAAACAAGATAATGATCAGAGTTCAAAGGATACATCACAAGTTCAAAGAAACTGAATAGTTCGAACCTATATAACTTTGTGAAAAAAATAAAATGTCTAAATACATCAAAAGTGTCACAATTAGTCATATCATAATACTCATTACTCTCCAAGTACATCAATGATCAAACCCATTGGTCTATCAAAACCCGACCCGTAATTGGAAAATTGGGCCTTGTCACATGACTTAAAAGTTAAAACACTTTGACCCACTGGAACTAGAAAGCCTTCGTCCTTCTTGCCGCTTCAACGCCGCCGGTAAACCAAAAATCGCGCCACAAAACAGCTCCGAGTATCATCGTCGTCGCTGCCTCAACATCCCTAACTTACCGTCAAAGACCCTCAACTTTCGATCCTTCCGGCAGTTTGTTCACTCGTTCCTACAGATAAACCCACAGTAGTTAGAGAACTCAGAGATGGAAGAATCGCGCGATGGAGACTGGACCCTCGTCGCTCGAAAACCCTATTTCGGCCTCCCAACTGCTTGCCCAGTTTGCTTGCCCGTTTACATCTACCTCAAGCTCGCTCGTTGCCCTTTCAATCTGGAGATCAATTCCGCTTACCCGGATTCAGGTACACGCATGATGAGTTTCTCTGTAATCTTCTCCGTTTTGGCTTTTGGGATCAGTTCGATTTCGTTTGTTGGACGAGAATCGGTACAATGAGATACGAATTAGGAACTTGAGTTTGTAAAGTTTTTATTTTTGGACTGTGTTTGTAGAAATTTTGATAGCGAGGTGCATGATTTCTTCACTTCGATTTGTTTGGTAGTTTAGAGTTGCCACTGTCGAACATAAATTTGGTTGCTTTTAGCTCTATGCCATCCAAGTTGTGAGATATGGAGAACTATAAGTTGTTCAATCAGTTAGATACAATCTTAAGGATGCATGATTGGCTATATCGATGGACTGATGCTGGTTTACCTTTCCAATGCTATAGATCAAATTCCTTACGTTGAGGGTGGAACTTATGTGGCTTACAACAATGAAAAGGGCGGGGTTATACAACAATTGAAGCAAGTTGGAGTTGTTGATTTGGATTCCGAATTCAGTTCGTTGGCAGAATGGGTATCAATGAAAGCAATGATGAGTTCATGGCTCGCTGATGCAATCACGTATGAGCTCTGGCTAGGATCTGGTGAAAATTCTGCCAAGCAGATTTATTATTCGGATCTTCCTTGGGTGATAGGGAAGGTTCTTTTTGTTAAACAAGTTTACGATGTTAAGCAGCGATTTAATATAAGTAAACAAAATGCCGAGAAGAAGGAAGAAGAGGTAAACATTTCTATCATTCACTGGTATTTGTGCAATTTTTTATTTTTTATTTTGTGTGCTTATGGTTAATAGTTTCTATTATGATATTTTTTTGCTTGTGGCCAGATTTATGATCGAGCAAAAGCTGCGTACAGAGCTTTGTCTACAATGTTGGGGGAACAAGATTTTCTCTTTGAGAACAGGTGATACTTTTTCCTGATTCCAGTTTTCTAAATTGATTTGTTATAGCTCAGCAGTCTTTATGACGACACTTCATTGACATATGGAGAGATAATGTCACATTATTCTTCAGTATGTTCTGAGCGAGAGAATGGCTGTGTTAGTATCCACTATAGCTTCTGCAAACACTATGTCAAAAAACAAGTTATTCCATCCATGCAGGCCAACAAGCTTGGACGCAGACCTTGTCGGGCATGTGCTTTTCACTCTTCAAGCTTTACCCGTGAGTCATTTTAGCACTCTTCTAGTCTTGCAACTGATTGTCCACCGTTATGTTCCCTGTTTTGTGCTGTGGCTAATCATTAACTTACTGCGAGAATTGACATATAGCTTCGGACTGCCTCTACATGATTAGCTATTTAAAATTTGCTGTATAATGTCTAAGTGGCTGTTAGCGTACAAGTGTTTTTTTTTTGTGCTTTGAGTGAAATCGTGTGATAGTTTGTAGTGCTATCTAAACCTCTTGCTCATGCATTACCTAGTTTTATTTCTTGCCAAATCTGTAATTTCTTCTGGTAGAAGTTCAATGTGTAATTTAGACATTTGGTGCTATATACCGTAATGAATTCTGGTTTTCTTTATGTTATTATGTGCTCTAGGAAGACTCAGTTATCCGGGCTGCTCTCTTAGAGCATGGAAATCTCGTAAGATATGCTGAAAGACACAAGAACGATTTCCTGACTTCTGGTCAATCAAGTGCTTCTGCTTCAAATTTCCAGCCACCACCATCAGCAGCTCAAGCAAGTTCAAGTAAGATAATCTCAACCACCCTCACTTAACTTTCTTCAATTTTCTCCCTTTCCAACCGATTCCATTTTACATCCTGAAGCTTAATCCTGGAATTCTGCAAAATATAGTTTAAACCGAGAACTCACTTTCACCGTAATTCTTAAGATTAATGGTATCACTATCAGGTTCGAAACCCAAGAGGAAACCTAAGAGGGAGAAGACGGAAGAGGAGAAGAGTTTCCAACGGAAGGCCAAGTACTTCATCGGTGCACAGCTTGTTGCAGTTCTACTGTTTTTGTCTCTCTTAGGCAGTTCATCCAAAGCAGACCTTGATGAAGATGATGAGGATTAAGTGACGAGTAAAACCTGGTTCCTTGTATAAACAATTTCATCACCCTGTTTCGTCGTCTCATTAGATTTTGATTTAGTCATAATCATTTCTTTCTACCTCTTTGATATCACTTTCAGTCTTCAGAGATCATAGTTGCTAACAGTTTCCGGAGTATGTTCTTCCATTTTGTTTCGACAGACACCGAGTTAATAAGATGCTTAGTGATTGGGATTCAACTAGTGCCTGCTTCACTTGGCAATAGTTCCCATCAATGTTCTGTGGAGCTTTAAGCCTTCTTTCTCAGCCTTATTTCATGCTTTGAAAGTGAAAGCTCAAAAAAGACAAGACTATGGTGCAAATTGTTGCAGCTTCTATGGCCACTAGATCATTAACGTGTTTGAATTACTACTAGTTGCTTCATGTATAGTTTTGCTGTGGCAAAATATAGCAGCTTATGGTGACTGTATAATTTGTTTCTTATAAGTGGCCATATTCGCAGGGCCATTTCGCTAGTGGAGATGGATGACCTTATCTATGAACCAAGGGCCAGCCTTCAAATTTTTGTGTGATCATTGGTAAGTGAAGACAATGCAATTAAGCTAAGTTTAATTGGTTGAATACCTTTACTTTCTAATGATTGAGTGGTAGTGCCAAAGTAGAAGCTTAGGACTACTACCATAATCAATTATGGTCTAGTAAGTGGAGATGATCTAGTCCGCTACAATAGTACAATGCATAACATTATTGATTTAACATATTCGAATAAGATATAACACATTTGTATTATCAAATTAGTTTAATTTATTCAATTTTTATTACATTTAAAAAAAAATCTGATAAAATCGAAACTTTTGTGTGATCATTGGTATGTGGAAGACAATGCAAATCAATTAAGTTTAATTGGTTGAACACCTGCACTTCCTAATGATGGATTGACAGTGCCAAATTGGAGCTTCCTAATGATTGAAGCCTAACACTATTATCATTACCAATTATGGTCTCAACTGTTCTAAATTCATAAGAGATTATCTAGTTCGGTACATTAATCTTATTGAATTAACATATTCGAACAAGATATTGCACATTTAATTTTATTACATTAAAAAAAAATGTAAACGAACTGAAATTCGAATTGAATTAGAGTAGAATACAATTTGATTCGATTAATCTTCAATTTACTTTGATTTACTCACATTCCAACAATTTGATCATAGGCAAAAAGCTCTATTCTCACAAAAAATTTGGGTTATTAAACCACCTACTCTAGAAAAAGAAAAAAAAATGTAAATGAAGGAAAAACTACCCATCATCACATAGCTCACAAATTGCATTCCTTTCCTCTACAAAGCTTAATGCCCTGTTCACTTGCCATTTCGTTTTCTGTTTTTCAGTGTCACAACATAAATCAGGAAATATAATTGCAAAAACGTGTTCACGTAAGATGTTTTGTTTTCGTTTAATAAAATGGGGAAGAATGAATGTGGAAGCTGGCAGAAACGATAAATACTCGTTTCTTGGAATTAATGGCACGGGTTTCTCCCCGTTGCCCAGCGGAGAAACACAACTGTTCATTAATGAGGCCGCGGGTTCGAGTCCCCCAACCCATCTTTTTTTTGCATTATTTATGTTTGGTTCTACACGCAGACAAAAGATGCCGTTTTGGCATTGAAAACACTACTAGCTACCTCCATCGATCTCCTTCCTCCATCAATCTCCTTCCTCCGCGCCATACAAACGGCCACGCTGCGGGAGAAGATCGGCCGTCGCATCTCCTCCAGCGACCTCCATCGATCGGCCTCCTCTCCACTCGGCGAAGCCCGATCGAGTTCCTGTGGCTGCTTGGAAACAAACGGCCGTCGCATCCCACGAGAAGCTCGCAGACGAAGCTCGGCCGCCGCATCTCCTCCATCGATCGACTTCCTCTCCACTCGACGAAGCCCGATCAAGTTGTTGCCACCTGCAAAAGTTATCTGAGGTATTGATGAAACCCTTAGCAAGAGAGATGGAGTGGCGGGGAAAATGCTGCTTCGTTCTGTTGGGTCTTAATCCACCGGAGTAAATCAATCACTCTGAAATTCTGAATGGTCAAACCTAGGGTCAATAAGCGACTAATAGTTCTGGATCTGGAGGGGTTGGGTTTAGCTCGCTTTTTTATTTATGTTGTTAATCGCATTAGCTAGAGCTCAGGGGAATGTTTAGCCCATCGTTTTGTGGCTTACAATCCACGCCATCAACCAACTTCTGTTATATGGTCATGGTCAGTTGCTTAGGATAGGAGTGAAGAGAGAAAAGTATATGTGCCATCATAATCTACTTATGTTGTACTAGTACTTAATTAATATAAGATGTTGTACTTGTATTCTGTTTATTTGTAGTTTAAAAACTATGTAATTCAAATTAAAAATTATAATCATGTCTAGGGTTGTATGATAATCAAGAATCAGAAAACAGAATGAAGCAACTAAACAGGTTTTCATTTCAGAACTCAATTTCAGAACTCACCAAAATTCTCAGCTAAACAAGGTTTTTTCAGGTTTTGTTTTCCAAGAAATGACAGCTTCGTTTTCATTTTAATTTTGTTTTCTATTGTGGCAGCTAACAGAAATGAAATGGCAAGTAAACGGCCCATAAATCTACTTCTCCCGGAGCCGAGCAGCCGGCGGGAATTCTTCCCCATTCTCCCATTGCTTGAAAAGCTGAGCATACCCTTCAGCCGCACCATTCCCAAACTCAGTCAACGAGCTGATAGTAACCGACATCCCAGCACAGAGCACCCTCATACCGATCTCAGCCATCTTCTCCGCTGTCATCACTTCCTCCACCTCCCTGCCAACTTCCACCATCTCCATTCCTCTATTGTTATTATTTATCTCCTCGAACCACCAGGGGAAGAAGTAGAATCGTCTCTCAGCACCTGCTGATCGCGAATCGAACCCATCCAATCCGCGGCGGTCTCCATCCCGTCGAACACTGCCTTCTCCTGCACGGCATCCAGGAACTTGGACCACCCAATGCAGAGTCCGAACAACGGGAAAGAAGCAGTGCTGCTTGATCGGCTCGGGGAGAAGGGTAGCTTCGATATTTCGGCAGGGTCGAGACGAACGCACCGGAGGAGCCAGCCGGCGAGGGACTGGATGTAGGATCGCTGAGAGGCGATCCATGTCTGGAAAGATGATCTCCAGTTTCGGAGCTCTGTTTCCATGGCGGCAGCTGATCGTGACAGGCGTTGATGGTCGGTCATGGAGATGGAAGCCCGCCTTCTCGCTTCGAGCTTTGATGGTGCTGATGCTACTAAGAGCTTGGCCGTGTCGAGTGTTTGTTTTTGTGAGTGGTGGCACTCTGCCATCACCTTCCACATCGTTGCTAACCTGTTTTTGCATTGGAATGTTTTTAGCTAGCCTGCATTTTAATAAGTGACACACAAGCTACTTGGGAATGGAATGAATACATTACCCTTGTGCTAGTTCCAAAAGCTGAGGCTGCAACTCTTCATCCCGCAGAGTCTCTATCCTCTTCGATATGACTTCCACCGAGTGAATCGAAACCTTAATCTGTGTATCCAAATCTCTAATGGCTGCCCTCGTCTTGTCCAACACAAACGGATCCTCTCCTTTAACATCTTGGTTCGTTAGCTGCATGCATTTCTTCTCGTACGCTATCCGAATCCTTTCTCCTGACTGCAAGCAGATATTGATGTAGCAATCAACTGTCAGCTTTCTCCTGAAACAGAATTGTTCAGTAAATTCATAAACTTTACCTTGACTTCGTCAAACAGCTTCTTCTCCCAGGCGTATAACCTGTTCAACGTAGACTGGTGGCCACCTGAGATCGCAGAGGATTCATCTGACATGTCACTACTGCAGCTTTCCTCGGGTTCAAACTCTCCGGAGGATGAAGAGTTGGCCATGAATCTCGATGACGATGAACGAAACGAAGCTGATCGGATTAGTGCGACTGGATTCAGCATTTTCAGTGCTGCATTGTGAGGAAAAGGCAAAAATGAAAACAAAACAAGAGCATTGCTACGAAGAAGTTGCTACTACGAGCCACAATACTAACAGAAGTGACCGTTATAGGCTCCGTTTACCTGCGAGATCATTTGAGGTGGATGAGATGGAATACTGAGCTCTGCTAGACTCCAACAAACCCGAAACCACCTTAGCTGAATCACAGATCCTTGTGAACTGATCTTCAACATCCTTGACAACTTCTGCCATGCTTGTTGGTCTTCATAAGTGTCATTAGCTTCTTTTCCAGTTCTTTGAACAACTCCAATGGCACAGTGAGATCCACTTCTCTTACAACAAACCCACAAGAGACGTCCTGTTACTTCTGATCAACCATAAGACTGCAAGAAGATATTACAAACATTCATCAAATCAAATTATGGTGAAGGTGGTGCCTTCTTTCATTACCAAGTTATGGAGAGTGAAACTAGTTTTCTTCCACAGAAACAAAGGCAATGAAGATGCCTTTTTCCCCATGCACAAAACAATGCCACAAGCAAAACCATTAAAAAAAGAAGCTAAATCAAAGACTAATAAAGAATGAAGGAACGATTATAAAGGGTGGGTTTCATTTGATGTATCAGAATGATTTGATTTCCCAATTAGGAGGGAGAGCAAAATGGAAGTCCCCAAATGATGGAAAGAAAGTCCAAAGCAGCAGCACCAGCACCAGTTTTTGACTGGGTTGGTCACATGGAGAGAAAGATAGAGAGAGCTCCCTAAAGGGCTCAATCCATAACGTGAACACAAACAAACCCTTTTCTTTATGAAATGAATCTCCTACTACTGTCTGATACCGTCATGTGAACCAGATAGCAGTAACTAAAATACACACAGCATCAGGCAGGGAAATAAACGATTGTACTGTTCCTTATTAAAGTATCAATACAAGCATATAATGAATCTATTCCTTCGCCAAGCTATTACTTTTTACCTGAAGCCAGATTATACACATATGGTGGTTTAAATTTCATAAACTACGCAGCAAATTTACTAGCGAGCATACCGAGGTTGTCAGTAATAATATGTAGAATACCTGGAACTGTGGAAAAACAAGTTCAGGTAGTGTTTCCTGGTGGAAGGAGAATCCTTCTGCAGCTGAAAAAATTCTGACGTTGTTGATAATACTGTGTGCTGGAAATGGCGGAAGAGGAATCGTACCTGGCGGCAGCGGGAAGACGGCGGAAGGGTATCGAAGCTGAGTGGAGAGGAAACACTGAGAAGGAGCACTGACAGGAGGCAACGGTAAAAGAGATTCAGTAAAAAGAAGAGTTGCGAGGAAAATATGTAGGGTCAATTACAGATCAATCACTAAACTCTAATACTTAACGAACTTATCATTGAAGTTTACAGCAAACTATAACAAATGATTATCCAATCTTCTCGAGGCTTTCTAACAAAACATTTCAAGGTAGTCAGGTAGTGCATTGTTAGCGTATCAAAAAGTCCACTCTGGTCACCTAATCAACCCAAAGACCACATTGATTTAACCTCAATTAGTTGTCACAAACGACCCTTCCCACTAGTATACGATCAAATCAAACTTAATTACTTGACCAGATTGTAGTCCTAAGTTTTCTCTTCCTCTTCCTAATGATGCTCGTTAAAACGACCCTTCCAACTAGTATACGATCAAATCAAATTTCATTACTTGACCATATTGTAGCCCTAAGTTTTCTCTTCCTCTTCCTAATGATGCTCGTTAAAAGGACTTTTGTGGTGTGTTTTCACAACATGCATCCTACTTTAGGCATTCTTAAACTCAATGATAAACTTTAGCTAAATACAAAAGGAATTGGTGGACAATTTGTCAATGAAGCTAAAGTTTATTTATTTTTTAGTAATTCCTCCATCAAAAATATATAAAGGGATATAAAATAAAAAAGAATTGGGTGGAAGAGAACATAATTGGAGCTAAAATGTCAAATTTGGCTCCCAATATAGCACTTTAACACTAGACCATTAGAGATGGCCTAATGGTTTGTGTTACAATACATTGCATTAGAAGCATAAATTAGGTTTTGATAGTTGATATGATGATATATCGCAACTTTGTGATGTTGTTTTTGTTAGAAGGAGTGATTGTCACGATTTCATGCAATGTAGAGAACTAATTTGTTATTGTCAAGTGCTTAGTTGAGGTAGAACTCCTTTTAATTTATAGAATGTGATCTCTTGAAAAGTCAGCGTGAACAATAATTTATGGTTATTTGAAGATCTTACAATGCTAACTGAATGATCTCATCTTCATATCACGTGTTATTCATCACGCTCGTGATATGCACGTGTCAAATAGAGTTAGTGACATCACACCATTAATCATGTACATATGATTTTTTAATTAATTTTATTATTAGCGGATACATTTGATTGACTAAATGTTTAAATCTGACCTGTATCCGTAGGCTGTAAATTATTATTTGGTACGACCTTAAAATTTGTTTTGAAATCATGGAGTGAACGTAGTTTACTAAAATGAGAAAATACGAGGGCCCAAAAGTAACATTCCGCAAGTCTCAGCGTCTAGGGTTTATATTGTTTTCCGCAAATGCAGAGAGTTTAGAATCGGTTGCCGCCGATTTCCGAATCTCCCTCCATTACTCCGACTGCCGCCGTCTTACTCCCAATCTCTGCTCTCAGCTTATCTCCAGTCCCTCCATCAACAACCCGCGACCGCCCTGGTTTTCAACATGGCAAGTCGACCGGAGAATCTCGCCCCGCCTGAAATATTCTACAATGACGCCGAAGCTCGTAAATATACCTCCTCGTCGCGTATCATCAACATCCAGGTAGAATTTAGCTCTAGGGTTTCTATGAGCTTCCTTTGACATTCTCTGCTATCTGATTCTGCCTTCCAAAAACAGTCGAAGCTGTCAGAGAGAGCGCTGGAGCTTCTAGCTTTGCCTGATGATGATGTTCCCAGATTGCTTCTCGATATTGGTATCCGGGTTTTTCCGCTATCGAATTTGATTACTTCTTAATTGGAACTTACAGCATGCTCATGGAAGTTCTGAAAGCTTTGGTCTTTTTGTTTGTGCAGGTTGTGGTTCAGGGCTTAGTGGGGAGACGTTAACTGAGAACGGCCATCAATGGATTGGTCTGGACATTTCGCCATCTATGCTTGGTATATGTTTCTTGTCTTCTAGGTTCGCCTGATTATGGATGCATTATGCTTTTATATACAGAAAAGTTTGAATCTTTGTCTCAACTGTAGACATTGCAGTGGAGCGAGAGGTTGAAGGAGATCTTATGCTGCACGACATGGGTCAGGTATGCCCTTTGGTCAATCCAAAGCTCTATACATAGTGTTATTAGCATGAACTTGTTCTTTAATGCTGAGTGGTTTTATGAAATGGCAGGGCTTGCCATTTAGGCCTGGAACTATTGATGGTGCCATAAGTATCTCAGCTGTTCAGGTTCGTGCGCTTTATGCTTAACTTAGGAATGAACATTTGCATAGGGTTACTCAATATTCATTCTTTTCTCTCCGTTCTTTTTCTTCAGTGGTTATGCAATGCTGACAAGTCATCTCATGAGCCGAGGAAACGGCTGAAGTATGTTCTTCACATCTTCCGACCAATATTTCTTTTTCAAAACATGACTAGGAAAGTGCTGCAACCAACTGAGGCCTTCTTCTTACCTTGTGATTTTGATCTTATTTTCAGGGCTTTCTTTGGATCATTGTATAGATGCTTAGCAAGGGGAGCGAAAGCCGCATTTCAAATGTACCCTGAGAACATGAACCAGCGTGAGCTGATACTGAAGGCGGCTATGCAAGCTGGATTTGCCGGTGGAGTAGTTGTTGACTACCCACATAGGTGTGCTTCTTCGACAATATATATTAGTTAGAAGCGACCAGTTTGTGTTTATTAGCTTCCGTGGCTGACCAAACTTCTTCCTTTCACAGTACCAAAAGTAGAAAAGAATTTTTGGTCCTAACTTGTGGGCCGCCATCAGTTAACACAGCTGTTCCCAAAGCGAAAGGGGAAGAGGGAGAGAGCTGCTCGGAAGATGAAAGTGGCGACGGTGACGATGAAGAGCACCAAACAGTGAGCGTCTTTTCCGTTACTTTTGTAACTCCTCGAAGACAACTGTATCTCTTTTGATACTGGTGACATATGTGTTTATTTGTTTGTGATGTTTCAGGTGAGTATCTCGGACAGGCACAGACCGAAGAAGAGGCAGAAAACTGGTAAGAAGGGGAAAGGAAGGCAATGGATATTGAAGAAAAAGGAACAAATGAGAGGCAAAGGACATAATGTGCCACCTGATACAAGATACACCGGCAGGAAACGGAAGGCAAAGTTTTGATCTTTCTTATCCTTCTGCTGCTTCATCTTGCTATTTTGTGGCTGTGTTATGTTGAAGACCCAAGATGGTGAGTTTTGAAGATGCGACGATACCATTTTTGTTTCTTAATTAGAAACTTAGGAAGCAATGTATTCATTCGACAAGACCTTTGCAACGTGAAGTTATGCCTTGATATATTTATTTCCTTGGGATTCTTTGGAAGCTCTATTCATCTTTGGCTTGCTTCAATTGCATCCTATTCTCTGTTATCTGCAGTCTTCTGTGTGAACAGAAACAGGACCCTAACTCCCAAGGCACTAATAATGACACAGAAGTATTGAAGGAGGGCTGATGAATCAAATTTGGGCCACTGCAGTTTGGGCCTTGAACTGTCGATGCTGACCAATTCAGCTAAAGTTCGGCTCTTCAACGACTCTGTTTAGAACCACTAATCACTTTCTGTAATTAATACCTTATGATTACTCTTTAACAACTTCCATTTATTCCTTCCGAACAACATCCATTTGTTGGTTTAGTACTGTCTTTATACATTATCTAAAGATCCATGTGTGCAATTAAGTAAACGATGCTTCAATATTTTAGCTAAAGAAGCTTTCAACATTTAGTAACCAGAAAAAAACTACATTCGCCTGCCCATCAACCTCCCAAATTTCCCCTCTAATTCCCCTATTTCTCAACCATTCACCACACGAAAAGGAAACACCTTTGACTCCCCCTCCTTCCCTCTCTCTTGGCTCTCTCTCTGTTTCCTTCTTTCGTGTCTGGAGAAAACTCCCAACTCCCCTTTTATGTTTCACTCCAGAGACAGAGCAACGATAAAAGGTCTCCTCTTTTCCTCCGCCCGCTAGTTTTCCTCTGTGTAAGAAACAGAGCATTAGTTCATAATGAAGTACATGAGAACAAACAGCTTGAAGTTGAAGCGGCTCTTCTCACTAGTCCGCCGAACCCTCGAAGAAGAAGACGAAGAGATAATCGGGAATGAAGATGGAAAGCCAATTCGCCAAACCAAAGAGAATATCGTCATCAAGTCGCCCAGAGCACCCACCTGGAGATGCTTCTCTTACGACGAAATATCACTCGCCACTAATGCCTTCCACCCAGGTTCCTTCCCACTTTTTTTTTTCTCAAATTGTTTCCTTCCGTTTCTAGCTCATCATTCCAATTCTCACGCGATTTTCTTTTGATTTTCGCGCCGGCGGCAGATAATTTGGCGGGAAAAGGAGGGTATGCGGAGGTTTACAGGGGAACCATGCCGGGAACAGGGGAAGTTGCGGTGAAACGGCTGACAAAATCGTGTACCGACGAGAGGAAAGAGAGGGAGTTCCTATCGGAGATCGGGACAATTGGCCACGTCAATCATCCAAACGTTCTTCCTTTAGTTGGTTGTTGCATCGACAATGGACTTTACCTCATTTTCCAATACTCCTCCATTGGCTCACTAGCTTCTCTTCTCCATGGTAAAAATTGGCAAACCAAATCCACTCATTAGGACGATTGAATTGAAAATTCATCGACTCTGTTTTTCCACCTTCAATTCAGGGGAGAATTGGGGAGAGTTGAATTGGAGAAGAAGACACAAGATAGCGATCGGGACCGCTAAAGGGATCGAGTATCTCCACAAAGGATGCCAAAGAAGAATCATTCACCGGGACATCAAATCGTCTAATGTTCTACTGACGGAGGATTATGAGCCCATGGTATGTTCCTTTTTTTCTTCTTCCCTTCCCAAATTTGTTGCTCTGTTTATCCGTCTCTCACTGGTTTCAATTCAAATTGCAGATATCGGATTTCGGGCTGGCGAAATGGCTGCCAACACAATGGTCTCACCATTCAATCGGACCCATTGAAGGAACATTCGGGTAAAGACCAGCAGTTAGAATACAAAGCTTCGAGATGACACCATTTTGATTCGATTTTCTTGACTGATGATGGGGAAAAGTCTCGATCTTTACTGACAAAAAAACAGGCACTTGGCGCCAGAGTATTATTTGCATGGGATAGTGGACGAGAAGACGGATGTGTTCGCGTTTGGAGTGTTCCTGTTAGAGCTCATCTCCGGCAAGAAACCTGTCGATGGGTCTCACCTCAGCCTTCACAGCTGGGTAAGTCCGAATGAGAACAAAAAGGAAAAAGGCAAACAAAATCATTATTTCCCTTCCTCCTTTCTTTAATAAATCAAATGAATTTATAGATGGCTTTGTATTCATCTTCATTATTCTAAGAAAGTTGTGATTATGACTCTCTATCTTGCATTTGTCTAATGTGGTCTAGTGGTGAAGGTGTTAGAGTTTGTTACACGATAATGGTGAAAAAATCTCAATAATTATGTGTGTGTATTGACAATAAAAATGGACAGGCGAAGCCAATCCTAAAGAGAGGGGAAGTGGAGGAGGTGGTGGATGGAAGGCTGGAAGGAGAGTACGATGGAACAGAGCTGAGACAACTTGCATTTGCTGCTTCCCTCTGCATTAGACCTTCCCCAGCCTGGCGCCCAACCATGGCCGAGGTACGTATTCTATTCCCCCTTCCTCTAGCTCTACTTCCTTCTTCCACCATAGCACACAAATATAACGGTGGAAAATGAAACCAAAATGAGAGATTCGATGGCCAGATAGAGTAGACGAGATAAATATAAATTCTTTTTTAACATGCATAATATAATATGTGAGCCGTCCATAATGTATTCATTAGAACAATAAATCATATTCTGAAATCAATAAACAACACATGAACATATTGATCGAAGCGTGTAGTAATAATTCTAACGATTCAAAACGTGGCATGTTACATGGACCACAAAAACCATGAAACTTCAGCATTATTTGCACTTATATACATCCTCTACATAAGTTGCAATCCTAACAGACTATACAACATCGAGAATGGTCCAGTGCCCCCCCCCCCCCCCCCCCCCCCCCCCCCCCAAAAGTTCCTTGCTATTCCCCATTACAACAACTTCCCTTTCTCCTCTTATCATTCTTTCCTATCCTTCCCCCATTATTTATGACAAACATTTAGTTCTCTCACCGACCGCCATTGATGACCATGAACAGCAACGAAAGGGAAATGAATCACAAAACAGAGCCAAAGATCAGCAAGATGCGTCTCTTCAAACCTTCCACCTCATAACAATGAGTCCTTGCCCTATGTCATTAACTACTTAATCCTCTTCTTTTTGTATGGCTTAAGTTGACTGTGTGAGCGGTTCATAAGTCAATAGTTAAAAATAATAATGATTTAGATGGGGGGAATTAGGTGGGTTTATGCCTGTTTGATGACTTCTGCATTTCATTTTCACCGCCCAATTCAAAGACTACTATACTACTCCCCACATACATGTACAATTGACCTACAAAAACATTATGTTTACTTTTTTTTTTTGGGTTTTGTGTACAACTAACTAAAGGTTTATGGCAAATTGGAGAAAGAAAAAAGAACTATAGTTTGATGGTCTGTCATACCTAATCCAAAACCCATTAAGCCACGCAAGAGATTGCATGAGTCTTCCCTCGCTGTTCTACATGTGGTGTTTGATGTTGATGATCACATCAAGTTTGATAAAGTGGAGGTTTAATTAGGTTGTCATGATCATTCTCCCCTAAACAAATACCATACAATCCAAGGTCCCTTGTATTGTATGAATTAAGTCCTTATTTGAATAGGATGAATTGGGTTTTAATTATAGTGGATGGCAGACCTTCATATTTCAGATAACTTATAGTGGGTATGAAGTAATTAATAGCATATTTATTCATTCGTTCGTATTTTGCATCATAATCTAATGTTCATATTAGCTTTTTTCGTGTCGTATATCAAAATGCACTGAATATTTTTTTTTTCCAATGAGAGAATATGAATGTAGAAGAGCATATATTCACATACCCAGAAGCGATTATGAGAGAAGTAACAAAAATGGTAATTTTGTCAGGTGTTGAAGGCAATGGTAGATGTGGAGGAGATGGGGAAAGAGAGGTGGAAGATGCCAGAGGAGGAAGAGGAGCAACATGATGAGTTTTGGGGGTTTGAAGATCTTGAATGTGATGATGAAACTATTTCCTTTTCTGGTTCTTATTCTCTTTCCCCACAAGCTTCCTTCTCTATGATGATCTCCACTACTATTACTCCTATTTCTACTATCAATGTTACTATTGCCACTCCAACCTCAATGATTCCTTCTTAATTCCAACCTAGACCACCTATAGTTTTGTAGTAAGTATACAATTTTGTATCTTCACCCCACCCCCTCCTACCTCTTTGTATTTAAATATTTCTCTTCTTCTTTTTTCAATGAACTATTGTATTATAGTCATCTCACATATATAAAAGTGAAGCAAGTACAAATTCAGATCTTTTGTAAAGTTGTTCTGCTTAATATAGAGATTATGTTACAAAATCATACAATAATTCGTGTAGCAAACAAATTGGTGGATCTCATATTTTGATTGCTACTTCTTCATCTACTCGTAACAAATCCTGTGAGAGTCAATAAAAACTTAGATGAAATCATCAAGTTTAGCAAAAAAAAAAAAGTTGAGTTTTTCATAGTTTGGATGTTGGACCATATTCAATTATTCATCATTTGGAAAAGGTTGAATTGTTCTAAGAAAAAAGGGTTTAGTTATATTTTATCCAAATGATGGACCATATTTTAACAAAAAAAAGAATTATATGGAGATTCCTTTGGGATCTCTCTCCCTCTATCTCTCTTTATATAATTTTCCACTAAATTTTCATAAATTAATGATCTGATTGATTGGTGTTCTTGATTAGCATCAATCCCCCCTAATTATATTCATTGTTTTGCATTATAGTCTCTTAGGGGAGGTCTTAATCTTATGCATGCTACCTCTTGCTTAACACTTTACTAGTTTATTGCAAGTGTTAGGAACTTAATTAATTGAACTAATCAAGCTAATAATATCTGCATGCTCGCATGCTTAATAATACGATTAACTTCTAGTGTGTCTCTCAAGAAGACAGCTCATTTATGCATTACTTAATAGTTATCCAATTTACAGAAGAGAAGAATAAAATGCAATAAGCACTTATTGCATTTGCATAGGATCCTACAAAAACAACATTAAGTAATCAATTCCAACCTAATGTGGCTATGCTCGGACATGATTGATTAGCCAGGCACTGACACATGACTAGAAGAAGATCGTGATTCACTTATAGAATGTCTATTTCGTGAATTTGATTATTAACAAACATTAATGAGGAAATATGAAGAGAAATTTTTGATGATTCTTGCAAGTAAAACACAAGGAATATCAATTAAGATATCGATCACACATTGGGTAATGCTTACTTAGATGCAGTCCAACTCAGAATTTGGCCTTATTAGGGGTTGGTTGAGAATTATAATACTGAAAATTAGGCATATATATGTTTGTGCCTTATGTATATTATGGGGCAGCTGTCCCAATTTCAGGGGAAGTTGGTTTGAAAAGGCAGTGTAAGGTGAGGACTCTGGTCTATTGGCCTTTAGTTTACTTAATCCTCCTCCCTGATTACATTTTTGTAGTTAGCACATGTCACTTTTGAGAATCATGTACTCATTCACAATTGTAATTTTTCTTTCTTTGGATTGAAATCTCAAATATATTAGCCAACAACCAATGCCAATTCAATTTGTATAGTGAATTGAGCAAAAAAGATGTTATAGGAGTCAGAACTCTCGATCGCCATTTAATAGCAAATCTCGATAAGTTTGATCGTTTTCAAAAAAAATTTTATGCTTCATCTGATATATGTCAAAAGAAGTCAAGAATATAATCTGCCTTAGAAACCACCATGCATCCAACTGATCCAAGAAACAAAACCAAATGAGGGCAAATCTGTACAAGATAAGAAAAAGAGTTTTTCTCTTCACAAACTGTGTGGATTCTTAGAAGCCACATGATATTTTAAGTCTCTGTCTAGAGCTATCACTATTTGAAAAACAAAAAATATATGTGGACGAACCATCAACCACACTGAACTGATATGAACTTCTAACAAACTGAAGAGGATTGCAACTTCAGATTCTTGTTGTTCGGGAATCACACCATGAAGAGCCCTTGATAAAACAATGAACTATTTGTGACTCTTCTAATGATCTGGTCAAGGAGCATCGTAAGTTCAACGATATATAAAGCACTTCAAATTGAAAAATAGATCTCTCTACGAAGTTTTAGTTGTAGTATATCTCTTCCCTAAAAAAAGACCAAATAGACAACCATCGGCCATTAAGCATATTGTATTCAATAGAGAAAAGGGAAGGAAAGAAAAGGAAGAACTTTCTCTAATATTGCAATGGCTGTCTAATTAAGTCATTGGATAAGAAAGTAGCAAAGTAAAAGCTGCAAAGTGGCAAACTAAAACCTCTCCAAGAAGGTAGTTGTTTGTTTGTCTCCATGCCAACCTAACCCACAAGGCCACAATACCAAACTCAAAGCTTAATGCCACGAGAAACCCATATGAGCATATGTTCTGCTGGATAATGATTTATAAACTTATTAGACAACACAATGTGTAAGTTTGGTAAACTTACTAGTTTAATGACATTGACAACAACAACAACAACAATGACACGAGAATCAATGTCTGGCAGGGCAGGGAAGAAAATATAAGAAAGAGGGTCACACTTACCTAAACGATCACTAAATTTTGGGATAATTAGCAAATCAGTCATCGAATTTTGATAAGCTCGTCATTTAGGTTGTTTACACGAAAACCGTTTGAAATAACAAAAAAAAATAATACTATGTCCTTCATTACCAAGTTCCTTAGCCCATTTTTATCATCAATGCAGGTGAGTTAGCATGTTGATACGGGAAGATGATAGAAATAAACAAAGTAGACAAAACGATCGATACGTTAGTTATTTCAACGTTTAGTGCGAATTGATTCGTTAGGTTCCTAGTGTTTAGTGACTGTTTATGTAGTTGACCTCATACGATTAAGATAAGCAGGTGAAGTTGCTCTCTCCATATCATAATTCCCAAACCATCTAATGTAAGGGGCTCCCAAATGGAACTCTCCTCCTCTCAAAGCTAAGCTGTGCTGCTGAGGAAACATGCCATGGAATGTTAGTTGAAAGATGCTGACCTTCTCCACATGCTATGTTGGCTGGTCCTATTTCTCTGTTTTAAAAGGAAAATGGTTTTTTAATTATTATTTTATATTTTACAACTAGGCTTGTTGTGTTCTTGTTGTTTACCTGCAAAGAGAACATTTTATTGGTGGGGTGAGTTCTCGTCGTTAGGATTCATTGGTAAAGTAGATTGACTTAAGTTGACACTTTGAGATTATTTCCAATTTAATCGACATTTAGAGCTCGAAAGGGTATTAGTTTAGATCCTAATCCTATATTGGAGGTTTGCTGAGCTCGGATGAGTGAGCGGTAGATTAGGTCTATATCAAGTTAAACATATCAAACCAGTATTTCTAATGAGGAGAAGTGAATCAGTGCATTATACGGTTTTCGAGATATCTTTATCTGAGGAATTTTACAATGCTATATAGCATCAGTGCTATAGGTTTTTGCCTTTATGGTACAACTTAAAATTGTACCTTTAACATTATGGTACAACTTTAGATTGTACCTATACTTTTTGTACAAATTCTTTTATGGTACAACTTAAACTTGTACCTTATGTGATGGTACAACTTTGTTGTAAAGTTGTACCATAACATAATGATACAAATTCCTTTATGGTACAACCTAAACTTATACATTTAATGTTATGGTACAACTTCAAGTTGTACATTAAAGCACCAATGCTATATAGCATAGTAGAAGTGCTCATCTTTATCTTGCTTGCATGTTCTTTGATCTTCTAAGATATTAAGTGAGGATGCATTTTCTAAAATTATTGTTTCGGCACAATGCATTTTTGTAAGATATTATTGTAGAAGCATTTAAAAGATTGCATATTTAGAATGTTATTGTTCAAGGATTTCCTTACTCTCATGTATTGGATTGCATTATTTTGATGTGTTTACAAGATTGATCATTCTAATTCTATCTAGAGGCCTGACTCATCTATATGACATGCCCTAGTAGCCCTACCCTATTTTGGATCCATTTTGTCTAAATTATGTGTAATTTTAATCAAATTACTTAAACTTTTACTTGTATTACATCATATTTTATATATAATCAAATTGTAATCAGATAAAAATATTAACTTATTAAATAATTTAACTTTATTTATCATATCAACATAAAAATTTTAAATTAATATCTAAAATGTTATTCCTTCAAAATATATACCCATATAAATCGACATGTATCCGACTTGTGTGTCCATACCCGTCCAACCTGACTCATTGCCTTCTATATTTCTATCATATTCAAAATAGATTGGTTAAGTTACCTAGTATTGCGAATAACATCCCAAAATGCAACCACATGACCAAACAAAACAATAGGAGGAAGAACATCACAAATGCATGTAAAGAGCCCATGGATAGACAGTTTTTTCGTTTCGTTGAATGGATAGGCAGAGTTGGGAAGATCTGAGAGGAGACCATTATGATCCAGAAGGGGTTATAAGCCCAGTCAAACTAATTAACAGCAATTCCAATCACCAGGCGAGAGCCCATCTCAGGGCCCAGACACAAAAGAACAACGAAGCCAAAACCCACATTCACCTTCGATTGAAAGGGGCAAAAGAGCACCAGGTTGTAACAAAAGCTTGCATCTTTGATACACAAACAGCTACAACAACATGGTTAGGTGGCAAAATGAGACCAAAGGGAACTCAAGAAGCAGAAACACATTCTTAGCAACCTTCTCCTATACTATACTTTGCTTAACAGAGCAGCCGTTAAGCATATATTTATATATAAAGATGTTGTACAACAGACCGTCCACCATCGCTGCCGGCTCAACTTTGCATTTCGCCATAACAACAGTCTTCTAATTCACAGATAAACATCCAGCTGATCATCATCCATCAGAGTAGGATTTGGGAGGCGGCATAACATCACCGTTCATACATTCTGTGCTTTGCCTGGAAACTCTTTTGCTTTGGCTCCTTGATCCTGCAAGTAATGGCACAATGCAAAACATTTCTTTATTGTGATTTTGAAGCAGCCAAGAGCTCAAATACTCTTATCTTTCTGCCGTACAACCTACTTTGAGCTCGCAGGTTAACCACAACGACGAGACATAGAACTCATGAACAATAACAGAAAACTTGGCTTTCTCCCTGCATTTTGGGTCTCTACTATTTTCCATGACATTTCTAGAGTCATTTGATATATAGGAAAGAAAACAATGCCAAACAGAAAGGGAAGCAACTACAACTTGGAGAAAAGCACCAATGTCGGAGTATGGCTTTCACTGTTGCTTACTGGGTCAGAGTAGATGAGCTAGAGCTGCTGTTGTTAAGATCTATTGGTAACAGTAGTAAATGCAACAAGACAAAGAAGAAATGGCAGCTAATGCAGCAGAACAAGAACGATCTATGGTTCATTTCACTGAATTCCACCAAACTAATAAATATATTCGACAGAGAGAAAAGAGCAACCAGGCTTACCAATCCCTTGGTCTCAAAATAATCATCCAGAGCCCACTGATACTTAGACTGATTCAGTCCAAACCACCGCGCCAAATGTTCATCCAAGCTCGAATTCACTGCATCAGAACAACAATCGCCCACCTCCACATTTCAGCTCACACATTTCCAGCTACTTACTACTTAAAAGTTAAGGAAAGCGAAATGAACTGAAAGAAAGAGGAAATGGAATTCGGAATCCGAGTTTGTTTACCGAGCTGAACCTTGGAGACGGCGGAGCGGAAGAAGCCGCCCGCAGATTCATCGTCGGTCTTGGTGAGGGGCTTGGCAGAGTGGATCTGGGGAGCGGGAGGGCAGACAACCTTCTTAGGGGAATCGTGGTGGAGGTTAGGCGGCGGGGAAAGGGGAGACGGCGGAGTGGGAGGAGTGGGAGGAGGAGTGATGAAGACGGTGTACGGGCCGATTTTGCCGATGGTCGGCGGCGGAGTGGACGGGTCGGAATTGATTGGCATTGTCAGAAACAAGTAGTAGAAGAAGAAGAAGAAGGAAATAGTGGGAAAGGGCGGAAGCTAAAGAGTAAAGCAAAAGAAGAGAATTCAGAAAGTAGAGTACTTGGAGACTCTGAGCAAAGATGCAGAGTGTGAACTGAAGGCGAAGAGAGAGAGAGAGAGAGAGAGAGAGGATTGCATTGGTTGGTGGGCTGGAGTGTGGGAACAGAACAGAGACTTGCAAGTTGCAATAGATTTCTTCTGCTCTTTCCTTCTGTTTGAGATAATTGCATTTGCAGACCTTGTATTATGTGGTTCATTCGTTTTTAGTGTGTCAATTTACAGATTTATCGAAATTAGTCACTTTCTTCAAACTATCAACCATATGGCTGGTTTAGTGGAGTTATATGATTTCTTCGAACTATTAATCACATTATAAGCTTAGTGGAATTAGATCGAAAAGAAAAGTATGTAGATCAGAAGAATAAGAGCACTCACTTAACAACATTACTAAGAAGATACTTTTAGTGTAGGAACTAAGGGGTCGTTTGGAAGTTGCGATTGTTAAATAGATGTATTGTTGAGAATGCATGTATATTATACATGTACTGTCGAATTTGATGCATTGTAAAATACAACGTTTGGTATGTGTGATTGTGTATGTCGCATAAGCTAAAAGCTGAGACAAAACAATATCAACTCAACTATCTCAGCAATCACAACTAAAAGTTGAGATATAACAATCATTCAAAATGAGTGATAGTTTCTGTCACATCATAGAAACAATCCATGTATTGTTTCTGCTAAAAAAAACAAAAAAAAAAAACGATGCATTGTAAACAATACATGCATAATGACAATCTCAACAAGACAATCGCAACTTCCAAACGATCCCTAAAAATAAATTTATTACAAAATACATTAACATGTTGGTTAAAATAATATAATGCAAGGACACACAAATAATCTTCAGCCCATCGTCAGCCCATCTTTGTTTCAATCAAGTACCTATAATCAACGGTTATGATTAATTTTCTTAACGTTAGTCGAATAGGCTTCCTTCCTATGGCCAAATAACACTTGGCCTTGTAAAAAGATTTACAAGTTAGAAATGGAAGAACAACCATCATACGCTGACGACCCTGGTAACATGTTATATTCTATATAGCACATTCACAATTCACAACAACAGGTGCAATATCTGATCCATGCCTCTCAATTTAGAAGAAAATCCAATCTGCAGCGTGCTACAAAGACACAAGAGGTAAACAGCAGTAGCAAAATTAGAGCCTGCAAGTTATTTCTTCGTATAAAGGCATTCACTTTTGCAGTTTTTCTTTGTACCCTTTTGTTTTCTTTTGGTTCAGATGATCAGGTCAGAGACCACATCAAAGAACTACTAACTAGAAGAAGAAAGACGAAGAAAAAAGAGAACCCAAGAGGCAGAGGTTACATAAACATAGAAGCAGCAGAAGAGTAAGAACAAAAGCAAAAACAAAAACGAAAAGAAGAGACTTCCTCCATTTCTTCTTCCTACACATATATTGATACAACTATCACTCCCTACCCCAAACCCCTCCCCTCTAACCTCCCTAAACCCAGACCTGGAATTTACTTAAATACCCCACAAACTCTTTCTTACAACACAATGCATGAGGCACTCATTTCCAGACAAACCCTTTGTTCTCCATTACACAACATTCCTTTTGACTAGACAGTCACAACACCATATTTTCTTCAGTCAATCAAGGAACTATCACTGAATTCAGATGCCTAAGTCCTCAACTTTGAACCCTTTTCTGCAATCCTGAGTATTCAACACACTATGGCCAATACAGCTTGTTCACTTGATCGATTGTTCCTGCATGTACATACATGGTTCCTGTAGTCCGAATCAAATCACTGAACTTGCTAATGCCAGTTCATGCAACTCACTAAGCATCCATTCCTCCCCGGTCTGACCACCGAGCACTATAGCCCTCGTCCCTCCAACCACACAAGTACTATGCCCCCATGCAAACCTTGGTGGCCGTCCAGGCACATTCAGAATCCTCCATGTTGGTTTCTCCTCCGTTGGATCTAACAGATAGAGCTGGGAAGCTGAATGAAGGCCCGCCACGGAGCCTCCAAAGATGAGGATCCTCCCACCGGGAAGACTGACTGCTACGTGGTCAAGTCTAGGAGGGGGCGCCACCCCTCCCGGGTTCCCTGCCCCAGGCATGCCACTCCCTGTCACACATCTCCAACATGGCTCCTCCTCGCTCAAATCCATCGTGAACACATCGCTGGAACGAAACCTCAGGGGCCCACTCTTTGCCAGCCCGCCGAACATCAGTATCTTCCTCCCCCCATAGACTGACAATGTGTGGCCCAATCGAGAAGGCGGGGTCCACGCAGCTGGTATCTCTCTCCAAGTGGGCTTCTCCATCGAGAGGTCTAAAAGAAATGTGTCGCTAAGGAGAACTCCCGAGTCAGCACACCCACCAGAGACGATCAGCTTTGTGCCATCAAGGGTGCATGAGCTGTGCCATGATCGTGGCAGCGGCGGAGCTAGCCCCGAGATCTCCCGCCAAGTTGGTGGCTTGGCATCCAAATCCAATACGAAGACATCATTGAGCAAACCCTGCCTTCCGCAGCCTCCAAAGACTACTAGATTAGATCCATCGACGCAAGATATCGTGTGGCCCCACCGTCCAGGTGGTGGGGAGCTGACATGGACATGTTCCCACTCCGGGTTGCTGGCGTTGAGATCTAGTACGAACGTGTCGTTCATTGGCTGCATGTTGACACCTTCCCCTCCGAAAAGGACCACCCGGTTCCCCACTGCGCATGCACTGAAATTGCAGCGTGAAGGCTCAACAGAACCACCGACGGTAACCTTTCTCCATGCCGCTGCTTCAAGGGTGGTTAGTTCTCGGGCAAGCCGACCCCACCCAAGTCTTTTCGCGCCTGGAACAGCTTCCAGTATCCGAGTTGTCTCGCATCCCCATGCATTCTGGCAGACCATTCTCCAGAGGTCCTCATTCTTGGTCAGCTCATAGAACCGTCGAGAAACCGAACCAACCGACGCAATGTCTCGAGGAGTCAACCGAGATAGAATCTTCAGAGATATCACCTCATCACTCAGCTGCAGCATGCCACAAAGTCCACTGCGGCAAACAGATCGATCGGCTGGGCAGTAGGTGGAGAGTCGAGAACCAAGGTGGTCAGTAAGTTTAGCTGAAACCTTAACTGAACCAGGTACCGGGCCGAGGTCAATGTTTGCTGCTTCGGTGAAGAACTGAATCCCGATGACGTGAGTGATTATGTCGTCCTCACCATATATGGGAGTGAGGCGCAACCTGTTCATTAAGGGTGACCCATCTTTTCTGAAGTTCAACAGCTCACCTTGGAATTCAATGCCTTCATCGAGGCACCGCCTTATTTCTGAGATCACGGATGAGTCGACTAATGGATGCCTTCTTTTGGCGAACGGTCCTCTGCATTGCAAGAAGCGGCTGTTTGGAGAAAAAAAGAGAATAAGATACAGAGGGTAGTTAAATATTCTACATGATATGGATTAAAAAGTGGTTTGAATCATATGCCAACATTTTGGCGCCTAATAGGAAAGATACTAAATTTTTAGGCACTTTCAGGAATAACCTTAGTATGCCCAATCTCACATATAAATGGTGGTCTCAACATCCAAGGTATATTGTATTTCTTTTCTCAATTACACTTAGTTCACAATAAGAGTAGCTAAGGTATACCTGTAGTTGGGATCTAACTTTCAGCTAATCATATTCTTGGGAAGGCCATTAATAACAGCTCTAGAGCTATTTTTAGTTAGTAGGCACTAGGCAGGGATACCCTGTCAACTAGCTTCTCCAGCATTTTCCACTACTGGTTCAGTTGGATTACTGAGATATGAGAAACAAAAAAAGTCCCATCATGCAAAATGTAATCCTTATAACTGATAATGAAAGTAAGCCACTCGTTGTTTCAGAAAAAACTGTACCAGATACTACGGCAGAATCAAATGTCTATTGAACAAGCATAGGCCTCAAAACATATCTTATAGGTTACAAAGTCTTCTCATGCGCCTTCTAGATGCAAGAGACGGAATGCTTGTGGCAACCGATAAAAGGCCAAATGATTTTGAATTAGACTTTAGAAGGACTATACTATGGCTTTCCTTCTTTATATTAGGTGATGCGAGCTGCAGAAGAGAAATAATGGTACTAACTTTTGGGAGGAAGGAGTGTCATTGTTCCTAATGTCCATTTCATGATCATTCCTCTCCATTTACACTTCTACCACCAAAATGACCTCCACTCGGGAAAGGAGTCCCCAAGATGTAGAAGGAACTGCAAACGGAGATTCAAGCCTACTCATCAAATTAAGCCAGGTCTACCTCCAACACCACCTTCGAAAATGATGAATGAGAAATCAAAATTTCCTTCATCTTTAGGTGCATGTTGCTTTAGCTATAAGTATAACCATTCAATCTATAGCTTTAGTAGGTGATTTCCTTCATCTTTATGTGCCTGCTGCTTTAACTATAAACTTCCAACCTATAGCTTTAGGTGCCCTTTCCTTCACTTCATCCACCTATTCGCTTTGCTCTAATTATCCATCTACAACTTTCGGTACTCTAACCAACCATAAATTCAGTCCTAAATCCTAACCCCTTAGCAAGTCATTAGCCATTTGAAAAGACATAGACAGCTAATATTTCCGAAATTCCAACATGAAGACATTCAGTAAGCTAATAGAGCATAGACTTGTGCAAGTTCACCAGGTTTTATCCAAAGGTTTCCACGCATATCAGTAACACCAAGCACTGAGTACCCCCTTCATACGTCCAGCAATAAAATTGCCATGGAATGAACAAGCAAGACTTCCTTCATCTGCATCTCCAAGTTTGTCCTAAGTCGATAGTCAAGAAGACAAACTGCTAATAGTTCCGAGACTTGAAATTCAAGATACTCAATAAACGGTTATAGCAAGTAGAACCATGTAAGGTCATCTAGTGCCTTCAAAGGGTTCCACTAAAATCCACAACACCAACATGCCCTTCATACATCCAGCAATAAGACTGCCATGGAATGGGAAACCATGATCTCCTTCATCTTAACCCACAAGTTGGTTTCACTCTAACCATTTTATTCATAGTAGTTTAGTACCCCTAAAGGCCTAAACCCATCATGAAATCACTCCCAATCCCTCAACATGGCATTAGCTAGGAGCTAAGACACAAACTGCCAATATTTACAGAAACTGCAGCATGGAGATATTTGAAAAAGTAAACCAATACAACACAGACTCATTCAAGCTCGTCAATTTTCACCATAGGGTTCCACACATATCTCCAACACTGAGCAGTCCCTTCTCATATCCAGCAATAAAATCGTCATGGTATGGCTATTCCAATCATTTCCATAAAAGCCCCAAATTCTGAAACCCTCCAATACCAATCTACACGAAATTCAAATTCCAAATTGTACGGCTCTGGTAGCCCAGACTACGAACAGGGCAAAACTCGAGGAACTAAACAAAAAATTACAACTCACGGAAACGAAGAGAGGATAAAAGGCGTACCAGTTGCGGCCAAGCACCTCCTCAGCTCGATACCCAGTTACCATCTCGAATACAGTATTGACATAGATGATAGGGTGGTCAGGCTCAAGGGCATCCGTGACCACGAACCCACAGGGCGCGGTTTGAAGCAAGCTCTCGACGGGGAAAGGGATTGGACCGACACCATCGCTGATGCCGAAGCTGCCTTCCTCCTCCTCGTCGCCGCTCAGATCCGAATTGCTGCTGTCCCACTCCATCAATGTCTTCGAAACCCAGTTACCTCCGTCCGCTATCTACCCCATGAGTGGGGAGTAAAAAGCAAGGTAAATGCAAAACCCAGAGGAAACAATCAAAAGGGGGAAGTGCACGGGTCGATTGGTTTGATCACGGAATTGGAATCAGCTGAAATGGAAATAGAAGGGACGAGAGTTTTGGGGAAGAAGATAGTCGGGACTCGGGAGCGAAAACGGGTGGTGGTGGGCAATTGGTTTGATTCTCGGGAGAAATTTTTCTTCTTTTCTTGGTGGGCTGGTTCGGTTTGTTGTTTTTGGTATGCCTTTCCCGTTGGGCTAATTCGGTTTTGCGGCTTTTCTTCCGTCCCGTGTCTTGTTTTTGGCCTTGGCTTTCTTTTTATGCACTACGCATTTACATGTGTGGCGGCGCGAGTCACCGGTTCGGTCACCTTACCGCCCTTTTCTCAAAATTTTGGTAGGCTTTTCTAATTCGAAGAGATTAAGGTGTTGTATGTACTTTAAAGAGGGATTAGTAATAATCATTTTTACTAAGGATGAATACAATGGATTAATAAGGAATAGCTCTTTCAAATATACTTACAAATGTATGATGCAAGATTTGGATTCGTCCGGTCTAATGAGGGTTGTAGTTCTGTTCTAGTGTATTTGATGGTCTCAAAACTAGGGTGGTGTTTGGAATTGTTCAATATACTATTTCGGTTTTGTTGGCTCAATTTCGATTGCAGGTCACATAATGGAATGCAATCCCTGATCAAAACTTTAAATTGGTGAAGAGTTTTTTATAGGCAATACAAACATCATGGTGCTAGGCGCAAAACAATGGAGAGAATGGAAAGGAGGAAGCATAAGAACAACAAGTCTACAAGAGTGTTATTTCTTATCAATAAAAGCGTCCCTTGTGTATGGGAAAGTATAAGATAGCTCATATAAACAGACTTCAAACGTTTGAAGTGGATACAAACATCCGATGGAACATGCTACACCATATCCCTAACGTGAGCAGCAAGTCTCTGTTCAGACTGATCATCAAACCCTCTATCCACGTTCTTAATCTGGGACACGAACTCCATCGCCTCTTTATACTTCCTCGCTTTACAGAACCCATCCACAGCGATCTTATATGTCAGCTGATTCGGCCTGCAATCATGCTCAATCATATACCTGACAACGTCTTTAATCTCCTCGAACATCCCTTTCCCAGCATACCCTGTGACAAACGTGTTGTAGGTGAAAATGCATGGCCGGATCCCTCTCGAGTTCATCTCGGAGAATAGTCGAATGGCTTCTTCCATGAGTCCCTTTCGACAGAACCCTTTGATCACCGTGTTGTAGGAGACAAGGTCTGGTTTCCCTAGACCCTTGAGGATCTCCTCGGCCTTCCAGCAGTCTCCTGATCGAGCATACATGTCCATCAGGCTGTTGTAGGTCACGAGGTCTGGGTTTAGCCCGGCTGAGCGAATGTTCTTGAGCATCTCGTGGGCTCGGTCGGTCATGTTGTTCTTGGCGAACATCGAGAGCATGGAGTTGAAGAGAACCAGGTCTGTTTTGTAGCCGTGTTTCAGCAGGGATTCAAATGCACGTTCCATTCCAGGTAGCCATCTGCACCTGTGAAATGCGAGAACGAGAGTTCTCAGAAGCATCCAGCTAGGGAAGATTTCGCCTCCATAGATTTCTTTCTCGATCCTCTCTATGCCTGCAATGTTCCCTCCCTTTGCATAGGCATTGAGGATCAAGGAGTAAGATGTTTCGCTGGGCTTGAATCCTTTACTCTTCATGTCTTGGAGGACAGATTCTGCTCCCTTCCAATCCCCTTTGCGAGCTAAAGCATTCAGGAGCGCATTGTAAGTAGACAGGCTCGGAGCAAAACCCGCTTTGATCATCTGCTCGTGCATCTTTGAAGCGATTATATCCGAACCACACCTGCCATACGCACTGATCAGAGTGTTGAAGGTATCTCTGTCAGGCTCGAACCCAGAAGCTTTCATCTCCTGGAAAACCCGATTCACATAGCTTTGCATGCCTTCATCCCCACACATTGCAAGCATCGTGTTCCATGTGACGCGATTAGGAGCACACCGATTTGGTTTCATATCATGAAGCAATGTCAGCATATCTTCAGACCTCGTTTTTTTCTTCCCCAGCATCCCAAGGAGAGCATTGTAGGTACAGACATTAGGGACACAACCTAACTCCTTCATCCTTGCAAACAACTCCAATGCCTTGTCTACGTTTCCTGTTTTCCCATAAGCATTGATGACCGTGGTGTAAGTAACAGCATTCGGCATTATCCCTTTCACAATCATCGTATCAATTACACCAGCGCCTTCCTCAAAGAAGCCTGCTCTTACATAAGCAGCCACGAGCTCATTGTAAGTCACGGAGTCAGGTGGACAGTTGTTCTCCTCCATCTCTTTCAATACACTCAGAGCTTCCAAGTAAATGCCTGCTTTTGCAAAGACCTGGAGAAGTGCATTGTAAGTAACAGTCCCTGGTATATATCCCTGAGATTTGAGGCCAGCGAAGAAATCCTTTGCTTCCACGAACAACCCTTCTCTCCCACAGGCGGATATCACTGTACTGCAAGTGAACTCATCAAATTTCATCCCTTCACTTCTCATGTCATCTAAGAGTGCTAAAATATGATGCCAAGAACGACCCATTTTGCCATAAACATCGAGCATCACATTGTAAGTCACCAATGTAGGCGACAATCCTGTCTCCTTCATCCTTTGAAACATCTCAATTGCTTTGTCATACCTCGCAGCCCGAGAATACGCGTGGAGTATCGTGGTACACGCCCGGACATCCAGCTCGTAGTCCTTCAGCGGAATTTTATCGTACAGTTGGGACGCAATGGAATGCTGCGACTCTCTGCCCAAAATTCTCACCATAAGCTCCACACTCTGCCCATCTACCTTCTCATTCTCTCCTTCCCGATTCGAAACCACCCATTCGAACAGCAGAAGCGCCCTCTCCCAGCTCCCGCAACGATCCAATCCTCTCAACAAGCTGATCAAATCGATCCGACCCAATTCAGCTTCGCGAGACCCGAAGAATTCGGTCAAATGTTCCAGAGGCTGGTTCAAAATTGAGTAAAGCACGGCCTTACCCTCTTTCGACAAGAAATCGAGCGACCCATTACCCGACGACGACGACCAGCTCCTCTCGTCGTCATCCGATTGGTAATGAAGCTGCTGCTGCTGCTTCTCGGCGGGGACGGGGAGGGCGCGGAAATGGGAGTTCTTGAGCTTGGCATTGGGGGAAGAGGAAGAGAGACGGAGGAGCTGCTGGAGGAGAGAGTCGAAGTGGAGGGTGAGGGGGAAGGAACGGTTGGAGGAAGACGGCGGCGGCGGCGGTGGGAGAGTGGGTGAGGTGAATTTCAGAGGTGGGTTCGGCGGCTGCGGCGATGGCCGGGTGATTGGAAGTGGGTAGATGGGTTTGTTGGGGAAGAGAGCTCCTTCCATCTCATGGAATTGAGATTGGGGTGTTGGGGTTTTCTGGGTTATGGATTCTGGTGACGGAAAGGGAGAAAAGATAGGAAATTGGAGGGAAGAGAAGGAAGGAGAAAGGGGTAAGGTAATCTGGCGCGGGAGGATGTAATTGGCCTCAATTTTAAGATGAGGAGTCCTATGGCACTTTACATCACCTTTTATGATCAATTTGATCAGTTTGTTTCTTTTTGAGACAATCGAACTAAACTTATTTATATGATGTTATAAAATTCAGATGAAACAATTTGATACGGAGAATTTCAAATTTTATAACCTTCGGATGAACCAATTTGATGTGGAGAATTTTAAATTGACTCATTTTGAATTAGTTACAATGATCGTAGTGAACTCAAAAGAGACTAACATAAGAGTGACATAAAAGAATTACCAGCCAATGTGAGCGATCCAAACCTTTGTTATTGGTTGTTCTACGACAACATGAGCATTTTCATTTGTCGTGAGGTTAATGATATGATGTAGGTGGCTTTTGCACCCATCTTCTACCAATAAAAAAGGAACTAACAGCCAATTAACTATTAAGTGTTTAATAAACTTTAGACATTAAAATGTAAAACAGCCAAAAAAAATTGTACACTTTCCTTGTTTAAACATTACAAGAAGAATTCTTTAAAACATAAATCGTCGGTACGCTTTTTCACCAAGAATGCTGGCTACTGTATCACTTTTTGTCGTTTCCTGCTCCTTTTCACGCTAGGCTGCCTCTTGCTTCCTCTTCTGCCTTGCCTTCACTTTCTGCTAGAAACGCTACCCAGCTGTGCCACTCTTCCCCCTTACCTCCGATTTTCCAAATCTTTCGTACAGAGCAGCCCTGTATGTTCTTTTCCCCAAAAATCCGGAGAACGACACGTCTATTCCGTCAATCCGCCTCTATGATTTGCTTCACCATGACGCTATCTCCATCGACACGCCAAAACCCAGGCTTTCTTTCGTTCCTCTTTATTGTTCTATCAAGAATCCGTCCCCTTCGTTTCCGTTTTCTATTCCAACTATCGGCCGACCCAAGCTCTTGCACTTTCCGAAATTCTTCACCAATTAGTTCATTCCTCCGTTCCACTTGCATCTTCCTACACAACCACCATGAATTACAGTGTTCTCTCGAAGCTGACATGGACCGCCAGTGCCCCGGCCCTCAAATTGCGGCTACTCCATACATGGATTGCTGGGAATCCAAAGCGCCAAGATGGATTTTCCGAGTTTGCGACGCTATGGACGGATGAGTTGGTAAGTTTTTCCTCCACTGCATTCTCCTGCTCGCGGAATAACCTAAACATTCTTACCGGTGTTTTTCTTTCTTTTCAAGGGCGTGCTGGTGCAGGGCCTTGCAGCACGAACATTGTCTTCCCATTTGAGTGACATACTCATTGTTGGGGAGGTGTACTTCATCAAGCAGTTTGGCCAACGTGAATCACGGAAGCGCTGGGCGGCCTGCTCCAATGACAGGACCTTGCATTTCACTTCCAGCACTTCCTTTTTGCTGTCCGACCAGGAAGAGTCCACCTTCTGTGCTGATAGCTTTGAATTCCGCCAGTTTGAGGACCTTCCACCAATGGCTCGCGAACCTACCTTTTGTGTTGGTTAGCATCTTTGTTCCTTCTCAACTGTCTGCTGCATTCACCGGTTTAACTTGCAATTGCTTTGTCGAACCTACCTTTTGTGTTGGTTAGCTAGCATCTTTGTTCCTTCTCAACTGTCTGCTGCATTCACCGGTTTAACTTGCAATTGCTTTGTCGTAGATGTGGTGGGTCGTCTGGTCTCTGTCACACCTGTGACTTACTTCCAGAGACAGGAGCATTCGGTTAAGAAACAGACTATTGTCATTGAAAATGAGCGGTTTGTCTCCTTCATTATCTGTAGGTTAGACAGGAATGTGTTGCACCACTAAGTCATGTTTTTGTTGGGTGTAGGAAATTTTCACTCTCGATTACACTGTGGGCGGACTTTGCGGACAAGCTACCCCTTGCTGACCTCATACTCATAGACAACGCTGCACCAGTCATCGCCGCTTTTACCAGCCTCAATTTGTCCCTATGGCGTGGTATGTTTTCCTTTTCCTTGCCCCTACGATTTACCCAAACTGATCATGCTTTGTGTCCCGAACTCTGTTGCCTTTGTATGCTCTGTTACATTAGAGTTGTTCAACATAGACGTGAGGTTTGAATTGTATATACATTTTGCTCATGTATCTCGACTGTTACAAAATCAGCCCTTTCTCACAAGTCTGTGTTGAGGTTATTGTGAGTTAATCCCGCGTCCTGCTTATGTTCTCTGCCTTTAAACCTTCTCTAGCTGAGACCCTTTTACCAACCTTTCTTTCCAAACCCTTTTCGCCCTTTCTGTCTGCAACGCAATCACAAACAAATGCATTTATCTTTACAGGGACTGTGGGCGCTTCAAACACATCTGCCACTCGCATAGTCGTCTCCCCAACAACTCAGGAGTCTCAGGCCCTCGCTGCATTGTATGCACATACTGGGATTTGCTTCCTATGCATACATGGATCCACTTGCACGTCTTCCTAACTACAATTCTCTTACGCAGCTTTGTTGATGCTGTTGCGCCAATTGGGGTGGTCCCAGCTGAATGCGACACTCCTGAAAAGGCCCTAACAGTGTACCGTGAATCCTTCAAAACAATTCCAGACCTACAGGAGATCCGGTCTGATAGTACTATGGTCTGTGCTTTGGCAGTTCCCTCCCTCCTTTTGTAGGCTTAGTGGAACACACTGCCTTTTTAGTTCCAGCCTAACAATAGTTTCATGTACAGGGTGGCAAGTTCCGCTGCAAGGGAAAGGTTACTGACATAGATACATCCCACGAATGGTGCTATCTTGGTTGCGCTGTTTGTTCCAGAACTGCTGTTCGTCGTGATGCACCCTTCTGGTGTGAGAAGTGTCAGGCAACAATCCATCCTCATCAACTAAAGCAGTGGTTAGTTCCTGCCCCTCATGTATTTCACTACAACTTATTTGCTTACACGTGACTAATATGTTAGCTGTTTTGTAATTTCCCTTATCTGCAGCTTCCGCATACGTCTCATGGTCCACGATGGTTGCGCATTTGCTCCTTTTGTGTTACTTGGTCAGACTGCAGAGTCCTTCCTCGAGGTGTCTGCCAGTGTTCTGCTTGCTGCTGCACCTGACCGCGGAGGCGGGTACCCTCCAGAGATAGAAGCTTTGATGGGACAGGAATGCATCTTTCTGGTCAACCTTCCTCTTGGCCAGGCATCAGATCCGATGGATGACTTCTGTGCTTTGGCCGTTGAGAAGGACGACAACCTGCAGACCGTTGATGCACGAGGCCACGGGCCACGTTTTGGGAAGAAGGCCCACAGTGTCGTTACCACGGTTCAGTCTGGGACAGGTTCCAGGGATACTGCCATTTTACCTTTGCAGGAACCCTTCCAATGTTATGTTGTACACCATTTTTATGTGCATCTTACCATGTGCCTTTGCTACTCACAGACCCAAACATACCTCTTCTCTTGGTGCTCCAGTCACGCTAGACGTCTCGGTGACCAAACGGCCTCGCCCATCTGAAGTGTACTATTCCCGAACTACACTGACCATTACTTTCCCAGTTGTAGCTTAGTACCTCACTTGAAACTGTTTCTGTTCATTTGTCTGGTGCTTTCACATAAACTTGCAGCCACCTGCAAGAGGGAACTGCACTTTCTCATCAAGGGACCCTGCTTTCCCCCCAACAGCCATTGCAGCCTGCAGACATGGGGTTTGTTCACGTTCCTCATCTGCAATTACGATTGAGGCTCAGTTTCTCAAAAACTATCCCTGCACATTTATTTCCTTAATGTCGTGATATTTACAATTCCAAAATAGTCCAGGAGTTTCTAGGCTCAGCTACTTGCGCAACTTTTCAATCACAAGACTTGAACCATGGTTTCTTATCGTTTGAACTTGCAGCAGGTTTCCTTTGCTGCCATCTGTGGCTGTCGCTAATCTGATCACCGCTTCAAACATCCCAACTACGCCAATGAAACAACTGAAAACCGCTGCGAGTACTACCAGCTCACCCAACTCCGTTGGGTATGTTAATTTTGTGCCTACCTGATGCTGGAAAGTTATAAGCACACTTGCAGCTGTCCATTCTTATAAACAAAATGCTCCGCTGTTTGCGCTTATTCATGTTCTGTTTCCCAACCCGCATTGCATTTGTCCGCGTGGATTTATGAACTGTTTTTCCATTGCAGCTTGAATTCACCTTTAGCAGCAATCAACATTCTAAGCAATGTCTCTCGCGGTAAAGACAAAGTGGTGGAAACCGATGCTTCCCATCCAAACGTTGTCACTAAACTGGCTTGGTTAGTTTGCATGTTTCTTTTGCATCATGCACATGTATCTCTGAACATAACAAGCTTCCACCTCCTAACGCACCAATACGACTTTCATGCCTAAATACAGTGCGCCTACCCATCCCAATTCCTCTTGCAAGGACACCACAGATGTCCATGACAGTCTGGTGTCCATTCCCGGGTTGAAGAAGGATATCCCGCCTGCTATGCTTCCCATCAACCCGTGAGCCCTTCTCTGCTCTCCTTCAATCCTCCTCGAATGCCATTATTACGTTCTGTCATGCTGAATACTTAACTTTTCGCTTGCCTTTTGTCAGGGTCACCCACCCTCTTGCGAAGGTAAAGCTAGAAAAGTTGGGGTCATCACTGAGGAACAAGAAACAACAGCCAGCAGACTGTGATGACATGCCTATTTCCCAGTTGAAGAAAAAAACTACCAAGCCCAAGTCTGCCGCGAAGAAGCTCTTCGGTTGATGACTCCTTCATGCCTTGCCTAACCGTCTTTTGTGGTCGGCTGTGTTTCCGGAAGCAGTGCCAACCATCTTTTGCTGCGTGGTCCTCTCCTCTAATATGACAATGTATCCTATTTCTCATTGCATGTACTGTAGACAATGTTTCCTTCTAATCGCACCACTGTTTAGTGTCCTCATTGTAATGACTCTCTCACATGCTACTGTGTGACATTTGGACAGTATCATGTCTCGACTTAATGCATGTGCGCTCTGCCTTTTCGTGTTCAATATTTTTTCTGCTGAAACTTTCGATTTCTCGCACTTTTTGTTCAACTTGCATCTTAGAGTTTCTGCAATAGGGGAAGAAACCACAAAGTCCTCAGTTAACTTTGCATTTAGATCCTCTGATTGCTCCCGCCAGTGTGTTTCATAATGCAGGTGTGACGGTCTGCCCGGGAATGTTACCGTTTTAAAAAACCAAAAAATACTTGCCATACAAGCAATTGGTGCTTATTTTATTCTGTATGCAAGTTTCGCTCAGTACTTTATGTTGTCTCTAACTTCAGTTTTATTTTTACTTGCCATGCTGTACCTCTTACTAAAGCAGTGGTTTACATACATCCTTTGCTGGAAGTGACAGGCCAGTGCTTACCTTACCTACTTAACACCACTACCCTACCCTGGAAACTCTTTTTCTGGTCTTCCACACTGCCCCTTACCTTGGATCTTTTCTCTTAAATCACTGTCTCAATTACATCCATCCTAACATATACATAAATTTGAGCCTCTTTTCATCCTGCACTATTGTTTTCCCAGTCTGTTCTTCTCTCTTTTGTAGGATTGAGCCTCTCATGCTTCAGATTGACTCCTTTATATAGTGAGCTGCAGACGCTCTTCCTGTCGAGAAGAACGATCAATGGTCAAAGCAGGTTTACTCCTACCTCTGGTCTTCTTTTCTTAAAAAAATCCTCTCCTCTGAACACATCATTTACCTGCTTTCTCATAGAGGTATGTCTTCGTGCTCCTGTGTCTTTCCTTTCTGCATTTGTAAAATTCTTCCTTCCATTACCAAGTCCACTAGAGTTTCACGCCAAAAAAAACATAATTAACTTTTCCCTTTCATTTGTGCCAGGGGTAGCTTTACTCATGCTCTAACATTGCACAACAAGATGTTGTTTATTAGATCTTTTTTATACAACCATTGTATCATCTTGCGCCTCTGTAGCTTAAAGTGTTTATCTACCGGCCTGATGCTACTTTCGTTTACAGCATCGTGCCCATGAAGGAAATAGTTTGATGCGCGGGGGCAAGGCTTTACAGCATTACTGCGTAGATGCATATTCAACTATTGAGCAGAATCGACTTAAGTTCCTGCGCCTTAACCAAAAACTCCTACGGGCTGAACTGTACAAGGGAATTCGCGATGCTTACAACAAGGGTGATACCTCTGGAAAGGATGTTGGGACGATTTTGCCAGCAACATATACAGGTGGCCCTCGGTACATGAAGCATCAGTACCTTGATGCCATGGCCATATGCAGGCGCATAGGAAACCCATCCCTCTTCATAACGTTTACTTGCAACGCACAATGGCCTGAGATTACTGAAGCTTTTAAAAGTGTTATTGGCATTAAGCCAGAAGATAAACCTGATGTTGTTGTTCGTGTCTTCAGAATGAAAGTTACTGCTTTGAAGGAACAAATCCACAAATATCAATTCTTCGGCAAATCAGTGGCAGGTTAGTTCTTACTGATCTCTTATCACTACATCTATGTTGTTATCACTACTTCATGCATTATCTTCTTCTGCCATCCCTACTGCATTTTTGAAAACCATAGAGAAAATCCTTTCAATCCTAATAGTTATGTATCTGCTACTCACCACAACACTGGTTATTATTGTTTTTTACCAGACATACATACAATTGAGTTCCAGAAGCGCGGCCTACCTCATGTGCATCTTTTGGTTTGGCTGCATGAAAATGCCAAGCTCAGAACTATTGAGTCCATCGACTCAGTTATCTCTGCTGAGCTTCCAGATCCACAAAAAGACCCTCTTGGTTATGCAGCAGTGACAAAATTCATGCTCCATGGGCCCTGTGGTCAGGCAAATCACAAGTCTCCCTGTATGATCGATGGGAAATGCAAAAAAAATTTCCCCAAACCTTTCAACTCAACAACTACATATGATCATAACGGTTATATTGTTTATCGTCGCAGAGATCATGGGCACACTTTTGAGAAGACTAATGGCATCCTTGACAATCGCCATGTTGTGCCCTACAATCGAAACCTCTTGGTCATGTTCCAAGCTCACATCAATGTGGAGATCTGCCACAAAGGAAGACTTATAAAGTATTTGTTCAAATATGTAACAAAAGGGCCAGATCGGGCTACAGTTGTCGCTGAAAACTGTCCAGGCCAGCAGTCTGACGCGGTCGGTGTTTCACCGCAAGGCGGTCGAGATGAAATCCAGCAATATCTGGACTGCCGTGTGCTCTCTGCCTTTGAGGCAATGTGGCGGATGTACGAGTTCCCAATTCATGAACGAACTCCTGCTGTTGTTTGCCTTCCGGTCCATTTGAAGGACCAACAGTCTGTGGCATATAATCCCGATACAGGTTTACAATCAGTCGTGGAGGATCCAGATAAGGCAAAGACTATGCTGACAGAGTACTTCACTCTCAATCGTGTTGATCCAAGTGCAAGATCGATAGCATATGCAGATATCCCTTCTCACTATACATTTCACTTGCGACCAAAGCACTGGGCAAGGCGGAAACAAGGTCATGTTATCGGTCGTATCGTTTTTATCCCTCCTGGAACAACAGATGTGTACTTTCTGCGGCTGTTGCTTACAAAAATAAGTGGTACAACAAGCTTTGAGGATCTCATGACGGTTAATGGACACCTGTGTAAGGACTATGAAGATGCATGTCTCAGACGTGGCTTCTTGAGCGATGATGATGAGTCTCAGGCAACTATAGGAGAAGTTGGTCAATGGGGAATGCCGACCTTGCTTAGATCTCTATTTGTCTTGCTTTTGGTGCATTCTGAGGTTGCTGATCCACGCAAGTTGTTTGAAGACAATTGGCAACTTTTTGCAGATGATCTCTCTTATCAAGCCCGTAGAACACTGGACCTACAACACTTCCAACCACCGCCTGATTATCTGCACAATGAGGTTCTCAAGCATATCGAGACTCTGTTGCATACCCATTCCAAGGAACTGTCCGACTATAACCTGCCGTGTCCTAGCAGCGATTGTGATACAAATAATCTGCTCGGAAACAGGCTTCTTTGTGAGCATCTTAACTATGACGTGTGCATGCAGAGGCGCACAGCAGACGAGATCTTTGCAACACTAAACCATGATCAGATTGCAGCATACCAACAAATTATGGACTCTGTAACCAGTGGAGTCGGGAAGTTTTACTTCCTCTATGGGCACGGTGGTACAGGAAAGACCTATTTGTATAATACAATTGTGGCTAAACTGCGGAGTCAGCAAAAAATAGTTTTGGTTGTTGCCTCATCAGGTATTGCAGCGACGCTGCTCCCGGATGGATCTACTGGCCATTCACGATTTAAAATTCCGATCGACATAGATGGGTCTTCTACCTGCAGGGTCAAGAGGGGTACACATTTGGCAGAGCTCTTGCGGCAGACCTCACTCATTGTTTGGGATGAGGCTCCCATGACCCATCGTTTCTGTTTTGAGGCTCTTAGCAAGACATTGTGCGATATAATGGGTGTTCCCTCTGCTGGACAATCTTACAAGCCATTTGGTGGGAAGACGATCCTTCTTGGCGGGGATTTTCGACAAATTCTGCCTGTCGTACCTGGGGGAGGCCGGGAATCAACCCTTAATGCATCGATTGTGCGGTCTCCACTTTGGACACATTGCCACTTGCTTTGCCTGCAACAGAACATGCGCATCAATCATGATGCTGTCAATGGCACAACAATCTTTAGTGGCATGACATTCCCACAGTGGGTTCTTGCCATTGGAAATGGACTCGCACCAGTGATGGCCTTGGAAGGATCTTCAGAAGCATCATGGATCCAAATTCCACAGTACCTGATCCTACCGTCCAATGGCACCTCAATCCAGCCTATCGTTGACTTCGTCTTCCATGGGCTGCTCCATCTGTACAGGTCAGTTTCCTTTCTCAAGAATCGTGCTATAGTGACGCCAACAAACGAAACTGTTTCTGCCATTAATTCTGTGGTGCTCTCATATATTCCGGAGGAAACAAAGGTCTATTACAACACAGATAGTTTGTGTACTGAATCCACTGATGATTCGGAACTCGACAGCCTGTACCCCATAGAATTCCTGAATTCCCTATCTTTCAATGGCTTGCCTGAGCACGAACTTGCTTTGAAACTGTATGCACCCATTATGCTGCTCCGCAATATAGATCCACCGGCTGGTATGTGCAATGGAACGCGATTGATGGTTACACATTTGGGGGAAAATGTCGTCAAAGGAATTATACTCACTGGCACGTATGAGGGAAAGGTGGTTGCTATACCGAGAATTGCTCTAAATTTCAGCGAACACAGGTGGCCTTTTACAATGAAACGCAAACAATTCCCAATTCGTCTTTGCTACGCCATGACGATTAACAAAAGCCAGGGCCAAACTCTGGAAAGAGCAGGAGTCTTCTTGCCCAAACCTGTCTTCTGTCATGGCCAACTATATGTAGCTGTCTCCCGAGTTCGATCAGCAGAGGGCCTGAGATTCCTCATTCACAGTGACGTTGGTTCTCATGCAGATTGCACAAAAAATGTTGTGTACAATGAACTGTACGATGAGTTATTTATGCCAGGTAATTGATGTTCAGGTTTTCGGTAAATAGTACCACACTATTCAAATTGACTACTGATTTGGCTTCTTTTATTTTGACTGTGTTCCTATAGGTTCTGATGTCCCAGCTCATGCTCCCTAACAGAACTCACGCTCTGCAACTATGAATGCATCATTTTGCCACACAACAGCCATGTAAGCCAATAATTTCCCTACCTTCCTTAGTCTGGCAAGACTTTTGCGAACCAAAGTTAGCCATTTCGCTGCCATTCATGGGGACCATTTGCCTCTTTACAGGTTGTCCACGTTTTGCATTTGCCACGGTCAAGTAGGCCAGCTTTTCATGTTTGTAGCTACCATCGCGTGTATCAAACCCGTGAGGGTGTGTTAGGCTCTGCCGGGTGCCCTTAAAGTTTCGCTTGCAGTTGAATCCCTCTAATATTTTGCCATCCGTGCACGGAACGCATGCATTTCCAGCCTTATTTTGCGTAACCAGTATTTACTTTAGGTTCCTGTATCAGGACTCTTCGGTTATCTCAGTACGTTGTAATCATGTAATATGAATGCTGCGAAGCATCTTTCTTTACCAGCACATGGAAAAGGAAGTTTGTCATCAACTCTCTTACTGCAATGTTGTTATGTAATATGAATTCCATGACACCTATATGTCTTTCTCAGCCATGCCAATTTTTTGCAAATTCAGTGGTCAAGTACACATTTGCGTCCTATTTACTTTGCCAATCTGTGACCATATTAAGCAGTAGATCAAAAGGCCACAAACATACCTCAGACATCACAACACTGAAACCTAAGTCCCCGCGGCTACGCCGCGGGTATTATTTCTAGTGTGAGAAAATAATAGTAGCCACTAGCCATGTCTATGGTCTAACAGAGTAACAGTCAATAGAAGGCAGAGGTCTCTCATCTCTGAGATATTTTTGCATGAAGTGGAGGTTCTTGTTTCTATTCTTGGTGAAAATAAGTCAAATTTGCTAAAAAAAACAAAGCAGAACTGGCTCCAGTGACAGAGCCACCGGGCCCCAGAATTAATAACGAGCCTTGTCCCGCCGGCCAGAAAGTAAAAATCCTCACGTTCTCCCCTTCCGCTCTCTGCTTGCCAAACCTCACTAGTTTCCAAACCCAAAGACGAAATTTGCCCCACTGTCCTTTTTTCTCTTATTTTGGGTTTCAACATTAGTCCCTCACTATTTCTCTTCCCACCTCATTGCGGTTTACATTGTTGTCCCCCATGCGTTCTTCTTCTCCTCCTCCTTCCCTACTTCACTGATTGAAACGAAGAGGCAGAGTTGAAGTAACAGTCTCCAATGGAGTCTCTCCTCCTCCGTCCATCTTTCTTTCAATCCTCATCATTTCAGCCATCTGGTAGTACCCTTCTCTTCTTCTTTGCTTCCATAGAACGACCCTCCTTCAATGTTTCCCTTCTTTGATTTTTCATCATTTCTGCTTCTTTGTATCTTCCCGTTTCACGGGCTGTGTGTTAATTGCAGAAAAGTTTCGCATTTTGCGGCTGTTTTGATCTGTTTGTTGTGTTTTGCCTAATGTGACTGACCATGCAAAGGGGATTTTGCTGTAGGTGGAAGGAGTTGGAGGAACGACACTCTCAAAGCAGGCTCTTCCAGAAGTACGATCTCTCTACTTTAGCTGCATTTGCTTCATCGAGCTTGAATTGTGAAAATTTGTCAATCTCGAATTATTCAGGTCATGGTGTGAAATGGGTACTTATTAGATTCTCGCCGGAAGGTGGAAAGGATTCTTGTGCATGTTTTGGGTGAATCGAAATGGTTTCGAATTGGGTTCTTGATTGCTATTAACTTCAAGAGTTCTAGGGCTGTTACTTTAAGCCAGTTCCATGTAGAAACTGATGCTTCTCTAGTTCTGCCTCGGATACTTAAAAGCTGAACTTATTATACCTTGTTACATAGCTCATATGCTGTCCTGATCACTCAAATGCTCTTTCAAAGGAGCACTTTTGGAAGGTTCCACCTCCACGGCACGGGCCAAAGTAGAAGGTTGTAGTTTGTTGAGGTTTCAGCGAGGACGCAGCAGGCATCGAGTGAAAGCTATCAAGGAAAGATCTTTCAGTCAACCGAGAAGTCATACAAAGTCATTATATGTCAATGCCACCTCTGGTTCACAGCCACTGGAATCCGAGCCTGGAGCTTATGGTGGCTCCAAGGGTGTTTTAGATTCAGTTAAGAATGCACTTGATGCTTTCTACAGATTCTCACGGCCTCACACAGTTGTTGGGACGGTTAAGTTTCTTCACCTCTCAGTATATTGATGCCTCTATGTACACCGCGGTTGAGTTTTGTGTTTATCATGGCTGACCCCTAGGCTTTTTCCTCAACAGGCTTTGAGCATTGTCTCGGTTTCCTTACTCTCGGTTGAGAAGCTTGCTGATATATCTCCACTATTTTTCACTGGGATGCTGGAGGTGATATATACTTTAATTTCTCAGTGAATTTAACTAAAAGAAACCAGTTTAGCAAGTAATCTTACCATTGTTGTTTGTTGCCATTTCAGGCAGTAGCTGCTGCTCTCATGATGAACATTTATATCGTCGGCCTAAATCAGCTGACTGACATTGAGATAGACAAGGTGACAGTTGCAGAACTAAATGTAAAGATAGTGAAGTATAAGTTGTCGGGAGTTTCTGACTGTTTATCTATATAATACTCTCTCATTACAGGTCAACAAACCATACCTTCCATTGGCATCGGGGGAGTTTTCTGTGGGCACTGGTGTCTTGATCGTTACATCTTTCTCCATCATGGTATTAGTCACAACACCTCTTTCATTGTTAGAGATTCTCATAATGTAATCTGTATCTTTGTTGTATGTGTTAAGAAGTTTTGCTTTGCTAGAGTTTTTGGCTTGGATGGGTTATTAAGTCATGGCCATTGTTCTGGGCTCTTTCCATCAGTTTTGTCCTTGGCACAGCCTATTCAATCAATGTAAGTAGCATTGCTCTATCGTTTTTCCTCTACACCAAGCTGATATATTGATTTCACAAGCAAAGCGCAGCTTCATTTGCTCATCAGGCTGAAAATTGTTTTTCTTTCAGCTGCCATTACTGAGATGGAAGAGGTTTGCATTTGTTGCAGCATTGTGCATACTGGCTGTTCGTGCGGTGATTGTTCAAATTTGCTTTTATCTGCATATGCAGGTGGAGTTAGTTGCCTTATATCTCTATTACAATTCCTACTGACAGTACTTGGAAAATCATGATATACCCTGACTTGCTGTAACCATTTCAGATGCATGTGTTCGGAAGAAGTGCCATATTTTCAAGACCATTAATTTTCGCGACTGCATTCATGAGCTTCTTCTCCGTCGTTATAGCATTGTTCAAGGTATAAACCATATGCTTTTCTTTTCGTTCTGTTCACACTGTGATCAAGGGTAAATGTTTAAAACTCCTGGCTTGATTCTATGCAGGATATACCCGATATGGAGGGAGATAAGATATTCGGCATTAGATCTTTCACAGTGCAATTGGGCCAAAAACGGGTTGGTGTATTAAATCATGCATGGAAAACCGTTAATTCACAATTATCCTCTCTTTGTGGATAATGAATGTGCCTTAATCAGGTGTTCTGGACATGCATTGCCCTACTCGAAATTGCTTATGGCATCGCGATGTTCGTTGGAGCAGCATCGCCCTACATGTGGAGCAAAGGCATTACGGTAAATTTGTTAATCTGTCATTTTATATTGTGTTAAGATATAGGATGGCTTGATCTATCCTACTGTTGATCCATAGTAACAAACAATTTTACCTGCATTGGTGTTAGGTGATCGGCCATGCCATCTTAGCCTTATTACTCTGGAACCGGGCAAAATCTGTCGATCTGACCAGCAAAACAGCAATAGCTTCCTGCTACATGTTTGTGTGGAAGGTCAGACCAACAACCCCACCACCTTTCTTCTCAGTTAGTTGTGCCTGCCTTCATTCTGATGCTGAACTGTTTCACTTTTGATTTCAATTCCTGTTTGCAGCTGTTTTATGCTGAATATTTGCTCATACCCCTCGTGAGATAGTAGTTAAGATGGCGAATGATCGGAACGAGAAGCTGGCATCAAGTGATTTGGCTGCTTTGAAGCTTCTTCTGGTGTAGGGCAATTGAGTAGAAGCACTTTTATAACTATCTGGAACGAATGATCGCCATTCCCACGACGATGCTTGGACGACAATAGGATTTAGAATGGTTACTGGGTAACTTGGGCATGTAGATCCCCCATTCTTGACCTCTGGTTCAAACTTCAAACTTTAAACATACTGGTTTGACAGTAAGTTAGTTAAGTGCTATTGATTCTCATTCTGCATGACTTAATTCTATCTATCAAGGGTAAAGTCTCTTACTTTTGATATGGGACTTCCTGGTTACCAAGTTCCTCTGCTGCCCGGCCGCCGCCGTCAGAACGGCCTCGACTGCCGCCACCCATAACCGCCATGACAGAGGGGAAATTCTAGAAGTGCCAGGAAGTCGAAGTTTTTCCGATCAAATAAGGGAAAGAGCTCCGGTGGATCATTGAAGATTCAAATCAACAATTTAATGTTGGTCGGGGAAGGAAGGAGAAGGATTTCTCTTCTGATTCCTGACTCCTTGTTTGTAATAAAGGGAAGGAGCAGATAACCGGGGAATTTATGGCTGCAGAAGGAAGGGACGGCCTGGGAACTCCGGCGACGGTCTGAGAGATGGAAGAAAATCCCTTAACCGCCGACCAACATCACGTACAGCCGACGCCGCTCGCACCAGGAGGAAGAGGAGGATGCCAGAGGGATTCCGGCGCCAGAACGAGCCTCAGATCAGCGGAAACAAGCGCGAAAACTGGGAAATACGGGAGGCCGAAACGGCGAAACGCGAAACGTTTCGAGTTCTCAAAACCAAAATCGAAACGCGAGAAATTGACGATAAATTGACGATAACTTGAAATAGCCGATATATCACGATATTTCGATATATCGCGATATTTAGTCTATATATCGCGATATTTAGTCGATATATTGACTTTTATGCGATATATTGACTCTGTGCTGACCGGTGAACGGACACCGGCAAAAGCAGGGGGGGAAATGACCTGGAAAACAGGAAAAATTAAGCAGAGCTCACTCCTGCTGACTGAACGAAGGCAAATGAAGAATTTCCAAGGGGAGATACGAGTAGATTCGAGTAGTTTAGTTGGGAAAGAAAGGAGAGGAACATTTGCGGCTATGTATGAACAAGGAACAATCAGAAGACTCTGTTTTCTCTTCCCAGCCATACCGGACGACGGCCGGTGACGGAGTGGGGAATCAGTTCGAACTTCGAACCCGGTGGGTTAGCTAGGTACCCACTATTCATCATCAGGTCATGAACATACTGTCGGTTGGTCGGTCGGCGAAGGAGGAGGAGGCACGAATTCCCCTTCTCTCTCTGTTCTTCGTCACTCTGTTTTTACAGCTATGGTGATCATCCGGCCGGCAGGAATCAATCAGTCTTTTTTCTTGTCCCAATCTTGAGACCAGGTAGTGTATAATGTATATACCCCTTTGTTTTATAAATTATAATTGTAAAGGCGGGAATGGTGATCGTATATAGGACGATTTCTCCCTTGGTTCCTTCGGTAAAATTGGAGTTTTGCAACTACTGAACATCATAAATTGAAGTCGAAAATCTCTCATCCAAGAAAGATATTTGGATCCTTTAAATCAAGACAAAATTACAAGGTATAGAGTTTGAGGAGGGAGCAAATGCAATGTTGTTTCTGACATTACAAGGTTGACTAAACACTCGTGCAAGAGTTAATGGAATTAGTCCAAGGGCAGGGGAAGCAAATAAGCAATGAAAGTGCCTTCATAAGAAATGAAAAAAACGATGTAAGCGCATGGTGCTATCTATGGACTGATTTTTTAATTGGGATGATCTCTTAATTGTACCAAATTCTTTGAATGAAATAATTGTTATGCAAGAATATTTGAATAATTAAGAATTAACATCTCGACACGTAAGTAGATCGTTCACAGATAATTTGAAAAGATGAAATTACATATCTATCTATAAATATTAAGAAGTGAAGTAAGTTTTAATTACAACTCGATAATCTCAACTTATAATGGCTAACGTGTGAGAAAAAGTTCTGATATAGATGGTTGGTGTGAGTTGATCAACCTTGGAAGCACATTCAAATTGACCAACCTCGCATTTTATAAATAAGCAACTTGTGATCTTAATAGATTAAATCGACTTGAATTTTTTTTGTCAAAATCAATTCTAAAACTTGATTATTAACATGGTATGAAATACATAGCCTTTTTCAGTGAGAAATGCAGAGCTATAACAAACAATTAGTAATTGCCAATATATGTATGGTTCCAAACTTGGAAAACCAATGATAGAAGTATGGGTACAAAGACCTTGCACTTAAGTGGATTGTTAGACTAACTTCAACCTATAAAGTCAAATTTGGCTTCCAAATAGTCAAATATGGATTTTTAGCTTCCCAAATCTCATTTTTACTCCAACCCTACAAAAAGCTATATTTAGCTTCTCATCTCCTTTTTTCAATAAAACATACTTATTTGGTCCCTAATTTTTATATTTCACTTTAACTTTTTTATAGTTCGTTATTACTTTTGAAAACAAAAAATTTGATGTAAATTTTTTAAAATTCCGAAACAAAAAAATATTTGGAACATTAGTCATTCATTTGTTATCGTTAACTTTGGGAACACTCTAAATATAACATTTTTTAAGACCGTTAAAATATGATCGCTACAATGTAACCGTTGTTTCGTCACTACATGAATGATTTCTCATTTAAATTTAAAATACATTCAAATAGAACAACAACCAATAACAAAGCAAATAGAGAAAAACAAAAACAAAAAATGGTTTGCGCGGGGCCACTTTACTCCAGCCATATTTGGCTTTCCAATGAAAAGAGGAGCTATATTTGGCTCCCAAAATGACCATACCCATATTTGACAGTCAAAAATTTTGTGGGTTGGAGCCCAAAAAAACTAAATTTTGCTTTTTAGCTCTTTTGCTCCATGGGTTGGAGTTAGTCTTAGCAAATAGTAAATCCGAAGGAAAATCACATGATTTGTCTGACAAAAATTAATCATGCAGGTTGGGAATTACAATAAGCTCTGGCCAACTCCGAGTGGCTCACATGTGATTGTGAAGGATGAATTTATTCATTATGTTTTGGCGTGGAATGAAACTCGAAAATACGTTCAAACAAAACAAATTTCTCCTAAACAATCCTTGTTCTTTTCGAAGATCAAATGAACTTTTTTTTATATAATGGTGATGAAATTCATTCAAACGAAAAGTAAATAAAAGAAATAGAGTTCAGTACGCATAGAAGAAAGCGATTCACAAGAGCTGAACCAACCTTCAACTGCAGAAACAAAATGCAGCTAGGTGGACAAGACCACCCCGACTGCTAAAAAGAAACGACAAAACAAAATAAAATAAAAAATCAAATGAACTTAATTATTAATATAGGATGAAACATTGTCCTTTCAACAAACCATTAGTAAGTAATTGCCATTGGGATGGTTGATGGTTCCAAACCTTCAACAACTTTTTGAAAAGCAATGGTAAAATTGTGGGTATAAACCAGTGCTGTCAAAGCCGAGCCGGCCGGCCGGACTGCCAAAGCCGTCACCCGGTCGTAAAACGGTTTGGATCAGCTATTTAACCGCCACGGTTTTATACAGCGGCCGGCGAGCGACCGAAGCGGTTAACAGCTCAAGCCGGTCGCGCGGTTCGGCCGTTTGGTTTACCCTAAAAAAATAGAAAAGGAATCGTGGAATTGGGCAGCCAAACAAAACCCTAACTTTCCTTTTATTTCTCCATCTTCGACCTAGAAGTAGAACAGGCGACAGAGGGAGAGCGGCGCCACCGTCAACCATCGCCCCAGGCCCCTAGTGCTTCCGTCCCGTCGCCGCCACAAGCAGCGCGCCATCGCCAGTCGCCATCGTCGCTTCTGCTCCCCGCTCCCGGCGCAAGTAGCTCGCAATCGCCGCAAGCAGCGCCATCGCCAGTCGCCATCGTTGCTTCTACTCCCCGCCATCGTCGCAAGCAGCCCTCTGCAACCCTGATGTTCTAGAATGGTTTAAGAGAGTAATTTACTTGTGGTTTACCATGATTAAGAAGTGTCTACTATTACAGATGACTGTTTATTAGGTACCGGTTCTCAAACGGTTTTTAAACGGTCTAATGTCGGCTGGACCACTAATGACCAAGTCGTTCACGTTACCGGGTCATACTCCGGCTCGGCTTTGACAGCATTAGCATTGGTATAAACTATAAAGCCATGTCACTCCCAAACTTGGTCAAAATCATCATGGACCTTAGTACTATAAGGCATAGCCCCATAGAAAGCTGCCTCTACAATGATTGGACCATACAAGCCATAGATTGTCATTTCTCACTACATAAATTAAACAAAGACAGAAAGAAGTGTTTTGTCCTCTTAAAATGCTCCCAAATCAAGTTGGTTGCTTAGGTTTTCCCATCCAGCTGTTGCACTTAGACACTTTCTAATCCAAAATTCCCCAATCTCTTTGGCCAATCCCTTCCCCGGCAATCCCAATATCCGACGGGCTCTTTATAAGGCTTACCACAAACAAACTCCAAACCACCTTCATAAAAAATCCGACTTCACCATCTCTCTCTAAAGTCTAAACCCACAGAAGAAAGAACACATCTCTTTCTTTCTTTAATGGCGACAAGGTTTTCCGTGATGACTTTCTCTCCGTCCCTAATGCTCCTGGCGACGATTCTTTCCGTCGCTATAGGCAGCTCCTTCGCCGGTAACTTCAACAACGACGTCGTCGTGGCGTTTGGAGATGCCCGTGCTAAAATCCAGGACAACGGCAACCTCATGAGCCTGGCGTTGGACAATAGTTCTGGCTCCGGTTTCGAGTCCAAGAACGAATTCATCTACGCCAAAGTGGAGATGAACATTAAGCTCGTCCCTGGCAACTCTGCCGGTACTGTCACCTCCTTCTACGTACGTCAACCATGAATGGACACATTACTAATATTCAATCTACGGAGTATAGTTCTCGTTTTTCATGTTATTAATGATCTTTTTCTTTATTGTGAATTCCATTTTGGTGAGCAGTTAAAATCAGAAGGGAATTCATGGGACGAGGTTGACATGGAGTTTCTAGGCAACACGAGCGGTGACCCCTATGTCCTGCACACGAACATCTTTACAAAAGGAATGGGAAACCGCGAGCAACAGTTCTACTTGTGGTTCGACCCGACCACCGATTTCCACACCTACTCCATCACCTGGAACCCGGCCCATATTGTCCTGGTAGTGGACAAGAAGCCCATCAGGGAGTACCGAAACGTGGACCCCAACAACAACGTCCCTTACCCACGAGACCAGCCCATGAAGCTCTATGGATCTCTCTGGAACGCAGACGATTGGGCCACCCGCGGTGGATCCGTCAAGACCGACTGGTCCAAGGCTCCCTTCACGGCCTCGTTTAATAACTACACCGCCGACGGCTGCGTTTACGCTAATGGAGCCTCCAGCTGCCCGGACAAGACTGCACCGTGGTACTCGTCGGAGCTGATCGACGGCGACGACTTGAAGCAGATGCAGTGGGTTCAGAAGAACTACATGATTTACAATTACTGCGATGACTCTAACAGGTTTCACGGCAGCTTGCCGGCAGAATGTGGCCGGAAAAATTAGGACCACTTGACGGGTATGGAGACATTGTGGTAGTAGGGTTGTTCTTTTTATTTTTTTTCAACGTTGGAGACACCATGTTTCTAGGTAGTTTTGGTGCGAGAGATAGAGATGAAAGATGTGTGTAACAGAATAATTGTCAGTGTTCCGTAGCATGGAACACCACACGTAACTCTTCTCATTGACATTATCAAAGAGTGATCACAGGGTGAAATAGATGACTTTTAGTTCAGAAAATATCGTATTAACAAAGTCCTAGATATTTTCAAAAAAACAAAAAAACAAAGTCCTAGATAGCAACTCGCTCCTAATTTCCGTCATCCATGTTTGATTGAGAATATGCAACAAAAATTGATCAGCTCCTTTCAATAAACTCAACCCCACAGCCACAATCAGTTGGCATTGTTGGGGATCTACTAAAGAAACAAGGTGTTGTTGTGAAGTTGCTTTTGATGATGATACAATAGACTGAGGATGAAATCAATCACAGTCCAAACCAAGTCGATTGCTCTCAAGAAGGATCACAGCTGTAAGTGGAGAACTGGAGTAGACCAAGCTGCTCTCTAATCGCGAAATGGCATCAGATCAATCTCCATACGTCTCTTCCCTTTACTTGCCCTCTTCAAGTAGACAAGAAACAATAGAACAGTCTGATATTAATATAAACCTCATGGTAAAGGATGATGGGAGGCAAAATGGCAATCAACAAGTGCAGAGAAGAAACCAGGGGAACTCACAGCTATCGCCACCAGCTCTTCCAGCAGTTCCTCCAAGTGTCGTAGCGGCTACAATCATCAACAAGTCAGATTCTGTTAGGAAACAAACTACCAGAAAGTTAATTCCGTAGTTCACAAAGAAAAAAGATCCGGTAGTGTGCATACCCACTGCGTTGGACCATCCACTGGTGCATTCCTTGGATCATCATGCACCTAGTAGACGATAAGAAAGCTCTCAGAAGCTTATAGTACAGAACTCTGAATGAAATTTGTCAAGCCTCTACCTTAAAGGGGCAGATTTGCAAAGTATAGTCCAACATGAGAGTCTAGGTTAGTTAAATTTTAAGGGTACCTCCATGAAAATTCCATCTACCCCAACAGCTACTGCTGTCCTTGCTATGCATGGTATTAGTTCACGGAGGCCTCCACTGGCAACTCCTCCACCATCCAACTACATCAACCAAAACTGTATCAACTGTGGCGACCAAACAACATAACACCACAAAGTACAAATGAAAACTCTTTCCATTTCATTGTTAGGGGGGAGGAAGGAAAAGAGATAAACACAGCATGTACCTCCAAATCATTCTGTGCAAGAGAAGTGAATAGAGAAGGAGAAAGAGCAAAAAACAGGAAGGTGCAACACAGAGGCTAGAAGACTGTAATGTGCACCTTTTTACCAGCAGGCTGTTGTAGTGAATGTGTGATATCAGCAACCTGGGTGAAGACCCATCAACTGTGATCAGTTATCCCAACTTACAGCACATATTTTAATTGGGAAAAGAAGTCCACACTTGATTGACTCACAACAGGGCAGTTAGCTTCTCTCATCCACTCAAGATTGCGTGGATCAACAATCAAGTCATCTGCATTAAGAAATAATCATTTCAAATAAGAGATCTCATTTTGCTGGAAAATCAAGTTCATGGAGTCATAAGGTTCTATAGCATCACTATGACTCGAGTTTAAGTTAACATATTGCTTTGAAGTCCCAGAAAGTGGATTTATACCCGTATATCTAATAGAATCAATATCATAGTTCTACATGTTAATCATAATATAATGCAACGTCCAGAGTCCACTAAGAATGAGATGGATAAAAGAAGATAATTGAAACAAACTTACTATATCCAAACATGGTTCCTCTTTCGCAAACCATCACATTTGGGTTCCCTGCCAGTCTAACCTTCTCGGCCGAGTTCTCCATGACCTACACATTTTCTGCAAATATGAATAGGCAACACACACACGGCTAGTCTTAGCTGTAATTAGAGGATTTGCAGAGAACAGAAAACACTGACACTAGGAGCACAGAACTGGCCTTTCTTGATGTTTATTATCTTCCCTGTCTTGGCAGCTGCAACTAGAAGGTCTGTCTGTTGTTTTGAAACCAAACAACAACAACAAAAATTGCGTTGAAAATTAGAAACTTAACAACGAATCCATAGATTCTTTATGATGGAAGCACTAAGGTAAGCTAACCTGACGACATAGAAATGCAGGAATCTGTATGATATCCGCGACTTTACCAACTTCCTCGCACTGGATAGACAATAACAGCAATCAATTAAATTTTTCTTGGACCATATTAAATCAGAATCCATGAAAGAGGTCTTCACATATAGAATGACTCCCCTACCTGACTGCTTTCATGCACGTCGGTGACGATTGGAATGTCGTATGCTACTTTGACCTTCTCAAGGATCTGCCATCATGGTAAACAGGCTTGCTCAAGAAAACCCATTTTGAGAAGATAGTGCCGCAGATAATGTGCAGGAAATGGAGAGATAGGGAATACCCACACCTTCAATCCTTCCGTCAAGCCCGGGCCTCGAAATGACTTGGAGGATGTTCTGTTAGCCTTGTCGAAGCTCGACTTGAAGACCAAAGGCAAACCCACTCTAGAAGGAGAACGGACCAAAACAGTGCAAAATGTGGCAAATATGGCGAGTCAATTCTCTGAAAACAAAACTAGATCAGATTCAAAGCATCACACTTCTCTGTGGGATATACCTACATCTATGCCTTGCTCATGGGCCTGGAGGAAGGTCTTGAAGATTAGGTCCAAAGCAGCTCAGTACCTAACAGTCAGACCTACAGGAGTTTATTGGGGAGACTGTGTGATGAATAAATTTTCAGTTGCAAGAGTCTGGGAAACATTGCGTGATAAGCATGAGACAGTGCAGTGGTTCCCTCTACTTTGGAAGTCATATGGTACTCCTAGAGACAAATTGCTAGTCTGGTTAATAATACTAGACAGAATCGCCACACTAGATAAAGTCAAAAGATGGAACAGAACAGTGGTGAATTTGTGTCCACTATGCTCCTCTGCAGAGGAGTCCAGAGATCACCTTTTCTTTGGATGTGAGTATTCTAAAGGTGTGATGAAAGCTATGTTTGCAGGTGGAGATGTGGTGGGGGTAGCTTGGGAGAGCTCTCTGGCCAATGCTATATCAATTTTCAGGAGGAAAAACTCTGTGTCTGAAAGGGGTCGACTTCTTTGGGTAATGGTAGTAGCTGAACTATGGAGGGAACGATGTAGACGAGTCATGGCTGGAGAGGCTCTGGTGGAAAAACAGCTATTGAAGAAGTTGCAGGGACTGCTGCACCTACTCAGGCTTGGCTTCCCTCAGGTGGAGCTGGCTGTCTCTGAAGACTATGTTCACAATATTGTAGTGTAGCTTTAGTAGTGGTTGAGGAATTTTTCTGTTTCTTGTTTTAGTTAGATTAGTCAAAAGTTTTTGTTGTAAGACAGTGGTGTTTCTTTGGTTCCAGTTGGGGGGTTTTTTTCTCTGGGGAAAAAAAGCATCACTCTGCCTTCCTCTCTGCAATTGCCTCGGGTACCTACCTGGTGGAGATGGCCTTGATGTGTTTGGCCATGGTGAAAATGTGCTCTTCGGATTCAATGACATTCGGGCCGGCAAGCAAGAAAAACGGATCTGCCGACTGTACGATGAATATGCTTAATTCGAGTGAAGAAGAAACAAAGAAAGAGAGGGGATGAGAGAAGAGGAAATGAAAACCTTGAGGTGGTTGTAGATTGCCGCTGATGAATCCATAATCAATGACTGAAGAAGTGAATCGGGGTCCGGAGAGCAAAGATTCGAGATGCTAGCAGTAGCTGCATATAGAGTGTGACAGAGTCAGTGAGCAAAGATGCGACGGAGAAGAGGAAAGAAGAGATCGACCGGAAAGTCTTTTCACCTGCGTTTATGCTGTAATAGATACACCGTCGTGAAGCACCAGAGCCGCCGCAGCGTTCTTATAAGAAGAATCAAGTTAATTTCTCGGCACCGACGATGCGAACTTCTGCCACCGGGATAGATTCTAAGGCGGAGGTAACTGGAACTAGGCGGAGGAGACCGGTTTCAACTTGAATCGAAACGGAGCTTCTCTGGGCTTACTCTACACAGGCCGTCTATAGGGCTTACCGTCTAAACCCGAGCGGGCTTTAGGCCCAATAAGGCCAGGGAAAAGCAATCGGTTAGTCAAAATTTGATAACAACGGGTTTCTATCTTTTCCCTCCCATAATCCATTAGTTTAAGCCAAAGTTCAAAAGTTTGCATTGATGCTTTAGTATTAACATATAAGAATTATCCAGTTTTTCAAATAACTCGAGTTAATGAAACAAAACAATTTCTGATATGGTATCGGAGAATTTAATGACTAAGAGGTTTAGTATTCGAATTCCGATTACCATCATTTATCAAGCACATGATATTCGAACTTGTGAATTATTGGAAAAAAATTAGTTCCCCGTGGACATAATAAGATCTCGTATGTCGATAGATCTCGTATTCGAATACAAACGTTTTAGCTAGACATGCACGGTAGAAGACATGGAAGTCGTCACATGGAGCAAGTGATTATAGAAAAATGGATGTCTCATTATATGGGAAATAAATGTGATCGGTTTTTAGGTATGAGGCTAACTCCACCTTCTACCATCGGTAAGCAACTAAACGCAGGCAATAAATACACGTACCTCTCTTCCTTTACTTCTCTCCTTTGAACTCCGGCCATCTTGTTAGACAGACAAATGGTGGTGACCGGAGGTGGGCGGTCCATTGCATCATCCATCACTTTACTTACACGTGAAAGTCCTCGGGGGGAAAAAGCCAAAAGTTTTCGCTTCCAAATTCGCAAGGTAATATAACATTCATACCCAAATTATTCGGATCAATGAATTGATTCATGATTTAATATTACTGTGGTATTATAATGGAGCTTTTGATTATAAGATATATCACCTTCTTAATTATCACTGTGATTGTAATTTCATAGTATAATGTTTTTTTTATCATTGTCGCACCTTCTATATCTACCATCTAAAAGAGCGGGTTAGCCAGTTAGGGTGCTCGTTGTAAGGAAGTGGATAAGATCCATCATGGAAATCTAATCTTCAAATAAGTCGAGTTATCGAGATCAACTAGCTTATGATATGATATCAGAATTGATTTATATTTGAACTCAAATGTTGAAGTCTCACAACCCCTAACATTAACCATTATCTATAAAACACATTGCATGATGTACATGTGAAAACGTGAAAACTTCAGGCTAGTGGATGACATTAAAGGGAGAAGTAAATATATATTTTAACACAATCACAGTTCCAACTCCAATCTCCATCGTGGATCTCTTGCCTACCACACTTCCTTGTTTCCCCCACCTTCATCAACTTGCGTAGCTTTCACCCTCTTTAGCCGCCATTGATTTGATCCCCCACCACACCTTCAAAGAACCATATAAAGAAGGGGTTCCAGCCATGGTGGAACTAGCTAGCTAGTGTGGGAGAGAGATCGAGTGACTAAAGATCATCATCATGAAGATGGTAGTGGTGGCCGAGTGTGGTCTGAGGGTTGGAACCGTGGTGGCTCTGGTTCTGGCGGCATGTCTGGTCGGACTGGATTCTCAGACGAAATACATCTTGTTTCTCGACAAAACGGTCACATACAAGAACTTGAACTCTCTCATGTACGTCATCATCCTGCTCAATTTAGAATAACTGAAATAGTGAAATATATATTATATATATTGTATTCTTACTGGTCGTCGGAATGAATTACGCTCTACTCTTTTTGGTGTTGCAGAGCTTTGGTGTACGTGGATATAGCGGCTGCTGCTTATAACTTGACTCGACTTGTGTTAACGCTATTAATGGGGGGATATCGACGGTCAAGGTCGCCGTCGTCGGAGACTTCGTTGAATGCTCCCATCGTGTCCTGGGGTTGCTACTTCTTAGACCAGGTAATTAATTCCCTCCCCTCCTTGCAATTCGAAGGTTCGTAATTCATGTTTCCGCCGCCGCCGGCCGGAGGTGGTTCTGCGTCGGCTGGATGAAAAGAGAGAAAAAGTTATGGGTTCCCCTTGTTAGGATATGGATTGATTGTGAATGCTGTATTTATAGAGTGAAATATAATGAATTATTTCAGTGATAATTTTACTGGATGGTAGATATGTGGTATTTGATAATAATAAATGTTGGGTAAAAACATGTTATTCTTAAATAATAGGGGATAAAGGTTATGTTAAATAACTTATAGTTCAAATAATTCGTTCCAATAAAGTGTTGTGAAACGTGTTAACTTTGTTCAAATAATTTAAATAAATATAAGGATTATTCAAACGATCCTATACTTTGATCTCTTGCTCTATTACCCAATTCTTCCGCCTCATAATTTGTCATGTTTTATTTGGTATCTTTCAATTTTGGATTGTTATTTTTTCGTATTATATTCTCGATTTGTGTCTATCATCAATCCTTGAGCAAGGGCAATGCTAATATTTCGTATTATTGCCTGTGTTTTTTTTTTTGGGAATTGAAGATGGGGGTGTACGTGACGTTTGTGGCGACATTAGCAGCTCTGCAACAATGTTCACTAGTGATGACGGGGCAAAAAGAGCTGCAATGGCTGAAGTGGTGCAACAAGTTCACCAGATTCTGCCTTCAGATCGGCGGCGGCCTCTTCTGCAGCTTTATAGCCTGCATTCTCATGGCACTAATTTCCTTCATATCGGGGTTCCACTTGTTCAGACTCTACTCTCCAACCCGCTTCCTCCGCCTCAAGGAGATCACGACCCCTCCGCCGGCAACGGCCACGGTGAAAACATTATTTAATTAATTTGTCACAATAATGTAAAACAATTATAAAATGTGTATTATTGTTGACTGGTTTAATTTGATTCTCTAACTTGACAATATATACCACATGCAGTTGGAACAAAGACATTAGGTGAATTAGAAGTGGGTTTATTCATTATTGCATTTCTCACTACCAAAACCTTTTGGGCTTTGCACGTAAACGAAGACCAGGAAATTTGGTTCCGTAGTCAGGCCCGCCCACTTGCCGCCCGCCAAAGTAATTTGCTACGGGAGATGGGTACATAAATAAAACCAGCCCGACCCGACCAGACCAAAAAACAAAGGAAACCAAGTGTGAATTGGAAAACTGCTCCTCCTCTTCATTACATCTGCCTTTTGACTGTTTCCTCTCTTTCTTTCAGAGGCTGTTTTTACCTTGTATTTTCCTACAAGTTTAATCATTGCAAAACTATACATACAAATGTCTAAGCTCAATATGGAAGACCTGAATCGGCCATAAAATTATAAGAAAGTAAAAAAAGAAAACTAAGAATAATTATAAATCTATGGGCATATGATGTAGTCGTCGGTATGAAGAGCAGCACTAGTGGTTTGGCGGTGAAGCTGGTAAGGTCCGAGCTTGTGGTGGCACAGCGACGGACCAGAAGGAGGCACCAACCCCCGCGGCAGCCGGCTCTCCAGCAACAACAACATGTGGCTCTCCATCCTCAACCCTCTCGACCCTTCCACCGAAGAATGATGAGGCGCCATAGTTGCTAGCTGAACCAAGACGACGAGAAAGAAGATCGCAACGACTCTCGTGCACTTGAAAAACGACGTCGTAGTTTCGGACATGATGGCCTCCGCCTCGATTTGGTAGGTTGGTGATGATCACTGATGTGAATGAAAGAGTACCACCAAAGGAGCTAGCGCGAGACCCGTGTTGCGAGGGATTCGATCGTTGAATCCCCTTGACACAGAATAGTGAGTGCTTAAAAGCACTCAAGATGTCAATGACGTCGAGGAGATCAACACCCGTGTGAAGAGAGTTGGTCTCTCATGCACTTTTGATCCCAATAATGAATATGCACCTCAATATCTGCGCTGAGAAGATTGATCTCGCTCTGATTTTGGTCGGTCGAGAGCTTGTTATGTTGTTGGAACTTGGATGGGAGGGGAAGGTGAGGAGTAGATCGATGCAGACAAATTAATATTGGGAGGGAGGGGTATATATTATGGCATGGGAGAAAAGTTTGACCAAAGTAAGAGATTGCGGTTGAGGTGGATTGCCGGCTGTGTTGGACTATAATTCATCCAAATTGAAATTGTAATAGTGGGAATATTATCATTGGGATTTTTAAAGATCTATTTGGCAAAATGAGGACTCAAAATAAAAATAAAAAAAGAGGATTTTTTCCAGAAAATTAAAAAGGGGTATATTGGATTGGAATTGACAAGTGTGAGGCATGTAGGAAGGAGGGTATTAGGTAGGAAATTAGTCATGGGTTGGGTTGGAAAACCTTAGCTAGCATACCATCTTGGAACATAATATTTCTTTTATTTTATATTTATGGAAGCCACCCTTTTTGGTCCCCTCTCATTTTATAATTTTGTCTACATAGCTCTTGCATCTCAAATCAGCAAATTTGATCCATGCAATATGCATGTTAACTAAAGAATTTGATCCATACTCTTCATGTTTCATTATTTCATTTTTTTTCATATGAGAAGGTACTGCATGTGTATAACATAATTTGACTTTTCGATGCCCAATGTGCGAACGTAAGAGAATAACATAAGGTTCGTTTGTCTAACAAAAACCTATCAACTCTGCTATTTTATTTATTTAAACATGCAGGTACCTGATAACCACGACAGACATAAATAAAATGAGATAACATAACATTGAAATGAAAACCAGTCCTCATCATTCGAGCTCAAAGAAATTTGCAAACTGTTAATAAGTCACAAACCTTCACAAGTCCATACAACTCTGTCGTTGCGTCTACCAACTCGAGTTATTGATTAGAATGAACGGAATATTTACAAATCGATATAATTATATAAATACCGCAACACAGAACCAAATATATAATTGACTTTTCGTGGGAACAATGCAATTAAAGGGAAATGTTAATGCAGCCAAGTAAAATTTACAAAACGAATAATTCAACTCGTGGTGCCGACTATCACAAAAGTAATCATTTCTTAGCTAGCTAGTTCTACATACGTCGTTAATGGTTCAAAAATTGATGCTTTGCAGCCATTAGTTTACGGTCAAAATATCGATGATTATTAATAAACTAATCCACGCCGATAACAAGTCTGCTTAGCTAACATTAATTAATTAAACAATAGTAATGTTTGTTCATTGGGTGTGGTTAACGTTGTTGTTGTCTTCAAAGGAAAGCACTAACTACCGCCCAAAATCAAGTACAAACAACCCAACAACTATATAAACCAATTTGTCTGTAAAGCAAAATATCACATTATTATTATTGTTATTATTATTATACCAATTTGGACAAATTAGACTGCCATATAACCCATATTGCATGCAGTGTCCCATTGTGAGTGGTTGCTTCTATTTTCTTTTCTGTTTTCAGTAGTGAAGGAGCTAGCAATTATTATTCAATCGCTATATTTAAACAAATGATCAGAATGAACACTGAAATTATATATAAAAAAGATAAATGGTAAATTGATAATTTAATTTACATTTGAGTCGGAGAGGGAGACTGAAAGACTACCATATTGCTAGCTGTTTGGAAAAGTGTGAACAATCCACATAGTTTAGCAATGATTCGAATCATATTTCTATATTCATATATAACACGTAGAGTCGATGTTTTTGTCCGGTTCTAATTGTCAATTCCTTTCTACCTTAGTATTGCTAAACGTTGAATAAAAGGAGAATAATATATCTAGGTAGGCAGCTTCATAAAAACTAAAACGAAATAACGAACAGTGAAGGGTAAATTTTTCTATATTCATATATACGTTATTTATGGTTAGTTGAGAGAGTTTGAACAATTCAAATGGTTTAGCATTGATGATTTCGATCATATTTATATCATCATATGTCACCATTGATGCTTTTGTCTCATTGCCAATTCTTTTCTTCCTTACGTAGTGCTAAATGTTTGAACATGAACGACGACAATGTAGCTAGTTAGGTAGCTTCATGGAAACTGAAAAACAGATGCGTACATGATAGAATATATAATAGAGTTTATAACATATATATAATAATTAAAATGAGTTAATTAATTTTAAACGTGATGATTCTTTTCTTGGTCGTAATTTGACGTGTCATCGTCTACATTATGGTCCATATCTGTGTATATATATACACTTATATTTCTCCTCCGTTTTTTGTCTGCTCATTCCAAATAAAAGTCTTGTTTTTTACCAAACAATTAATAGTTTAATGCGATTTATTTGTAATATTCTATATAATATAATACGACCACTGTATCTGTTTCGAAACTATTGAAACTACTCCATTATATATAGGGCAATTACGTATGAAATGAAACATCCATGCCATGTAGATGGTTTTGACTGCTGGCTGCTGCTCTGCTCTGTCGGCTGTACGCGCGTCTTTTTCTCAAGAATATATGTACCGATATGTATAATTAGTCTCGAGACCGGTCTCAAAGAGTTAAGCTAACTTGGACAGTTTATGGTGCATGGTTGGAATTCGAGCAAACTATATAATTAAGGATTCCATATATCGCACCAATTCGTGTCAAGCCGTTGATATTGTTGGTTGATATAACGTAGAGGTCATCAAGGTGGTAATGAAAACTATCTATATATGGATGCACAGGCATTTTGGATTTCTAGACACATGGCATCGACACTCATCTTTTAAGTTGTTGGGACGATAAACGTTCAATTATCGATCTTATATAATTTCCTATTACACTCATCAAACCACAGTCAACTAATATGAATTTTAAGTTTGCAAAAATAGAAAAATCGTTTGTTTAACAAATGGAGGACAACATGAATCAAATACAAAACATATGGATATTCAAAAACTTTAAGAACCAGTTGAATCTTTAACAATTTACTAAATTCACTCATTGGTGTAAATAAATGTGGGGTTCATCAATATAAGTACTAAACATGAGTTTTAAGTGCATGTACTTGATGGCTAATCAAAATCAAGTATACATCACCCGAGCTAAGAAAAAGCATTAGTACTCTCAGCAACAACAAGGAAAGGACGTTTTTGGTGGGACCTTGGCTTTGTCCATTTGGTTATTACGTGATGGGAACTTTGCCTAATCCTTGTGTCATTGAACTAAGCAAGCAAGTACCCAACCAAACCCAACTCTCTCTTCTTTTTCTCTTCCTAATGAAAACTCTCGTCGTCGTCGTCGTCATCATCATAATAACATAAGAGAGATCAAATCATGGAGGAAAAGAATGTTGGAAGTGGGAGTGGAAACATTATCTCCATGGGGTCATCCCCCTGGCTTGCCCCAATTCAGATAACAAGTTAATTAGTAACCTATAGCTACAAGTTAGGACAGTCCTATAGTGTGTTGTTATATTAATTGCGGGCTTGCTGGCTAGCTAGAGTAGTTTACATCAAGTTTTTCAAGTTGTAATTGCTACTAGCTAAAGAGTTAACATATAGAGGGGTCACTTTCTTAAAGAGATAACCATGTTTGGTCAAATCGTGTTTACTTAAGTGTGAAAGTACGAGATAAGATGAAGGATCGATGCGTACAACACAACTCATGCGTTGAAAAAGTATGTTTGTTCTTAAGTAATCTGTAAAACGACCCTGCTTGGTGAAATCAACGAAAAGTGGTTGGGAGCGGTTTCAACGAAAGTCTGCCTACCTGCCCGCCCACTGGCTTTGAAAATTAGGTTTTAATAATTCAAACACGTAAAGTTGATCATATCTCTCTCGACCATCAATAATTGTTTGATATCATATGAAGAATCGGTCCGTACCAATAATTCGATAAAAAAGCTAGCTATGTGATTAATTGTTCAATCTTATATTGTGTTATGTGTACCATTTACTCATATTACATTGGTTTTTCCTTAGGAAATTTGTTGCTATTATTCTAGTACGTTGATCCGTTGGTAAAACGGTTTCTTTGACAAAGTAACCAAACGTGTCGTTCAATGGAACAAGTTTGAATGATGATGACCAATTTATGAAACCGGCCATCAGTTACAAACTCAACTACTGTCCACTCATCTTCCGGCAAGAATCAGGACACATTCACACCAAGGCTAACTAATTTCCTGTTACAAGTCGCATTTTCGACCGAACTACAAACAAACATAACATCTCTATATGAAACTAGCTAGAACCCTACACGGTAAGTTGAAACGTATTATATATTCAACTCTTTTTTGTATCATCGTTAAGAAACACATATAACAATACAATCTATCGATCAATTTGATTCTACCGATGATCAAATTAATCATAAACTTGCAAAAAAAGGGGGGGAAAGAAGAAGAAGAAGAAGAAGAAATTAGTTCCTCATGCACTGGTAGTAACACTATATATATATGCATGTGTTTAATTAAAGTCTCAAGGACAAGTCGAGCTGGGTGCTGAACTCTTCCTCAACATGACTCTCTCTGTACCCCATCGACACGTACCACGAATTTCGATCACGATCATCCGCAAAGTTCCCTTCTTGATCTTCTTTGTAATGTTCTTCTCTCAGCTGCATGCCCTCCACCGCCTCTCTCGAACTGTGATAATTATTAGCTCCCCTCCTGGCTCCAGCAAAATGATGAGCCGCTCGAGCCGCGGTGGTTGATGAGGTGGTGGTGGTGATGATGTGTCGTCGAGTCTTCTTGGCGAGGGTGCGCTCCAGCTTGTGGGCGTTCTGGTGGCCGCCCAGGGCCTGCGAGCTGTAGAACTTACGCTGGCAGTAGTTGCAAGAGAACACCCGCGCCTCGTGATGATGAGCTCGTGGCGACCAAGAGGAAGATGAGGTCAAGTTATTATGAGGGTCGAGGACGAGGTCAAGGTTCACTACCTGGCCGCCATAGTAGTCATGACGGTCGTGATCAAGATGCTCCATTGGCTGGTGATGAAGGCTAAAGTTCAGGGAAGTGTTTGGTAATTGGAAGTGATGATCATTCATGAGCATCCATGCATTTTTTTTCTTTCTTTCTTGGTAACGAAGAAGCGCAGCTATATTATATATGGAGATCGAACTTGGAGAGAGTTGTGTATGGAAGTTTTTATATATAATATGGAAGTAGCTAGGGAGGAGAGGGCACTAGCTAGTTGGTTTGATGTTCCTACAACCATATACGTATACACCCTCCTTCCTACTTGCAGTCTTGAGTAGATCGAGGAGCAAGTGTGAACTACAAAGTGGTGGCATATTTTATATATATATATATATATATATATATATATAGAGAGAGAGAGAGAGAGAGAGAGAGAGAGAGAGACGAGGATGTCAAGTGGGGAATCAAAGAGGCTGTCGCCTCTATTAACGGCAACATTGTTATCCTCTGTCGGTCCATCAAATTTTCCAATGCCTCCCATTGCATTATTTTACTCTCTTCTTTTGAAGGTGGAAATTAACTCAAATCCTCAAGGTTGAGATTTGCTGGTTCATTGTTAGTTTGTTGTGTATGAGTGGAATCAATCAATTATTAAAGTATTTGATAAGAGGTTGATTTTCCTAAAACAAATTTCAATATCATGAGTTGATTGTATATTTGAGCTCATGACAAGATATTTAACATGATCACATAAGATCTTATTTTAAATATCTCTCAGCGCAGTAATTCATACATGATAATACCCAAGACCCATATATATATATATCTCGCCTATTGCAAATGTTTGTGTTTTGTTCTTCTTACACATGATATGGTCACCTCCCCAAGTCCCAACCTCACTTCTCTTTCCTAAGCAATCGAATAATTAAGGAATTGGGATTTTTGTATAGTTACATGAAGAAACGGGGAAAGGTCATCTTCCTGACTCATGGGCCGCAAAATGAAGCCGCCGACCATGCACAATTATTCAATGAACATTGATCCTTTTGTGGGCTTCCCTTGCTTTTGAACTCGATACTATGTTCCTTCTAATTGTACGTCCGTCCTATCTAAATAAATCAACTCTTATATATATATAGGTAGTAATCAAATTCGGAGTTAATTAATGATATAAGATGTATTCTAAAACTTCCCACAACCATTTGAGTTATTAAAATTATAGGTTTTGAATATAAAGTTTTTGGAACGTAACCTCGACTGGTTTCTTGATATTGTATATTAGAGCTTGCAATGACAAGAGATCGATCTTAATCCTGATCAAATAATTGTAACAACCTTTTATCGCGCTTTGAGTTCTTCAATCAAGCAAGCAACATCGTGTTCGTGTATGTATACATGAATCCATTGCAATTCCTGCTCGATCGTTCATGATGGTCACTCTTTTGGTCCACGTGCGTACGGATGATTCATAGAAACCTGTTCTGTTGTGGGATTCATCAAGTAGCTAGTCATGGAATGCTTTATGTTGGAACTTCCAAGTCTTACTATGTACGCAACGCAAGAGAGCAAAAAATGGTGTCATGTCCCGATCGAGACATGCAATATTTTGCTAAGGTAAAGACTGACCATATATATATATATATATAACCCCAATAATCTTGGTATTAATTACATATGCCGCGAAGTCAAAAAGGAGGGGCTCTCCCGACAGTGGCAAGAAAGAAGCATTTTTGTTGAGGCATTCAAATATGGACTCAGAAATGACTGCACTAGCTAGCTTGCTTAGCTAGATAGTGAACCCATAATAACAGTAGAGGACCATAGTATTAGTATATTACCCATCACAGACCAACATATATCCTGCTGCCATACATCTAATATGGCATTACAATCACATTGAACTTATTCCAACCGTCCATGGCATCCACTAGCTACTTCCAATCTCCATCAATCCAACCAGCTGGTTATTGAAAGAAGAAATAAAAAAAGGAAAGGCTATAGCCAACCAGCCAAGTTGCCAAAGTTTTCAGCGCAATGCTGTTTTGGAAATTGCAGCATAGGCAGCATAAAGGCAAGAATTTGGTTTGGACTCACAGTAATATGGTACTGAAATCATTAATTTGGTCATGGGTTTAATTTGAATGTGTATGTTAAGTCAACGTACAAAGAGAAGCTTTCGTTGAAGAATAGGTACGTGAATCCAATCGATTTACAACAGTGATTGAGCGGTTTATGTGTATCCATCGATCGCCTGGTTAGGTTATTTAGAAGATCTTAATTAATCATCAGCTACCGATGAAGTAGATTTTTGTCACATACGATAGATCAAATTGTAAGGGACGAAAAGATCACATGTTCATCTAGGCTTGATACTATATGAAAAAACTGTTGGCTTGATACTATGGAGAAAAAAAAAATCAAGCGATCGATCGAAAAGATCACCTGTGCTGAATTTTGGTAACCCCATACCCTAGTTACTACTTACAAGTCCTTATGAATTTCAAACTCCATAATTGAATACTCATTTGAAGCAACACGCAGTATGTAAATTTACAATATAAAATTTATTTTTTAGATTTGATTTTGTTTTTCCAAAAAATCTCTTTATAATTATATTTATTTTTATTCTTATTCTTATATGTTGTTAAGGCCTAAGGAGCGCCCACAAGTAGGGGTGGCTATACGGTCCGGTCCGGTTAAATTAGACCAAATTGATCCGGTCCCAGTCCGGTTTTTTCGGGAATATAAGGACCAAAGATTGGATTGGATACACTCTGGTCTTGACCCGGTCCGGTCCCAATTTGATTTTGATTTTAGATTGAGCTTGTGGGGATTTGAGTGTTGGGGTCTCTTATCCGGTCTTTATCCGGGGTTTTTTACCTCAAATCTATGCCCGAATATGAGATTGGATTGTTTGCTATCCGGTCCCAGTCCGGTCCCGGTCCTGGTTATACGGTCCGGTTTCGGGTAAAACCAAACAGTCATGGACCAAATTGCCAGCCCTACCCACAAGGGAGCGGCAGATTGGGGTTGGTGTCCTCCATAATGTTTACTAATGGTATGGTCGCCTTACCTCTTTTCTATAGAAGGCCACCGAGGTTTCAGATTAAATACTCCCCTTACTTACTCCTGACTCCTATGAATCATCATCTCCTTCTTCTTCTTCTTCTTCTTCTTCTTCTTCTGCTATGTCTATCTGTGTCTGCTAATTAACTGAGACAGATCACATGGGGGCTTGAGATATATATGAAAACTGTTGGATAGTTTAATTTACGACTTAATTATGTAATCCATTCTGTTCACTTCTGAACACACACTCTGTGTTTCTGTATGTCCTCAACTTAATGTTTAGTAGTTAATCTTCTCCCTAGAAGATACATGTACCAAACACCCACCTCCATAACATTATTTGTAAATCAGAATACAGGCACGACATATTACACCAAAAAAAGGTTGAATCTATATGATTAGTACCTTCATTTTGCTCCTTCCTCAATTCCCCCATTCCCATAATTTACATAAAAAAAAAAAAAAAACAACCACCTCGATAATTAAGCATAGGATTTCCCCAAATTGCAATGTTAAACTACAACATCACTGTTTATATCTAATAATTAAGCGGGAATACCGACAACCAACCTGGCTCTCAAATCCTTCCTCAAAATCTTCCCTGACGGAGCTTTAGGAATGGAGTCCGTAAAAAACACCCGACTAATTCTCTTGTAGAATATCACCTGTTTGGAGATGTACTCTCTGATCTCGTCCTCACTGATTTTGGAACCATTCGATCTCACCACAAACGCCACAGGGACCTCTCCGGCGCTCTCATCTTTCATCCTGCCCCAAAACGACAACAAACCCTGTCGTTTAATAATTAACGTTCTCTTGAAGACACTCTCTTCTTTTTAACTCTTAGAAAACAAAACAGCTTACGGGACAACGGCGGCATCGGAGATATTGGGATGCGCGAGCAACATGGCTTCGAGTTCCGCCGGAGCAACTTGGAACCCTTTGTACTTGATCAGTTCTTTCAGCCTGTCGACGATGAATAACTCGCTGTCGTCGTCGATGTAGCCTATGTCGCCGGTGTGTAGCCACCCTTCCTTGTCGATCGTGTTCGCCGTCGCTTCCGGGTCATTCAAGTAGCCTGAAACAAACAACCTAACCCATTTACAACTTTGGACCGCTAAAAAACAGCCCACATTTCTTGGGCCACAAGCGGCCCACGCATCATGTCATGTGGTACACCCTTCCTTTTGGGTATATCGTTACGTGGTACAAAAATAGTACAAACTTGTTTTGGGTAGGCGTTGTTGTATAGCCTAACGACCTCGAATATTGCAGGGTAGGGCGACGTGGTCGGCCCAGGTCCATTAGAAGAAAAAAAAAAGCGAGAAAAAAAAAAGCCCAAAAAGAAAATACGAACCTTTCATGATCTGGCTGCCTCTAATGCAAATCTCGCCGGCCTGGTTCCGGGGAAGAGATGTGCCGGTGGCCGGATCGACGATCTTCATCTCGGCGTTCCTCACCACCGTCCCGCAGGCGCCGGACTTTATGTCAAACGGCTCCTTGGCAAACGCCAAGCACATTGATAGCACTGGACCCGCCTCCGTCATTCCGTAACCCTACAATCGCCCAGCCAAAACATCGGCCATACCTTATTACTTAGTAACAATTAATAATTCCAACCATGAAATTGATTTTATGTAGAGTGAAATGCCACCTACCTCCAACATGAACGTCATACGTCCACGTCGATAGCAAACAAATATCAAACACATGGTTCAAAAAATAAAAAATTTGATAGAGAAACTTTTTCGAATTAAGGTAGTTGCCGAAGGAAGAAGAATACATGACAAAGATTTATGATGGTAAATGAGCACGTTGAGATTTTGTTAGAGCTTTATCAAAAAACTATTTTGAGTTATTGCAAATTTTCAACTTACGATTTGATCATTACAAATATTTAATACGGAATTTTTTCGGATTCAATTGTCAAAATATATACGAAAGAATGATGTGTCTAAATTTTGTGATCCTCACCCATAATGATTGTTAGAACATTAAGATTTTACTACAATCTTATCACGAATTTTTTTGATTTAACGATAAATTCGTAATGGTTCAACTTCTCTCCCGATCTTTAACCAAAATGACAATGACAAAATTGAAATGCACCATTTAATTGGTTTTTTATACCTGTCCAAGCGTGGCATTAGGCAGTTTGGCTCTAACAGCATCCTCGAGCTCCTTCCCCATCGGCGCCGCGCCGGACATCACCATCCTTATCGACGACAAGTCGTAGCGGTCAAACTCCGGCGACTTGGCAATCGCCAGCACGATCGGCGGCACGAACGGCGCGATCGTCACCTTGTACCTCTCCACCAGCCCCATCAGAGCCCCAATCTCAAACTTGGGCATGATCAGAATCGCCGCCCCGACCCTCAGCCCGCAGAGCATGATCGAATTCAACGAATAGATGTGGAACAGCGGCAAAACGCAGAGTATCACGTCGTCCCGATGGAAATACAGATTCGGATTCTCGCCGTCGACCTGCTGCGCTACGCTCGTCACCAGCCCCCTGTGCGTCAGCATCACTCCTTTCGGAAGCCCCGTCGTCCCCGAAGAATACGGCAGAGCCACCACGTCGTCGGGATTTATCTTCACCGCCGGCAGGATCGGATCAATTCCGCCCTCCTTCACCAGATCCGAGAATTTTAAAAACAGAGCATCGTCGATCGTGACGATTTTCACTTCCGATTTGATTTTTTCGGCAAAATTGGAATGCGTGATGACGACTTTAGCCTTGGAGGCGGCGATCTGTTTGACGATTTCGACCGGGGTGTAGAACGGATTGGCCGTTGTGACGACGGCGCCGAGGTGCGAGGCGGCGAGGAAGGAGAAGACGAATTCAGGGGAGTTGTGGAGGAGGAGCATGATGACGTCGCCCTGCTGGATTCCGAGCTCGTTGTGGAGGCCAGCCGCGACGCGACGGGAGGCGAGCTCGACGTCGGCGTAGGTGTGGGTGGTTCCCGTGGCGCCGTCGATGAGGCAGGGCTTGTCGGCGAATTGGGAGATGTTCTCGAAGCAGTAGGAATGGAGAGGGAGGTGGTGGGGGGTGTAGATGTCCGGGAGCTTGGATCGGAAGATGAATTCGTCGTGGTGGTGGTGGTTGTTTTGGGATTCCATCGCCGACCGTCGCCTGAAACGGAGGAGGAAAGGGTGGGATTTCAGGCGGCGGCGGAGGGAGGAAGAGGGGAATTGGGTGGGTGTTTGGTAACGGGAGTTTTCTTCTGCTTTTTCTTTCTCCTGGGTTTGGGTAATTAAGGGGCGTTGGCGGGAGGTTAAATATGCAGGGTAGTTGGTTAGGTGATGGTAGAGGAGAACCGGTGGACACGTCATCCATGGTGGTTTTCAGACAACCACGATGGGGACGTCCGGCGGAGATCAAACCGGTGAAAACGGATAATAGACATAAATTAGTGGATTATAAGTTACAACAATACGTATTTTCTAAAAATTCAATCACCTATTGAACCGAATAATATGATTGACCTTTATACAATCAAAAGTTAGGGAGTGTCCATATTCATTAGAAATGATAACAATGTAAAATTCGCTAAAGGAAAATGTATACACGTCTTGATCGCTAATACGAGTTAAATATTTGATTTAGAAGGTTCAAACTGATGGATTCATCACATGATAGTAAAGTCTTTACCAATCACCAAAAGTCTCTTGTACACCGAACGTTTTGAACCTTATAGAGTACAGAGAGAACGACGTCTTTAAACATTCTTTTTATAGTCGCGATTTTCATAGTAGTTTAAGGGGTCGTTTGGAGAATGGGATTTAGGGCGTGGATTCATTAAATCCGTAGATTTTGTAGAAAGTTATGTTTTTTTGTTGATTTTTGTATTGTGGATTTTAGCTTTAGAGATTTCAAATCTCTAAAATCTACGGATATCAACTCTCTCATAATCAGAGAGATTCTATATCTTGATTCGTAAGAAAATTTTTTCCTCCTACTTTTTCTCTTTGTTTTATTTATTTATCATATTAAATATATTTATCAACAAAGTTTTTAATATTTCTCGAACCACTCAAATTTTTTATTAAGGATAAACACGTTATTTAATATAAAAATAATTTTTTATTATTTTCATTGAATGTTAACAATCTCAGTTACCAAACAATAAACATTTTAAAATCTATTTTCAACAATCTAAAGAGTTAGAATCTTTAGATTGTTGACAATCTATAGATTTAAATTCATATTCTCCAAACGACCCTAAGTAAAGTGATTCTAAGCTTCTCGCTGGGCTTAATCTTTGATAGAGACCAGAAACTTTGGCAGTGGCAGTAGTACGGCCCATGAACTCTACTAACTAATTGTTGCACAAAGCCCATTCAGGAACCCAAAGAAAGGCATAGGTGCTGGGGGATGATCAAGTCTGGTCTAGTACTTGGAACTTGGAAGTTAGAAGATAAAACAAATCGAGAATGAATGCGAATCCATTATTTGGAATGAGGATTATGCTGATTTTGGTTCAATATGTATGCATTTGTCTTCTTCTTAAGGAAGTAAGTTCATGGAATTAAAATCTAATCGGCCGTATTATATTTGATATGATCTGATTTCATATGTTGACTACATTTGAAATTATGAGAACGAAATTAATTAGACTGTTGCTCATCTTTGAATTTCCTTTTTCATCACACGAAAGAAACTCCAACCAATCGAGTATTCCTTTGTAACTAATAACCGCGCGTAAATCTATAAAGATGGATCACAATATAAATATATCGTTATATCTAACTTCACCAATGACTTGGATCCAAACCTCCAGGTCTCATTTCATAGGAAGGAATGAGTCGGCCGTCGAACTCTCTCCCTTTAAACACGTACAAATACAATCAACTCAACTGGTGGATACATAAACGTGCAAATGCACTAAATGCATAGTGGTACTATACCCCCTTCTTCCCACTTTGGCTTAGCTAGAGAAGGAATCGAAAGTCAAATTGGTGCTTTCAATCCAAGTAAAAGCCACCAAAAAGCAACTTCCCAAACTCCTCCATTTTAGTCTAAATAAACTCTCAAACCCCACTTTTCCCTCTTCTCACCATCATTCTTTTCTTCCCCCCACGTACGAAAACAAAAGAATAATGAAATGAAGCTCCTCACAAAGGCATACTCCCGCCATGTCCACCACCGCCCTTTCATCCTCTCCTCCATAGCCTTCATCCTCTTCTTCTGCCTCTTGGCCTCCATCAACGAGGTCCGCTTCGACCGCCTCATCGACCTCGGCCAATGCGCCATCTCCAAGCTACAATATCCCTCCATCTCCATCTCCACCACTACCACCACCAACTCCTCCTCCTCCTCAAACGCTACTAATAATCTCGCCGCCGCCGACGATGAGATCCGGATCCTGATAGGCATCCTGACGTTACCCGACCAGTACCCTCGCCGCCACTTACTCCGCATGGTCTACGGCACCCAACCGACTCCCAAAGGCGCCAAGATCGACGTGAAATTCGTCTTCTGCAACCTCACCAAGGAAGATCAGACCATCCTCGTCGCCCTCGAGATCATGCGCTTTGACGACATCATCATCCTCAACTGCAAGGAGAACATGAACAATGGCAAGACCTTCACCTACTTCTCTAGTCTTCCCGACATCTTCTCCCACGACGACACTCAGAAGATGTTGGAATCAGGTGTGGCGTGGCGTCCTTCTTTTTAAAATATAAATACAAATTATGTCAATTGGAGATTCATTATTAATTAGCGTATAAAATTGATCATCGATTTTAAGACAAGTAACAAGAACTGAAATTTAGTGCAAGGAAGTCATTATAATTAAGAAAATCTCATTATATATACCACAGTTTGCAAATTTTTTTCCCTTCAAAATACAAGAGTTTGAGGCAGTTTTTTGGAGAAATGTTTTGCGTTTACATAGCAGGAATTTTTGTTTTTTTTCATATCCCAAAATTTACCTCTGTCTCGTGACACAAGCAGACGATGGCAACGGTACCACCACCAGTAGCGAATCTTCACCTTCTCCTCCATCTCCGCCGTACCACTACGTGATGAAGGGAGACGACGACTCGTACTTTCGGCTGGGGAGCCTGGTGTCGTCGCTGCGACCGCTGCCGCGCAACGACCTGTACTACGGGTACGTGATCCCGTGCCCGAGCATGGACCCGTTCGTGGAGTACATGTCGGGCATGGGGTACCTGGTGTCGTGGGACATCGTGGAGTGGATTAAGGAATCGGAGATTCCGAGGAGCCACCTGGACGGGCCCGAGGACAAGGTGTTTGGAGCGTGGCTCAAGGAAGGGCGGCGGGGGAGGAACAGGCACAATGCCAAGTGGTCGATGTACAACTTCCCGGTGCCGCCGTCGGGCTGCACGCATGAGTTCTGGCCGGACACGATTGCGGTTCACTTGTTGAAGAACCAGCCCAAGTGGATCGAGACTTTGAAGTACTTTAATGCTACCAAGGATCTCAAGCCTTCCAAGTTGTATCATATTCCTTGAATTGCTACTTTCACTTTTTTCTTTTTTTTTGGTTCATCACATTTCTTTTTTTGGCGATATTTAATTTGGCTAGTTAATTACTTGTGATATTGGAAGAGTTATATCTCGATACAAGCTAAATAAAAAAGTTCTTAAGAAAGATTGATTGTGCATATATATTAATCAAATGATATCTATTTCTATGGTTTTGATATATATATTTATAAAAAGAAAATTTGGGTATGATGTTTTGGTGGGATGACGACTTTCATATGAAATTTTAGCAACCAATTTAGAGAGGTTTAGTTGTTGTGCACTTACTGTCTAATTAGTCGAGGCTGCTCGATCATTAACTTTGGGTTTGCATTGTATTCATGTAGCCGATGCTATGCTTTGTTATTAAACTTTGGTTTCTGCTCGTTTTACATGATAGTTAGGATACATTTACAATAATTTACCAAACACAGGTCTACTAATGTAGGTATATGTGAAGATTAAATATCGACACCCCGAGGACAACATTACACCTTTAAAATGATCTCATACCATGATGTAATTAGTTACTCTCTGCAACTATGAAGTCGATAGTACCACGACAAAAGAAATTTAGTGCAATTTACAATAATTTGAGTTCGTCGAGTATAATTAATCTATGACAATGTCTACGGATTGAATTTGAATGAGAGTTAAATCTCAATAACTTGGTAACCTCTCTCCCTTTGAGTCTAGTTTGTTTGCAATATACATAAAGCTGTTGGATATTGAATGGCATTAATGTTGTATACTTAGGTCGCTTTGCACCAATTGCACTAAACCGGTCACTTTATGGCAAGCAATGTAACTACCGATCGAGCTCCACTTTCCTTCCAAAAGCGGCCACCGGAGTGAAGCCTTCCTTTCACATGGATGACTACGTAGTACGTACCGAAAGATTGGCAACATTTCCCACCGTCCATGCCGCCGTACACTTCCCCAAATCGAGAAATCAAGGCAACAGGACATGGCTGGGCTACGAGTTCATACATTGGGCTGGAAGAAAATGAGATCTACCCATTGACATATGGCTTTCCAAATTTGGGCCGGGGAACTGTGTGCTGCAAGCCCATTTAGGAGAAGGAAAAGTGTATTGCAATTTGTTACTTTCATTCCTCGTTTATCAAATTGTATATTTGTATCAGAGGTTGTATCGAATATTTTAGGAGATCATACTTGGTATTTTGATCATTGTTTTTTTGACAAAACAATTTATCATTGTTGAGTCCCTGTGTACCGATATAAACTATAGTTCAAATAATAAAAATCATAATAAAAATAAAAAAATAGTTGATGTAGCATTGATAGCTAGCTTGACCATGTTATATTGATGTGTACAAAATTTTCTTACATATTTGTCTATCATAGCGAGTCTAATTATAGATACACGATTTTATGGTCAAACTATGATACCATGTCACAATTCATGCTTTTAGAAATTTTATTCTAAGCATTTCTGTAACAAAATTTAAGTAAAACAGCCATTTTCAAGAGGAAAGAGAGACGATTCATCCAAGAAGGTAAACAATTTGTGGAAACTGGAAACATATAACAAAATTATTCCCTTCAAAATGACGTGAAAGCGACGCCGTTTTGCGCCTGATAAACGCCTGCAACTAGGGGTGGACATGGGTCGGTTGGTCCGGGTTTAGGCATTTTAATCACCCGACCCATGCACTACGGTTTGGGAAATATTAAACTCAAACCCACCCAAAAAAATCTAAATCCTACGGTTTGTTTCTAATTGGGTTGGGTCGGGTTGGCAATATTTTTAAGTAAAAATCCAACCCAACACAAAATATGTAATTATTCTACATCATAAAAATATTTTATAACAAATTAAAAATTCAAACGAATAAACTGAGGTGAAAGGTATCAAAATTCACAAATATTGTTTGAATTTTAATAAAGCTTGATTTACTTCAACTTATGTCTAGTTTTTTTCACGACATTTGTTGAAATAGGCTAAAAAGGTTACAAATGAACGCATCCATAATATGATATTCTTTTAAAATTGTACACAAGAAGAAAAAATTACGTAAATCATAGCTATATTAAAAATATGTCTAAACTTTAAGTCGAAGAATGCATTAGATTAGTGAGACTTTAAGAGAAAAACATGGCGAAATATCTTAATTTTCTCATAAGTATGATTATATATGACACAAATATTTTTTTGGATACGAACTCATACCAATAATTGGAACACGGTTTGGGTCGGGTTCTACGTGTTGTGTAATCCAAAATCCAAACCCAACCCAAAAGAAGCGGGTTGTACAAAAGAAAACTCTCACCCAACCCAAAACCTTCGATTTAGCGATAAATACGGGTGGGTTGGGGCGGGTTGGACGGGTGGGTCGGTTTACGGGTGTGTTTGTTCACCCCTGCCTGCAACCGGTCCGAGGATTTTTGCTTCGGATTTTTCATCCCTACGCTACGCACTACGCAGATCCATCTCCGCTGCAGGAAAATTTTCCATCACTTTGCCGGGAAAATTCCCAGAGGGGGAAGAAAGCGGTGAATCGAGAGAAAGCAAAAATGTCGCACAGCGACACCATCCCTCTCCACTCTTCCTCGCAGTCGGACATCGACGAGATCGAGAATCTAATCAACGCCAGCGTCCAGTCGGGCCCGGCAACAGTTCAACCCGCCCGCCCACCGAGTCCGCCGCGGATCCCCGTCTCCTCCTCTCCGTTCCTCCAGTCCAACCTCCCACCACCGACGACGGCGGCAGCGAAGCTGCCCCCTCTCCCGTCGTCCTCTGCGCCGCCTTCAGTGCTTCCCGCCACTGTCCCCGGGCCCGCGCCCCCGCCCGCTAACTCAGCCGGATCGAACAATTTCGCCGCTTCTGGATTCGGCCCGGCTCCGAACACGTTGACGGAGCCCGTATGGGACACGGTGAAGAGAGATCTATCGAGGATCGTGAGTAATTTGAAGCTGGTGGTGTTTCCGAATCCGTTTAGGGAGGATCCAGGCAAGGCTTTGAGAGATTGGGATCTTTGGGGTCCGTTCTTCTTCATCGTGTTCTTGGGGCTCGTCCTCTCTTGGTCCGCCTCTGTGAAGAAGGTCAGCTTAACTTCCAATTCGTGGTTTTGACTTCGATTTTGAGATTTTGCTTGGTGAGAAGCTCTTTATCTGCTACTGCTAGGATTTGAACGAATGAGCTGTAGTCATAGGCTTAGGTATCCTAGTACGAGGAATTATAGAAATTTCTGATTGCTGTGATATCATGTTTCTGCCAATGTAGTAATCAAATGTATTGTTCCCGTAGCTCGGCTTCCAAAAGCATCATTTGGGGTATATTCTGCGTGTATCTAGTTGCTTTGAAGGTGAAGGGTTTAGTTTGCCTTTAGCCTTTAACAAGCATCTACTACAATGCTAGTTACTCTGGTGAACTTCTGGAAATGAAATGGAACTAGGAAGGAACGAGTTCAGATTGTAGTGAGATCATTTGTTTCTACTTCTCTGGTTTTGGCTTCATCTTGTTGCCTTGTTGGTTATTGGGATATATGGCGCATAACTTGTTTCCTGGTTAAGTTGTTTCTTTCTAGCTGCCAAGATGATTTGGTGGCTTGGGTATTAGTATCACAACGTTGTTGGGAAAGTTAAGTTCTTTAAACGGGGCATGGTAGAAGACGAAATGAATTTGAATCTGTTCCACCGGAAATTTTACACTTATGATCCGTGTAGTCTTTCTGCCTATATAGTGATCAATTGTATGGCTCTCGTAGCTCGGCTTCCAAAAGCATCATTTGGATTATATTCTGCGCGTATCTAGTTGCTTTGAAGGTGAAGGGTTTAGTTTGCTTTTGGCCTTTAACAAGCGTCTACTACAATGCTTGTTACTCTGGTGAACTTCTGTAAATGAAATGGAACTAGGAAGGAATGAGTTCAGATTGTAGTTAGATCATTCCCTTCTACTTTTCTGGTTGATTTTATTGGCTACAACATCTTGTTGGTTGTAGGGGTTTGCGGCGCATAACTTGATTTGTGCTTAAGTCGTTTCTTTCTAGCTGCCAATATGACACAGTGGCTTGGGTATCACAATGTTATGGGCAAAGTTAAGGTCTTTAAATGGGGCATGGTAGAAGGAGAAATGAATTGAATCTATCCCACTGGAAGTTTTGCACCCATGATCTGAGTAGTCTGGTTGCGGTAACATAAAGTGCCTTACTTTCCCACTAGAAAACCTTGGGGTAAATGTCTATACTGTTGCATGTGGGAGTTTTCTGGTGACCCGGTATTGAATGATTGGACTAATCATATAAGTTTGCGATTTAGCAGGAAGCCTTACGCTTACAGCATTAAGTGTGTTTGTTTTGCTGCAAGGATTGTGGTGTTTGTCGTGGCAGCCCTAACAAATTTTCCGTTTTGTTTGCAGTCTGAGGTTTTTGCTGTTGCCTTTGCTCTACTTGCAGCTGGTGCTGTCATTTTGACTTTGAATGTTCTGCTACTGGTGAGCTTTCGGCTCCTTCTTTCTATCCTCTTTGAGAGTCCGTCACTTTAATTGCGTAACATTTACCGTTTTGAATCTATACCGGATTCCAAATTCTAGTTATCAGCTCTGTTTACACTGCTGCTCAGAGTCTTGGATGCTAAGAGGGGTCTTGAAATATTTCTATTTTCTGCAGGGTGGGCACATTATCTTCTTCCAGAGTCTTAGCCTTCTAGGTTACTGTCTGTTCCCTTTGGACGTGGGAGCCCTAATTTGCATGTTGCAGGACAATGTGATCCTGAAGATAGTGGTGGTCTGCGTTACTTTAGCTTGGAGTTCCTGGGCAGCATACCCCTTCATGAGCTCAGCAGTGAATCCGAGGCGAAAGGCCCTTGCACTCTATCCCGTCTTTCTCATGTACGTATCTGTCGGGTTTCTCATAATTGCCATTGATTGAATGCATTGGCAGCTCCCCTACTACGGGGATGCAACATGAATTGAAATCCAAAACCCACCACAGTATATAGGTTTCCTATTAGGATCGTTAATTTGGTGCTTTCGTCGACTGCGAATTACTGTATTTCTGCTGTGGCTACTCTTCACTGCTGACGTTATGAAACCTTGATGTCGTTATTGCACTTAAAACTTGTTACATCAGCTTCATGAGAGCATTCGATTTTGAGAGTGAAGCTGGAGTCTAGAGTGTTACGTCGGATCTCGCTATAGTTCCTTTTCCTTTTGGTATGCTAGTGCTGATAAAGGAAATTTTCCAAACTGTTTACTGTAAACCATCATCCATACATGGTTGAGGGTTGGATTGGGGTGATCTTAGTCTGAAAGTCTCCCAAGTTTGGAGTCTGGGATTCAAGGTTGAGGTTTGGGTTGGGTATTGGTTAAAGACTTGAAATGGTCCGTCTATGTTATCAAGTTTTCTTAGATCTCTCCAAATTTGGTGCCATCTTATGTGAGACTCCAACAAAACGTCGATTCTAAACGGTTGAGAAAGTACAAGTATACGACTGAGTGTGCAATTCCAAAATCTTGTGTAAGATATACAACTAAAATCGGAGAACATAGCCCGTCATGTTCGAAAATAATTCAAAATTTTGTGTAAGATATACAACTAAAATCAGAGAATATAGCCTGTCATGTTCGAAAATAATGGAACATGTATTAACTTTGTATTTGATATAATTCAAACATGATATGATCCCTACATGCAATGACCCACATTGGTGATGATCCAATCCAATTCCATTAGGTACGGCGGTCTCGTTGTCTTGTTTTTTGGTTCATTTATAATTCGAACCGAATTGATCGAAGAATAAGTCGATCGATTACCACCTCTGGTGTCGAATCATAGTAGTTGAGTATAAGAAGAAGACACACTACACTACACAACAGACTAGAGGGCCTCGGATGTTTGCTTTGGATACACTCAAAAGCCTCAGATAATGCAGTCTGCAGCTAATAAAGCCAAAACTACATTGCTTGTCAGTGTGGCCAAAGGCCAGCCCTAAAACCTCAATTAACCCATTGGCTGGCGCCATCTGAACCCAAAAATTGGCCTGTGCATGCCTTGCCAGTTGCCACTGCGATTTGAGAAACGTGCACAAAATTTTTTTGGGGCACTGGTCCTCCAGAACATAGGAAAAGGGCTCTCGGTAACGACATCCAAAGAGGATCTCTTTCATTCTTCATTAATGGCCACCCAAAACAAAATTTATTGTACAGAACAATGGCGATAGAGATGGAAATCTTAGAAACACATTATTTGCAGTTTTTGGTTATTTCGTATTATTGTTGGTTTTTGGTAATTGGGGATTATTTGGGATTTTCGGGAAATAAACAGGGGTCGATTGTTACGTTTTATTAGTTGGGTAGAAGATAGGAATTATGCGGACTATATGATATGTAGTAGTGGTCTTATTTTCATTAAGCAATCACATAACAAAAACCTAAATCCTAATCTCTCTCCCTCCCTCTTCCCTGCGTCTTCCCTTCTTCCTCTCCTCTTTCCAAAAGCTGCAGCAGCAGCAAGCTTCTATCCCCTCCCCTTTTGTTCTAAAATTCCCAATTCCAATCCCTAGCTAGATCAATCTCTAACTAGATCAATCTCTGATTGATCTAGTTAATTTCCCCAATCACAAACGCGTTAGAAACCTTGTTTCTAACAGGAACACATTTCGTTCTTTTGGGATTATGAGCCCAGCCACAGCTACAGCAGGAGTATTCATGTATTATTATCCCCTCTCTCACACATTTCGATTTTGTTAGTTTTTGTTTTTCACATCTGAGTTTTGTTTAGAAACCCGTTAGGTACTACCCATTCACATGATTGAGAGTGAGGAAGGTACTTAATCATTACTTTGTGAATGATTATGTTTCACTATTTGGGGTTTGGGGAGTACCATCATGATTTCGAATGCAGATAGAAGAGGCAGCTTGGCCGATTGATAGCCAAAGAAGTGAGTGATGTTAAAAATTGGAAGGGGGGAAAAGGGCAGGCAGGGCAAATGTGGGATAGCTAAGCAGGGCAACAAGGGGTCCATTGACAGTTGGTAAGGTAGCAAATCCGTCTGGAATTAGGAAATCAGCCACATCATAGCATTGGGTTATACAATTCATAGCCTCCCACTGTAGTGATGGCAATGGGGCGGGCGGGGCGGGTACCTCAATTCCCATGCCCCGTCCCACGCTACTACGGTCGGGGCGGGTAAAACCCGCGCGGGTACGGGGCGAGGCGGGTCGACCCACTCTTATATGTTGTTCAAAAAAAATACAAGTAAATTTTATTTTTTATAATAAAACGTAGAGAAAAAGACTTTAAGAATGAAAATATTGATAATAGAATGGATAATTGAGCCTAACAAGTTGAAAGATTGACTCTAACTAGTTGAAGAAAAGTCAAAATAGGAGAAATATGTATAGATATTGTAAGAAATTGAGATAAAATAAGTCTAGAACGGGGCAGGGCGGGTTGGAAGTAGATATCCATGCCCCGCCCCACGCTACTGCGGGCCGGGTAATACCCGCCCCATCGGGGTCAGGTCGGGTAATATCCGCAGGGCGGGTTGAAATTGCCATCACTATCCCACTAGCCATTTGCCTTGCTGGCCAGCCACCACACATACATATGTAGACGAGCTAACCCAATCACCCGATGGTTGAGTCGCGGTTTCAATATTTGATCCGATACACACGATAACGATTTATGTCTACCGTGTTAATTAATGGTAACGGCACACTTAACACGTCTTATTATTATAGATTGTAAAACGACGTATTTAAATGGATCAAACTGTCTGGACCGTATCCTCGAACCAAGCTACTACCACTTGTCAATTGTCATAAACTCATGAAAAATGCGATATGTTGGGCTTTATGGGAATTCGACGTCTTTAGGTCTTTTCTTCTGCCTCACCTGTCCATCAATGGATTCAGGAAACCAGAGGTTAGCTCTTATTATAACAACAACTGTTTTCCTTTGACCTCATTCATTGTCGTCAACTCTTCCTTCCTCTCCATTGGTTCCCTTTCCTTTCCTCTGCGCTCTTCTATCCAAATTTCATATCTCTCTCTCTCCTTCTCATTTCACAGTCTTAACCTTTTCACTCTTCTTGTCAGATCTCTCTGGCCTCAGCCCTGCTAGCTAGCTGCAGGGGCAGAGCAATCCAAGCACAGCAAGCAACCCACCACCCACAACAACAAAAACGAATCTTTCCCCTTCTTCTTCTTCTTCTTCTTCTTCTTCTTCTTCCCTCCCCCACACTGCTGGTGAACAAAACCCCAAAACCTCCTGCCTTACAGCTGCAAAGGAGATGCGTATATAATAATAATGCACTAGAAACAAAATTAGATACTCTAAATCTTTTCATAACAGAACAGGGGAGAGGGAGTAGTAGGCTTACAGTACAGATACAGGGGAGGTGGTGGTGGACAAAACGTTCCTTCCACCCAAACAACCCACTCTATTGTCCACACCACCGTTGGTCTTTCTCTCCTAGTAGGTGTTGGCATTTTTGTGTTAAATTTGGATAACAAGCCATGGATGGACACAAGACAAAGCTAATGTATATGGTGACACACTAACACATACTTAAGTGTACCCTCGTGATGAATAAGGGGCAGGGCACGAGTTGTCATTTATGTGGTAGTACATGGTGCTAATTGGAGGGGTAGTCGAGTTGGTTTAGATAACCTACTCGTTTCATATAGGTTCAAGAGTTTGCTTATCTTCAACTCGGCAATTTTTTGTGTTAAATTTTGATAACTAGACATGGATGGGTATATGGTGACACACTATCACATACTTGAGTGCATAGGCGGAGGCAGGGGCAATGGGATGTGTCCCGGACATAGGTAACTTTTGGGTAAAATAAAATACCCCATATATATATATGGTGGCTACTTCGGCGCACTCACTTTTTTGGGTGCATTCAGTGCACCCACCTCTAAAAGTGGTCATAATACATTAAATTTTGAAATTTAATGGGTAGCATTAGTCTCATATGATGATATAACACAGAAGCACAACTAATCAACCAATAACCCTAACCTATTAACCTTCAATTTTGAATCTCAACCCAAAATCCCAAATTGTAAACCCTAACCATAACCCTAAATTCCTAAACCCTCAATCATTCAAATTAAAGTGAATCTTGGAATGATTTTTGTACAAATTCATGTGATTCTTGTTCATCATACCACAAGGGATGATTGACATCGTTTTCACATGAATCGCTTGCTCAGAATGACGATTATGAGGCGGGTGCATTGAATGCACCCAAAAAAGTGAGTGCACCGAAGACATAACCATATATATATTAATAAAGGATTGTACTCATTACATTTTAGGTGATATAAAAGTATTTTATCACTACATTACATGTTATTTTAAGTTTAAAAACTAACATGAATCAATTCATCATACTATAAAAAATTTCATAACACCTAAAGATCGATCTTTCATTTATTCTTTCTGTTAACTATATTTATATCTAGAAAGAGGACACAGTACTTTCGAGTGTTGGCTCCGCCACTGCTTGAGTGTACCCTTGTGATGAATAGTGGCAGGGCACAAGTTGTCCTTCTTGGGGGTACATGGTGTTAATTCAATGTGTAGGTGAAAGAGGGGGCTAGTCGAGTTGGTTGAGATAACGTACTCATTTCATCTAGATTTGGAGTTCGATAGTATTGAATTTGTATGGGATATCCTTCATTTTCGTTGTAATGATGTGAAATTTTAAGTGAGACATGAAAAACCTTTGGATATACTGCTGCATATGCATTTGATGCTCGAAATTCGTCAATGAGTGAAATGATTAGACGGTAACACAATCTCTTGTGTTTGAAAAATCGTAGATGAGAAAATAACAATAATGTGAGTTGAGAAGGAAATTAAAACAAGTGAATAGTTGTGAAATGATTATTATATGGTTGTCGAATTTATCAATATTTTTAGGACATAAAAAGATTATTAAAACATGTACATACAAAAAATATGATGATATATACATGTGTGAAGTGATTAGACTTTAGAGCATCACACAATTTGCTAACCCTAGATGAAGTTATGAATAAGAATGTGAGATTTATGAGTGAGTTGACTCAAATCACCTAATTACAATGTATATGTATGGATTGAAAATAAAAAATTTGAATAAAAATTTGATATCATAACTTATTTTGTCAAACAAATCCGATTATTTGATAAACCGACTATTAATTAATAAAATGAAGCTATATATAAGGAAGTTACATAAATCTGAGTCGGCTGTGCCTTTCTCTTTCCCTCCCTTTTCCCCTTCTTCCTCCTTCTATAAATACAGCTCCCAAACCTCCCTCACAAGGAACAAACACTCTCCCCACCAAAAAAAAAAAAAAAAACTCCATTTCTAAACCCAAAACAAAATGAAAGAGTACTGGACTTCCCTCGCTTCCTTGCTCGGCGTCCTCGCCTTCTGCCAGAGCATCGTCAGCTCCATCTTCCCGCCGGAGCTCCGTTACGCCATCCTCAAGCTTACCGGCCGCCTCTTCAGCCTCTTCTCCTCCTACGTCTACTTCGACATCACCGAGATCGACGGCGTCAACACCAACGAGCTCTACAACGCCGTCCAGCTCTACCTCTCCTCCTCCGTCTCCATCTCAGGCACCCGCCTCTCCTTAACCCGCGCCGTCAACTCCTCCGCCGTCACCTTCGGCCTCGCCAACAACGACTCCATCGCCGACTCCTTCAACGGCGCCGCCGTCCTCTGGGAGCACGTCGTCACCCAGCGCCACTCCCAGACCTTCTCCTGGCGCCCCTTGCCCGACGAGAAGCGCGGATTCACCCTCCGCATCCGGAAGAACGACAAATCCCTAATCCTCGACTCCTACCTCGATTACATTATGGAGCGGGCGGCGGAGATTCGCCGCAAGAATCAGGATCGATTGCTGTACACGAATTCTCGCGGCGGATCTCTGGACGCGAGGGGACATCCGTGGGAGTCGGTCCCGTTCAAGCATCCGAGCACATTCGAGACCCTGGCCATGGATCCGGCGAAGAAGCTCGAAATTATGCGAGATCTGAGGGATTTCGCGGAAGGGCAGGAGTTTTACCAGCGGACGGGGAGAGCCTGGAAGCGAGGCTACCTCCTGTACGGTCCCCCGGGGACGGGGAAGTCGAGCATGATCGCCGCCATGGCCAATTTCTTAGGTTACGACATTTACGACCTCGAATTGACGGAGGTCCACAACAATTCCGAGCTCAGGAAGCTGCTGATGAAGACGAGCTCCAAGTCGATTATCGTGATTGAAGACATCGACTGCTCGATTAACCTCGGGAATCGGAAGAAGAGCTGCTCAAACGGCGGAAACAGAGGCGGCTCGTCGAGTTTCTACGAGGCGGCGGCGGCGGCGGAGATGAGAGGAGGAGGAGGCGGCGGCTCCGACGAGTCAGGGAATTCGATTACGCTCTCCGGATTGCTGAATTTCACCGACGGATTGTGGTCGTGCTGCGGCAGCGAGCGGATTTTCGTGTTCACGACGAATCATGTGGAGAAGCTGGATCCGGCTCTGTTGCGGAGCGGGAGGATGGATATGCACATTTTCATGAGCTACTGTTCGTTCCCGGCATTGAAGATTCTCCTGAAGAATTATCTCGGCGTCGAAGAACCAAACGCCGCCGGCGTTTGGAACGAGATCGAGGCGGTGATTGATAAGGCGGAGATGACCCCGGCGGACGTGAGCGAGGTGTTGATTAAGAATCGGAGGGATAAGGACAAGGCAGTGGCGGAGTTGCTGGAGATTCTCAAGGTGAGAGCGGCGACTCGCGGCGGTATCGGCAGGCGTTACGAGGCGGTGGAGGAGGAGCAGGAGAAGAGAGCGGTGGAGGAGAGCAAGGAAGGAGAAGCAGCAGATGAGTTCAGTGGTGAACAGAGTGAGGAGGAAGAAGAAGATGACAAGAAGAAGATCAAATGAGGACATAGTGGAATTATTTTGTCCTCGTTTGTCAGGAAAAAAGTTGCAGGGGGCGAATTGAGAAGTGAGGAAAAAGTCCATTAGAGAGGTAAGTGAAAGAGAGGAGAGGTGTAGTGACAAGTGAGGGAATTGGGGGACGGGAAGCGAATATTTTTAATTGGATGTTTTTTTTTGGGTTCCCGAAAAAACATTATATTAATGGAATTGTATAATCTAAAGTATATTTCTAAACTAATGTGTCATTGGACAAAGAAGGATAAGCTCACTTGGCATTTTGGGTACTAATCCCCATGTGATAGTTGTTTAAATTTCGCATCTTGAGATTAGATTAGAAGAATGTTTAACCATAGGTTAATCTTCTTGTTATATTATTTATAAGAAAAACTTTCAAGACATATGTATGTCATTTGGCTAATGTCATTTTGTTCAAAGTTTGACCGAAGTTAGTTGCAATTGCGATTGATTAATGCTCAACAAACACATTTTAGATGACGACGAATGTTCGACATTCTTTATTTAGCTTATTTTATCAAACTAAAAGAATTTATATGTCTTCTAATCGTCTTTTAACGTGCCTTAGTTATTTAGGATTTCGTAGGGTCGAGTCTAGATGATGTTGGAAGAATACATATGATGGTGATATTAATATATTTATGCTAGAGTTAGATATGTACATTGTACATGACTTGGAAAGTCATTAGAAATCTGCTTATTAAGTATTGATGGGTGGTGCTAATCTAGCTGACTCACATGTCATGTATGTTAAAAAAAATACATTCCTTACCCTTCAATTGGTCTCGAGGCTCAATACCTCCTCTCATTTATACCATATATGCATTTGTCAGATAGGACTCGAAAAGATCGAGTTCAATTAATAATTTTCAGAATATAATAAAGTGGTGAGAATAAGATTTATAACGTATATGACTTGTAATGTTAGTTGTAATAAACATACTTATGAGTAACGAATTCATATGAGACTTTTAAATTTTAACGTAGAGTCTAGTTCGAAACAGATAACTAAATGTCATAATTTGTTTGAAACACGTAATATTAGAGGATTGGATTGTTAAAATAAAAGTAGTACATGGACTAACAAAGCTATTCACCCTAAATTCTATCCAGTTCTCCAAAATGAGAGTGGAGATGACATGGGAGAAAAGAGAAGAAGAAGGTGGTGCTTTCTCTTCCTTTTTCCGAATAGTTTCGTTCCCTTTTCCTTTTTGTGGAGACTCGAAGGGGGAAAATATGGAGAGCACTAAGCAGCAGAGATTTCTGGCCGCTTGCATGGATTTTGCACATGGAAACATGGCTGGCTGGCTGGCCGGCCATCCACATTGCTAAGTAAACATCAACAATGGCCAATTTGCCTTTTCACTTTTTTTTTTTGGTATTTTCATTCTCCTTTTTTCAATTTGATGTCGAGATTAGGACGGAAAATCAGTTTTTCTCAATAATAGAATCTTTTAGGAAGAGACACAATAATAAATCTCTTATACTATTTGGTGAACAAGGATCTTTGTGGTCGATCAATGAAGTTACTATGATAATATCAAGATTCAATCTATCTGGTAGTGGAGCTATATACATGACATCTCGCGAGATAACAGTTGCCCCTCTTTTTAAAATACAAAAACTCAATTCCAACAATTTATTACAATTTCTTTTATTTAACTCGACGATCTAAATAATATTTTTTTTCCAAATTTCAAGAAAATGAATGCTATACCATTCATTTATAATTATCTTGCAATCTGACTTTTGGAGTTAGGTCATCAAATTGGTTTTTAGTTGTGCTTAAGGGCCACTATGTCTTTCTTTATTTGTCTCACTTGCTTGGAGTTGGAGGTATAGATCTAACTTATAAATTACAAAATTCTCTTTAACTCATCAAAACCTAATTAATTAATTGGACTCTAGTGGTACGGGTGGTCTCTCTTCGTCGCCTATTATATCTCGTTCTTCCTTCCCATTTGTTTATTATATGTGGGCTCCGGAAAGGATTGTGTAAAATGAATTTGCAAATAAGAAATCAGTTAATTTGAATATTTTGAATGGTTGTGAGTGACTTAATAATAAATTATATACTATATACTAACACACTTCTCATATGAAAATCAGTTATTTGTATAAGTTTTGAGTATAATAATATCATGTGCTTCAGAAATGAGGGTCACTTGAACTTGAACAAAAAATTCATCGGTTATAGAAGGCTCTGATATCATGACAAGAATCAATTGATCTCAATAACTCGAGTTGTTGAGTGATGTTCAATGATTGAACTTATACCACATACTGTTAACAAAATCTATAAAATCTTTAATCTTGTATCCTGACATTACCGGGTAAGATTCTTACTAATTTAATAAGATTCGTATAAGAAATGATGTAGTAATACTCTTAGCAAAGATAGTTAATCGTATGAGGAATGATAAACACAAAATTTCATTTCTTATATCTTCTGATGATATATGATAATTATTTTTCTTCCTTTTCATTTTAATATGACGAGTTTCATGTGGAATTGGAAGGAGATTAATAAAGAGACTTGGACAAGAGTGAGATAATGGTGGTCATTATTTACCATAATCACAATTTTCTTTTCTTAACGACACAATCACGCGTTATTTTTACTTTTTGAGAATTCTAAGCACGGGATTAATTCATTTTTAATGATGATGGATTGTGATAGTTACCACGATTATGTTATTGGTGGTGTGATTAAGTGGATAATTAAGTAGTGGACGTGACAATCCGACGGTGAACGAGGGGAATGACTATGATACCATCATACCTATGTTGAAATAAGTTCTTAAAGTTCCAAAAGAGGTTATAGGATTAGTAAGTTAATTGTTCTAACCCAACTAGACATATTGCATCATGGGCCATGACTTCCTTCATTAGTCTAATTCAATCAATGTGGTTTACTACATTGTTTTGCTAAATAATTACTAGTTCAAGTTGATATATTTTAATGGATGATTGGGTGGGAAGGGAGGTGAAGAGGAAGAAAGGTGGGTGACTTTAACTTTAGGGGTCGTTTGGATGGATCAATTGTAAAACGAGACAATTTGACCAATTGTTTCATTTTACAAAACGAGTCAATTCAGATTACCTGCCCCCACCCCAGACAATTGTAATTGGCTCAAAATGAGTCAATTCAGAATTCCCCAACCCAAATTGCTTCATCCAAATTTTCTGCTGACAAACGGATCAATCTAGCACAATTGACTCAAAACGAGACAATTGTGCCAGATTGATCCATTTGATCCATCCAAATTTACAAGGGTGATATATGTTTGGTATTTAATTAGGTGTTAGTTAAGAAATTCAAACGTGAAAATCACGTTCAAAATAGGTGATATACCACTAGATTAATTATCTTGTTCTAAAAACTAATGAATAATGACTCTTTACTTTAGAAGAAAGATCTCAAACACATATGTTCGAAACTACCTAATCTCATGAATACTTGACATATCCATGAAAGCTGACTAAGCTAAGCATATTTTTCAAGTTTTGGGGTGTAAGAATTTTTGAAGGAAAGTGGCTTGTCATGCCATTGCCCACCTACCACTTCTCTTGCAATTTTCTTTCACAACCCTTTATTGAAGCTGAAAAGTAATGAGATACTCATAGAAGTTTTCATACAAACAAAAAAGAAAAAGTAAGGATTCATATGTAACTTTCATTTGCCTTCACACAAAGGCACACAAAAATGTTCAAAAATGCAACATAAGAAAAGAAAAGGGTCACTTGTCAAAATGTAGTAGGCCAAGGGATCTCTAAGGTGGCTAGGATTGACACCCAAGTGCCCTTTCCAACTCATTTGTCTGATAAATCAAACAACCCCACAGAACAAAGAAACAAAAAACCCATCACAAATGTCGTACTTTTCCTTCATTGCAACAAAAGACTTCCTTTCTCCCCTCTTAAATTGGCTTTTCATTTCACCAGCTTAGTTCCTACTAGAAAACCCCTTCTTTTCCCTGATCAATTACATAAATGGTCACTGAAATCTGGGGTGAGTCATGAATTGGTTATCGAGCTTTGTATCGTGCTCAATCTATCATAGGAATTTGGAAATCACTTACACATTTTAGAAGATTTTTCATATGAACGGTTTGTATTACAGTTGTCTTAACTTCAGGTGTAGGAAAGGTAATATATACCCTTTTACATGAATTAAAATAGTTCATCGATTTTAATGATTATGTGAGTATATACACTTATGTGGACAATTTAAACAACAAAACCTAATACCAATAGGCGAAGTGACTTTTACATGAATTCTTCAAACTTCAATGACAAAACAAGTTAAAATAAATAAAAAATAGTGACCATATCTATAATTTCTCCTTATTGTCCTCCCAACATGAAAAGTCTCTAGCCTCTTTTCAACCCTTTTCAATTCCCACATACATTTCTGTTGGCCCCTACCCCTACCTCTCCAATCTTATCCATAAGATGTGTCATTTTAAGGGCAATAGCTTAAAAAAATATTGATTAATATAATTCTATGGTCTCCACTTTATTAAATTAGTAACATACTTTGACATGATTACCTTTTCTCCCTCTCCTCTAACCACCAATTGATACGCAAATGTGATGCTTGAGCTTTATTGGATATTTCATATTGGTAATCCATAGTTCTCATTTTGCCATAATTAAAGACCTCCACTGTAATTTTGTTACCTAAATTGATGATCCCGTAAGCAAAACAATGATTGTTTAGTGTACTTAACCATTTTTAATACATGTGATTGGGTCCCACATTGTGTGTGATTAAACATTCATATCACTGGTTAATGTAATCAAGGACCATTATTAGATAGTGACCAAGAAAAATATGAATTGATTATTTGAGATTATATGCATTAATATAGTGACTAATAATGACGATTTCCCCCCTAATTGTAACTTTATGAAAAGTTTGGTGAAAAGGGTTACTCTACTCATTCTACATATCCATCTCCCAAAACCAGTCTTATTCCATCTATTGTGCCCTTTATTAACTCCTGAGGTTGAACAAGAGGCACCCAATAAATGTAACCTATATGGGTCCTTCATTGGATAATAATGATTCACAAATAGCAAAGTAGATTTTGATAATCAATAATTAGGAGGATTATTAGGGAAGCTACTAGTTTAGTGGATCCCTAACTAAATACAATCTCAATCTTGGGTGGAGATTTTGGAACGATACATACATTTACCTATGCAACATCGACCCCAACAACATATTAACGCAACACATATAATGCGAGCCAACTCGGAACTTGAGCTCTCAATCACGCAGCGAAGCAAGAATGGTAGCTTGAGAATGGGTTTCGGAATAGTCGAATAGAGGTTTTGGCGGATAAAACGAACCAAGCTAGCAACTTCAACACGAAGGG